TCTTCAAAATTACCTCAACCAAATTTCAAGCTCCTCCACATTTTTCAAGATTACTTAGGAATCTTGGAGAAAACGGTGAGAGCAAACAAAACTGGAAATCGTTACTTCTTACCCTTTGTGGTCTTAGCGCGACGCTCCAAAGGAGCGCAGCAAATGTCACGGTTTGACATGGCAATAGGCAGGGGCTTGTCCAGTCAGTTTTACTTGACTTCCAAAACCAAACAAAAAATAAACTTGTAAAATGATAAATGGACTTATGAAGAGGTTTTCCAAAGATTTTGACCCCTCAAAGTCTTTACACAAGAGTCACATTCATCTAGTCGCAATCATAAACATGCACACATATATACACCCTAACCCCACAGAATAAAACTTGTGGGATCTATACAGCAAACTGTCTTGACCATCTGTAGTCTTCCTCATCTTCACCTTTGGTGGAACAGCCAATCAGTGGTTCCACCATGTAGTATTTGGCAAGATTTTACCTCAGCAGGTTTTGTTTCCATCATCAAAAATTATGTGTGGAGGCGTTTTTACCAAACAAATCTATCATGGCCTCACAATGAACTCCATAATAGGCAGAATTTTCTTCAACGAAAGTATAATCTGTTTGTTGTTTTTGTGTTTTTTTTTAGTTATGTTGCCCAAGGATCACTTGGCGACCAATTGGGTATGGAAACAAAGTTCAATACAGATTATGATCATTTTGTGACAACTTGGGATTTTAACTGGGATTTTTAGGATCTTTGTGCATCTGCCCCTATTTTCTTCAGTTAAACTTAAGAATAATTCAACCTAAAACAGTGTGGCAGGCATGAAATAACATGGCTTGAACAAAGTGATTCCCAAATAGCTATTAGCTGAACATCTGGCATCAACAGAAGGATGACGCATCTCTTACCTGCTGTGAGCTCTTAAAAGGATTTTAACTTTTAGTTAGCGTTACATTTTTCACACCATCATGTTCAGGTACAAGCTGTTCAAAGCTACATTCTTTTTCATCTTTCCACAGCATACAAACTGAAAGGTTCTGAAAACGGCTATTTCTAGATTTGAGGTTGTTTGAAGTGCAAGTAAACAGCCTAGTGAGGGCAAAGGTCGAGTTATGCATTTATCACAATATGTACTATCTTTTATTAGACACTCAATATGATGCAGTTTTATTTGGTCAGATTATGCTGCGGGGAATATTCAGATGGATCAGATGTGGAAAAAAATTTTCATTGTTATAATTAGGAATATTTTAAAAACAAAAAACTCCTTGTGAATAAAGTTTATTTTAAAAACAAAGCTTCATAAATCTATGCTGTCAGTAACTTGCTGCTGTATGAGGAGATGTTGGTAAATGCATATATTCTGACTTCTGCTTCTGTATTCATTAGATCAGTAGTCATGAAATGTACTGAATTGACAACATCAGGATGTTTGGACTGAAAGCATCATTTCTCTGTATAAGAGATATCCTGCGGTGGCAATTTTATGACACCATTATGGAGTTTTATTGTGTGTTTCTGACTTCATATTGGATTATATATACAAGTGGGTCTGATGAAAACAATGTTCAAATGTTCACTGCTATGAAAAGCAAAAGCATCATTGTCTCAATAACACTGGATTTCTTTTTACATTTATCTGATATATTATTCATGCATTTCACAAATTTTATCTTGGGTAAAGACATTTAATGCACCAAACCACTCCATCTGTTGTAATATAGTAAAAAAAATAAATAAATTCAGGTATCACTACATTGTGTTTCCATTTTTCAGCTTTCACTAAAATGATCCCTTGCTCCTTTTGAAGGGAATAATAGATCAGAACAAAGAGTCTCAAAGAGTCGACTATCGCACGCAGTAATTCATAAGGCTACCTAGTCGGGTTGAAATGTTCAAATATTCGATCTTTTCTGCACCAAGGAGTCAAATTCTCACATTTCCCATTAACCCTTTGCAGCCATGTCACGAAATCATTTGAGGCGCCAGATGGATGTTGGAAGTGAAGGAACTGAAATTGTTTCCAAAGTTGTTTTTGCCAGTTTATTCATGGCTTCTACTTGTTCAAGTCAAGCTAATTTGTCGGTGAACGTAACGGACCTTGTTGGGGCTCATGGACGGTGATATTTACTTAGAAACCGATCCATACCTCTTCCCTCCTGACGCCTTGATCAAGATGCTTACTTGGCCTGAATTCACGCCACATTATTTATGTCATTATATCATAAACGGCGTTTCTCTTTTCAGCGGATCAGCATTAAAAACGTACAAGAGACGAGATGCTAACCAGTTTTTTTTCCCCCATACATGCTAGGTTACTAATGGTTAGATGCACCTTCTCCATAATGCGATATGTGATATCTTTTCAATCATACTTATTTATAAAGTATATGAATGTTAATGTTCTTAACTTGTAAAAAGTGTTGGCTACAAATCCGCAATTACACTGAGGGCTGACGGTCATTATGACTGACAGCTGCTGTCCATCATCGCCGTATGTTTCCTCCTCATTAAAAGTTAGACAATAAAATGACAAGTTTGGTTTTCACCTTTGACCCAGACGACCACGCGACACCCTATGACCATTTTAAAGTGAAATCAACTAAATAAAAGCGACATTAGGCTACCACATGCATGTTTTTGACAGTCTTTCCAGGAGCGCATGCGTTGTTTTGACGCCCGTCACGGCAGGTGGCGTTTCAAAGAGCATGACGCAGCATGCAAAGTTAATAGGAATGAGTGAGAAGCATATCTATTTATATATTTCCATAATAACTATATTGATAATTCAGCTGCTATTTGAACAACATTGAAAATAGTCAGCAATCAGTGCTTCATTGGACTTTCCATAATAAAGATTTTATTCTGTACAACAGCCGACATTTGGATTGCAATCCAATGATCCACCTGATTTTTGTAATTTTAGGTTTGCCGGTAATTGTACCCTTAGAAAGTGTCGGCTGATTTCCTCTACTATTTCTATTTCTATACTCTGTTGCCTGATTGTTACCAGTAACAAACAACCTGACATTTTGCTTATGTTTAACTGAAAAATGATGAAGGATGAGATAAAAACAACATAAAGAATCGTCTCTGCATCCTTTCAAAAGCATTCTTGCTACTTCAGGTGCTTTTTGTTGTTTTTTAAAACAGTCATTTTTCTTCATGCTCAACCAAGATCTTCAGTATCACAGGAAGGAGGAAACGAGCAGAAACTATTAAGACAAATGATTTAGCACAAGTTGAAAGTGAAATATGAAACATATAGTTTATAATAAATCAATTTAATTTAGTTCCAAGGCTCATTAAAGGTTTAAATGCTAAATTTCACTTCATCTTTCTCTTAAATTAAGCTTAAAGGAGCTACTACTGCCATTGCATTTTTACAGGAAGTACTCCTGGATAATGATTCTGTTTTCGTTAAAGGGGAATTTTCCGTTCCCGTATTGAAAGCTCTGAATAAGTCTTTACAATCTGATGGGTTTCCTTAGACAGACAACATCTGAACAAATGTGAATATTTACATAGTTCAATATGGAATGTTTGCATTTCATGATTGGCTTCAAGTGAAAGTTTTCTTTCCTTAAATTACTTTATTTAAACACACTTAATCGAAGCTAAAGTGAATTAAATAAACGGAATAAGGACAGCTACAACAAGCATAATTAAAAAAAACGTTAATAAATTTAGACAAGTTTTTAACAACATAATGAGGCCATGAAGAACAGAAGTCTTGATTTGACATTTCCACTGTTTGTAAGGCAGATAATTTGTAAAACTGATTACAAAAAAACAAAAACAAAAGGCTCTTTGGAGCCCTACTGTCGAAACATCAGCTTTACAGTTCATCTTAAATCAGAATAATCTCAGAAAGTTACTTTCAATAATTTCTAAACTCTTAATTCATTAGACAGAGTGACACATTTAAGACAGTAATGTTAATTTAATGATCAGACTTGCATGTAATGAAAGTATAAATTCAACAATATAAAATATTTTTTTGTAAAGGCTTCTGCGCCGCCTCTAATGTAAACACATGTGCTGTACAGTAACTGCACTAAATACTCGGTTGTGGCCACTTCTGCATGAATTACTGCATCAATGCAGTGAAGCATTACGGTGCTCAGCCTATGGGGAAGGACGGGATGCTTGAAATTCAACCGTTATTTCATCTAAATATTATGACTCATCTCAATTCTACCATATTGAATAGTTTCTCTTTTGGATGTGTGAACTAAAATTAGACTTTGGGCTTGATAAGTGCATCTTCTTCTACCACACTTTTCTTTATTAACCTTTTTTATGGAGGCAATCAGTAACTCTCTACTAGACTAAACTCTTCAATAATACTCTAATTTAATGGAAGCTGATTTTCAAATTTCCCAGAAATGATACAAAACCAAACCATGTCAAAGGAATTTATAAAACGTGGGTCGCACAAATGAAATTCTAAAATAAAACCCTCGTCACTATTCTGTATTAGGAGGTGCCTGCATGGGAAAATACTTTGGGTTAAAAATGCTGGAATTTAATTTTCGACTTGGAATGATTTTTTCTCGTTATTTTAAGTGGGTGACTCCAAACTTCATGGTTCACGCCAAATGTGACACCCCTGCAGGTTTGCAAATGTTTCTCCACTTGGTAACTTGATTGCAGGGAAGCAGGCAGTGACGTGTTTACCACTTTCAGCTTCCCACACCCGAGCATAGCAAATGCCACCTTGCCCCTCCAGTTAAAAGTTTAGACCTCAACTCTGGCACCGGTTCCAAAAACCAAATTAAAGCAAATCCTGAGCCCGGAACCTGACCTCGGTCTGAATGCACTTAAGCCAAAGTGACTCCCGCACCCCGGAGCCAGAAAAAGATTGAGAAAATTTGTTGATATGAACGCATGGCCGCGCAGTCAGCCACATTTAACGGACCTGATGAGAGAGTGGGATATTCGCCTTCTGCATGAGTGAGGATTTGAGTTAGCGAGTCGAGGGAAACATGGGAGACGCACACTGACCTGCCAAATGAGGGGGGCAAGTGACGATCACAGCCCTGCACAGGAAGGTGTCGCTGGTCGTCATGACCCTGGCCCACTCGGCATCCTGCGTAAACAGAAAAAAACTTTCATTTTGTGAAGCATTTACTAGTGGATGCCATCTGGAGAAGCATGCAATCAATCACAGAAGGGACAAGCAGGATGTAACCAAGCTGGGGTTACAAGTTGACCTCACTTATAGTAAATGAAATCACTATTTCCTCAGTGCATACTTCTGTTGAAATTAAATTCACACTGGATGTTGGAAAAAAAAAAAACAAGTAAATTCACATAAAAAATGTAAGCTAATTAGTCAGCCAATTAAGTGGAAGAGAAAATGACTTTTTACCAACAGTATTGCACACACTTCCTGAAATGTAAATATTTTTGCATTTTTTGGTAGGTTCAAGGCATGCTCTGCATGGAGAAACTAGTTAGCTGCATTCTGGTGAATAAGTGCTCACATTCAAAGAAATCAGTGGGTTTTGTGATGTTTTAGTCTCATCCCACTTTTCCACACTTTTAAATTCGAAAAGTTCTGGAGGTCTTTTCTCCAGAACTTCTCCAATGTTTAGTTCTTTTCATAGATTTTCAATGGGACACAAGTTACTTTTTTTTTTCCTCTGAAACCAATTAAAAGTTTTCTTTATTGTGTGTTTTAATCAAAATGTCCTGGTATATTTCTCCATTGATCCTTCATTTATATTAAGTCACACCATGGTATTATACACAAACTTTACTTTGGGTATATTACTTTCTGGTGATGATGACATCAATATAGTTCTTAAATCCCACCTGGCCCGACGATATTCTCTGGCACATGCAAATCCCTTGTGACAACCTTGAAACAGCAAACCTTCAACAGTGGAGTCTCGCGTAATGAGTGTGCAATTGACTGCTTTACACTTCATGGTAAAAATGGTAATTTTCTATTTGAAACGGACGAAACAGACCAGACTTTCTACACACACAAGCTTGAGTTTGAATGAACTAAAAGCTGGTGAAGATGTGCCCTAAAACTCTCTGTAAGTGCTCTTTGGTTCTTGTAAAACTTGTTTAAATGTTGTTTTTTGTGTCAGTGGTTTGCTTATGGTAAAAATTACATTGTTTTCTCATTTCAGATTATAGCTCCCATCACACTCATGCAACTGTAACCATTTCCCTTATGTTTTGGAACTGTAATATTTTTTTTTTGAGTCCATTCACTTTTACTAATCGTACCACTCTGTGATACACTTTGGTAATGAGAAACTGAAATTAATGAACCTTTAAAAGCTATTATTTGATATTGAACCAGCTGGTATTGATTTGCACATAGCAGCAGACAGATTTCTGCTGGGGTTTTTTAGCCTTCTTGGTGCATGTTCGCTACATATTCCTTGTCCAATTCACTTCATTACACAACTTGATTTATGGACTAATTTGTTTTGATTTCTTTGTATGTGTTCCACACATACAAATGTCCAGTTGCTCTGGTGTGAGTTTGACGTCAACAAAACTATTAGAAATATATGTGTTGATATAAATTATACCTCTTTACCTGCTGTATCTGTGCATATTTGGTAGAGTGTCCTGAACTGTAGACTTCTTGAAGTAAAATTAAGTATTTCTGCGTACCATTATGTTTGTGCTGGTACTGGAGAACTATCAAATGCATAAAATAAATATCAGGCAACGTACAACACATTCCCCAAGCATTGACACCGGCCTTAAATCGTCTGATCTTTTACAGAGATCGGAGACTCTGACCATTAGTCTTTGCAATGTCCTTTAGATTCACTCTTCTGTTTAGCTCACAGTGCAGATTTTCTATACAAAGTGGGTCTGGGGATTCAAATGGAAAACTGAATTTGAGTCTGATGAGTCATATCTTTATGTTTTAGGTCACTATCTTGCTGAAAAACCCAGTGTCGACTCATGTCCAGCTTTCTTGGAAAGGCTATGACATTTTATTTTATTCTAAATGTCAAAATACTTTCAAGCAGCTCATGATGCCATGAACTCTATCTGGGCTCTCAGAGCCAGTGAGAAAGAAAGAAGAACAGCAATAGCACGTTAGTTTTATTAGATGTTCTAGAAGTTTTAGACAAGAAGCAACAAGAACATAAAAAAACCCTGCGGATTCTGGCTCATTACGTGTTCAGATGAAACTCCATATGACTGCATGAGTTGTGCATATTTCCCTTCACTGTGTCAGTGGAAAGTGTCAGATGACCAGGACGAAGAAGACTTTGCCACGCATCGTTGATATCAACTCCCATGGATCTGGACCAAACGGTCATGTTCTGTGGACACATTCAGTCCAAACTGGCACAAAAATATCAGCCATCTTGTTCGACTTTCAGCTGCAGAACTCACATTTTCACACAAATCCCAGCAAGTCAGGAATAACTTTATATCTTCCCCATTTCTCTCCAGCAGCGAAAATCATCCATACATTAAATTAATTAGTGACATGCATTTCCTGAGATACAAATGACATTATTACTTTAGATACGGTAGTCAGGAAACTGACTGAATTAGCAAATTGCTCTAACTGAATGCCATCATGCAATGCAAATGCACCAGATTAACATCAGTGCTCCTCAGTCAGGCTGGTAGACAGCATGTACCACAAGACTCCTGCTGTTCCACTTCTTGTTGGTTCTCCACACGGGAACGAAAAATAAATGATTAAACCGAGCTGGCAGCACTTTCTGAATGAATCACAGGCTGTGAATCACAGTTACAGCCACTCTTTTCAATTTCTGTCAATAACAGAATATTTATTGATGCTCTGTGCATCCCAGTGGAGAACAAACAGCTTACCGTTACTCAGAGTAATCTGACAACAAATTGTTAGAAAAAAAATAAGGTCCAAAAGTCGAGACTTGAACTCCAGGCATATTGTGACTGCTGCTGCACCTCCTGCTACTTTAACTTCAAGTATGATTTGCACGGTTAGATTATGATGCACAAAGGTGCAGGTTTAACCAACCAAGGCCTCAGATGAGTCTGTGCAATCAATTCATATGCCAAGTCATGTTCTGAGGGAAACAGAGATCCAAAAACTCTGGGGACTGACAATAATTTTGATCAGAGGAAAGCACAGAGTTTGCTCTCCAAAGTGAAACTCCCTTCATCTTCGTGAAGGAGTCCAACGAGTTTGAAGGTCAGAAAGGATTTAAACACTCCAGAATGTTCTGGTCCTGCCTCAGGATTAGACGTGCTCAGAAAAGCGCCAAAGAGAGCTACCTGGGTCGTTGCGTTTCTATGAAAACTATTTCAATACTATTTCGGACGATCCAATTCCAGAATTGCATCGTTTTTATTAAATAAGAAATGCAATTTAAACCATCATCCATTAAACGAGACGTTTGCTGACGTTTGAGTGACAAGTTTATAAATTTTTATAAATTACAACATTGTTGAATTCAACTGATATTTTTCAATTAAGTCAATAAAGCATCTCTGTGGCAAAGAGTGTTTGAAAGATAATCACATTGATTTAGAAACACTAATATTATGATGACATTGGCGTTCTGCTTCAGTTTGAAATGCATCACACCGCTGATCTGGGATGTCTTTCAACAAGTCCATCCTGGGTGTTAAACACAACCTCCCCAGCTGGGAGAGCTTTTGTCCGCGCGTCGCCGCCTCAGCCGACGTGAAGTGGAAACTCGAGGTCGCCCGTGGCTGAGAGTGTCGGCGTGAATGTGTTTCTCAGTCAATAAGTGTTAGCACTTTGATAGACGGGGCAAAATATCAAGGTTCTGCCTCTCACCCAGTTCAAACTAAAAGCTCTCAGCTAACCTTGGCTGTAGGAGGATCCGGCGAACGCATAACAGATGGATTTTCTTTCATGTTGCAGTCGCGGTCTTTCCTTTGTCGCTCAAAAGGCAACAGAACTACAACAAATTGTCAGTGTCTTGATAGTGGAGATGCCTTTAAATAGAATAAACTGCCAGTTTCTATACAACCTTTTTCACCACTTTGGATTTTGAAAGAAGTTCACGAGTTTTTTTTACTTCCATTTTTTAACAGAAATGAAAAATTAAGCTGCAATCCTTTCTTAAGTAAAGAAAAATATGACTTTCTGACCCAATGTATAAACTGATGAGTTTGAGATCATTTGTAGCCATCAGAAAAATGGAACATTTCTAGGGCTGAAATGATTAATGGTGACAATGTCAACTAATTTAATAAGCAATAAATTAAATACAGACTCAAAAAATGCCAGTTGCTGAAAAAACATAGCAGTAATTAAACAAAGTTGCACAAATACACATATTTAATTAAGATTAAAAAAACATCCCTGTAGGTATGTTTTAAGAATATTTATCTATTTGCACTTTATAATGCATTTAATAACCTGTATTATTATTTGCACCTTATTGCACTTAGTGATTAAATGAAAGATTTGTAGAATGTGCCAAATTTTTAATCAATTATCCATCAGAATAATCAATTCCTAAAGTAATTTTAGTTGCAGCTCTAATCATTTCAACTGGAACTGGAAACTCTGGTTTGCAGAGGAGTTTCGGGGTCAAATGAAAGATTTTAAGGGTCTGGTGGTTATATATTATTATGAACTTTAACATTTTACATTTGTAGGATTTTTAGGCCCGAGCAGCTAAGCGCTGCGAAGGCCTATTGTTTTCCTACTGTTTCTTATTATTATTCTGCCCCCCTAAAGAGGGGCCTTTTTGGGGGCTTTATCATATTCAAAAACTCACCAAACTTGGCGGACGCGTAAAGGGAGTTTCAAAATTTTGTATTTTAAGGTCATTGCAAAAATCCCATAAGAAATGGCTCAATAGCGCCACCTAGAAATTTTCAAAGGACCCTTTGCTATTCACTTACTTTATCCTAGAGACATGAAATTTGGAACACTTGTAGAGCTCCCCAGGACGCTCAAAATTTACAATTAATGTCATAGTGCAAGTATCACAGGAAGTCGGCCATTTTGGATTGAAGGTCCAATTTTGAGGCCATTTTTGCCGTTTACAGCCTTGGTATTTGATCTATCTCCTCCTAGGGATTTCGATTGATCGGCTTCAAACTCGGTCAGTCTGTTCATATGGCATGTCTCATCTAAAGTTATCTAAACGGTGAGTTTTTGAGTATGCTGAAGGGGGGTTAGCAGGGGTCAAAGTTCACCTACGCCAAAAACATAAACTGCTATATCTCCTACACAGAAACTCACAGAGGCACCAAAGTTTCTGTGATTGATCATCATCGGGTCTCCTACATTACCCTATGGTCGAATGATGACATCACTTAGGCCACGCCCCCTGAGAACAGGAAGTGTAATGTTTTACTGTGAACTGTTGCTATCTGACCCCTTTGACCTCATCAACATGAAACTGTGCCCAGACACAGAAAACATGTTGGTGTATTGTGGATTCCAACCCCGACCAGCTTTGATGGAGCAGGTGGGCGTGGTGGCGTGGCGAAGTGACCTGTAACGCCATCGCCATACGTTTGGCTCTCAATTCCACATTTTTGGGCCCAGCTGCTGCAAACTCATAAGGATGGACCCTCATCCACTCCCCAACAGGAATCCATCACAATATTTGGTGGGTGTAGCCTAATTTCTCTATAGCGCCCCCTAGAAAACTTTAAATGATCAGCCCCAAGCCATGCTTTAACCTACAAATACGAAACTTTGTACACATGTGTACCTTGTCAGGACGTACAAAAAAGTCTCTTGGAGCCATGGTCTAAACCCCACAGGAAGTCAGCCATTTTGGATTCAAGTTCGGGTTTTGACCCCATTTTTGCCGTTTACAGCCTTCATATTTGATCTATCTCCTCCTAGGGATTTCGATTGATCGGCTTCAAACTCGGTCAGTCTGTTCATAAGGCATGTCTCATCTAAAGTTATCTAAACGGTGAGTTTTTGAGTATGCTGAAGGGGGGTTAGCAGGGGTCAAAGTTCACCTACTCGCCATAAAAAATAAACTGCTATATCTCCTACACAGAAACTCACAGAGGCACCAAAGTTTCTGTGATTGATCATCATCGGGTCTCCTACATTACCCTATGGTCGAATGATGACATCACTTAGGCCACGCCCCCTGAGAACAGGAAGTGTAATGTTTTACTGTGAACATTCGCTATCCGACCCCTTTGACCTCATCAACATGAAACTGTGCCCAGACACCGAAGACATGTTGGTGTATTGAGGATTCCAACCCCGACCAGCTACGATAGAGCAGGTGGGCATGGCGGCGTGGCGAAGTTACCTGTAACGCCATCGCCATACTTTTGGCTCTCAATACCACATTTTCGGGCTCAGCTGCTGCAAACTCACAAGGATGAATATTTATCCACTCCCCGACTGGAATCCATCACAATATTTGTAGGGCGTGGCCTAATTTCTCTATAGCGCCCCCTAGAAAAAGCCCATAGGTTATGTTGTTATTAATTATTTAAATATACATTATTATAACTTTTTATATATATATAAGTTTTATTTTGTGGGTTAAAGTACAAGCATTCATTCATTTTTGCTAGAAATAATACAAACAAAGTCATTCAGCAAAACTTATGACACAGCGAAGTAAGAACACACTGGGGTCAGTGTTGATGGAGTACCACTGGCACCTTGTGGAGAAATACTGGTACTGCTAGTGCAATACCAGTATGGCGACAGCAGGAGGCAGTGGTACTCCATCAATGAGAAAACAGCCGGCGACAGCTGGAGCTGCAAAGTTTTCCTGAACATTTTGCTTGCTTTTTGGAGCCACAGAACTGGACTACGCTCAACATTTTGCTTGGATTTTGGAGTTGCAAATACGAACCACGCTTTGGAGCAAGAAGGCTCTGTTGGACCGGAGTTGGAGAAGTTTAATGGGCTCTTTGCACCTCAGCTTACACGTTCGGGAAACACGGCTGAAATGTTTTTCCAAGGTAACAATTAATAATGTACATCGATCCGAAACCCCAACAAGTAAGGCAAAGAAAGGTTTTAAGATGTTCGCCTCGTTATACATTCACAGATATGAAGGTGACTTTTATTTTCTTTAAACTGCTAGCACAAGCCTGCTATCTTTCTAGTAAAATCTGCTATTTAATTATCTAAAGATTTCTCAGCCATTCTAACGGACACTGTTTGCCTTATTTTCAAGCATATTACGTTTGTTTATTGTTAACGACAATAAAGCAGCGGGGAGGGGGGGGGGGGCAGATTACAGTTCAGACTTTTTGCTTGAAGTATGACGAAGAAAAACGAGCACAGAGCTTACTCTGGTATCGGAGTCTAGTTCAGCTGACTGTTCAGATTCAGAGTTATTACTTTTAGAAAAATATGGCCGTGTTGCTTAAGGTTTCTGTTATTTCGTTTTATTACTTTTGCATGCTTGTTGTGAATGGCTCATTAAGACAGTGTTTAGAGCGGTGTGTACGGCGTTAGCTTCAAGTGGTAGCTTTAACTTGTAGCAACGAATATTTACAAGCTGTCTTAATTGAGGATGGCTTGGAAATCCATGAAAACTTAAACAAAGTACATAGTATTGTTTTATTTGTGTCTTAAGTACGACTTTGTCTTTTATAGCAGTCATAGTTTCTGAAAGTGGAAAAAAGAGCCGCATTCGGGTATACAGTTGTGACGTCAGCGCGGCAGGTGCAAAGAGCCCATTGCTGTTCGTTTAAACAGTCGTAACTCGCGGTGCGGTGAGTAATTTATTCCTTCCTGCTGGTTCTGGAAGCCGTCATGTTTGGAACAGTTATTCTGAGGAGGATGCTAACCCAATGCCTGAGGCCTGCAACGTTTTTAATGCTAACGAAGCACTTTACTAATTCAATAAACTGAATAGTGTGTTTGATACATCCAGTTTCATAAATTCAGAGTTGTTTGTTATTATGTATAGAAGATGTTTAAAATGTCGTTTGAAAGAGCTCTGAGAAAATGCTAAGTATCTTTTTACAGATCCATTGGGGTTGTAATATTTAGTTGCAGCACTTCCTGTGATTAATACCTAATTAATGGATGGGATTCAGCCTGTGCTATTGTTCTAAAGTGCTGAAAGTTAACTGTGCTCTCTTAATGTGCATTGCCCTTGGTTTTACTGAACAGTGCGGTTTGTTAAAACTGATACATCTTAACCTTCACCATTTTCCTGACTCAATTCACGATAACGTTAAAGTTGCACTGCATTTACATCTCAGTTGTAGTTAACATCAAGCATGTGGGTGTGGCTTAGTGTAAAACTTTCACTATTTGCCATGAAACATCAACATTAAATGACTTCCAAATGCAAGATCACAGCTGCATCATCACTTCCTCTGTCTTTCTAGAGAACAGCCCTGAACACATTTCCATGGTCACTTGATGACCTTAAAATACGTAAATTTTAAACAGGCTTAAGGCCTGCCCACTTTTAAGAGGCAGTCACATGTTTTCTGCTGTATGTTTTACTATTATTCTATAATTTATATGGGTTTCATCATGTGAATACTGACTAAAAACGATAACATGATGAACTCTATGAATGCTGGCTGCTGACCGAACCGCATTGGGGTGTAGAAATGACGAAATGCATTACTTCGCCATGTGCATATGATCGGCTCTAAATGACACATGGATCATCGGACTGGCGCCAAATTGAAAACGTATGACCTTTGTTGACCTCTAAAGAGCAAAACAGCATTGAAATGTATTTTGACTCCACTGCGCCCCTACAGCTGTACTTCCTCGCTAAACCAATGAATCTATACCACATTTTTTTGCATCTTGAAGGATAGCCGCCGAATGCATAGATGCGTACCGCCTGGAGGACGGGCGCGGAAACTGCGCAACAACTTCTGTCTTAGCACGTGCGCAGCGTTGATGGAAACTGAGCAACTGCTTCGCGGGGTGCGGGCGGAGGCGCTGAAAACTGCGTGAGAGCTTCTGTGGTGGCTGGTGTGAGGCTGCGGTTGCTCGTAGCCCGCGGTGGCAATAGGCCGGAGCGGCGCTTGGCTGCGAGGGCCGTTCGAGGCTGCTTGCAGCTTTAATTGGGTTTTGCAGTTATTACTGCATCTAATACTGGGAGTAAATTTCCATGGAATAATTTGTAAAAAAAACAAAAAAAGCTTTCCCCCTGAAAACTTTAAGTAATTTGGAGATCACCTTGTAACTGGGGAGTCAGTGTGTTCTTAGAGGGCACTGCTAATGTCTTAGCATGTCAAGATTGTGTTAACACACATTGAAAAGCTTCAGAGCAGCAAACTGTGAAAAACCAAACGCATCCAACAGCTTCTGACTGAAACCCTCTAGGGAAAAGGTGTTCTTACTTTTCTCTGTTTAAGTTGAACTGTAGATGCTTGCTGCAAAGGGTCATTCTGTCCACTGAGGCTTTTTGGACGTACATGAAATTCTGTACAACATGCCATGCTGAATATTTAAAATTTGAGATTCCATGAATAAACAAATAAATAAATACATTAATAGCCAGCAGGATCTCCAGGAAATATGTAATGTTTATAGGGTCTAACGCGCTCATTCCTTGAGTCTCTCAGCTGTGGATGAAGGGGAAAATCAGGCGGAACAGAGAGTGCCTTCACATGAGACAGCCTGTTTCCCCAGTGAGGAAGCCGTTATCTCAGTGTCATGCCTCATCAGTCCCCGAGTGAGACGTTACTGTACTCTACCTGCCATATGGCCATCACAGCAGAGCCCAGCCGGACGTTCTTCCAGCCAACCTGCTGCGCCAGACATTCGGAAAGTTGTTGGGATCCTCCCTGTGGAGAAACAGATACGGCACCATGAGTCAGGCTTGACTTGGTGCATGCTAATGGCTTTTCCTGTACCAAACAAGGGATGGCGATCCAATTCACATTTCATGTATGGATAAAGACGTTTTAGCATGAGATTTATGTTGAATTTCAAGGCTACACAGCTCTGGAAAACATGAGAGAGCATAGGACTGAATCCTATTGAAAACCTCCTGGTTATCTCACCAAATATTGAATTCTGAATTAAAACATAACTATTGTTGTTTCTAAATGCATATGAACTTATTTTCTTTGCATTATTTGAGATCTGAAAGCCCTGCATCTTTTTGTTACTTTGACGAAAATACTAAATTTCTGTTTGGTATTTCAGAGACATGTCAGACTAAACTAAAAATGCTCATTTTATTCAAACATCTACCTGTGAAGAGTTAAATCAGAGAAACTGATCATCTGAAGTCTTCTCGTTTTTTCCACTATATTTGAGGCTTTGCTACATTCAGTGGTTTCAGGACTGGATGCATCTTCATGTCAGCAACCAAGACAAAATTACGGTAAAGAGCAAATATAAAAAACAGAGTTTGCACAGGGAAGGCAAAAATGAAGCCAAAAGTTGCCGTACCATAAGGATGTTGATCCACTTAAATATAATGCAGCGGCCATAGAGAGACAAGTGACATTAGTGACTGAAAAATCTCCAACTTAAGTAAAGATGCATTGAACGACGAGTTGGAAGAAGTCATAAAAACTAATCAATAAGGCAACCTAAACTAATGTTTGTTTCTATGTACTGCAAATCTGAAGCAAACTTGTAGAAAACTGATTTTCACCAAATGTAATATCTATTGCTTGTTTCATAATTGATGACTGCTGAGCCCTTGCTCTGCAGGGGTCAGCTTGCAACTTCTTGATTTAAAAAATAATAATAAATCTGTCTGTTTTGACTGAACTGCGGCGACCGAGGTGTTGAACTGTCATCATTTCAACTCCATCAGGAAGTCTGAAGTTAGTTTTCTCAAGCCAGTTCTGATAATCATCTTGTTCAAACACAAAGAAGCAACAAAAACTTTTGTGATTTAGATTCAGAATCCTTTTCCACACAATCTGCAGGCAAGACGTACAAACAAGACATAGAAATGAAAAATGACAACTCCACAGGAGTTATCCGTCACAGCCACGCCACAAAATGTTTTTAAGACTCGATTTACTCATGAAGCAAAGTTTCCAACTGATTTACAACAGGGACAAGTTGACAATCTGTCATAGGACGTCTGAGGGCAATTTAGAGTAAGCAATTATTTTAACAGTCATGTTTTGGACGGAGGGAGGAATCTGGAGAACAGAAAAATACCTCATTCTACAATTAATAAGTCGATTATGAGCTTCACTTTTCAAAGTAAATGAGGAATTACTGAAATAAAGTCACAGATCTGGCTTCAAATGCTGATTCAAATCTGAAAGACTTATTTTAAAATGTTAAAATCCTAATGTTTGTTTGATGCTTATGCAATCTTTAGGCAATCAGATGCATCTTTGATACATTTTTATTTGTTAAATTTTGCTCATTATGCTGCAGCTGAATGACAATAAAATGTTTCTATGTCTTAATTTTCAGACCAACCTATAAAATTTATCATAAAGAAAAATAAAATTAATGAAGCAGTAAAGGTGCAAGATTTTTCTTCCTCTTTCACTACATCTGCATCAGTGATGCTGACATTTACAGCATCACTGCATCTCAGGCTGTTTTCATCTTTACAGTTATTTCTTCAGGGAAAATCAGTAATTAAAACATAAAAATGCTGCTAAAAGTAAACTGGAATCGCAAAAAAAAAAAAAGAAAAGTCTTTTGTGTAGGTTTGAACCAAAAGCTGTGCAGCCATTTTCTGAATGACCTTGTTAATCCATTAGTTCTCACTGGTTCTCAGCCATTTCTACACTTTAGCGCTGTAGGAGAGCGAGAGAGAGCTTGTGAGAGCGCAAAAACAGATTACAGACATTGGTCTCTTGTTGAGGGAATACAGAGAAAAGTAGCAAAAAATCCACATCAAGTTTGGAGCCAGGGGTGTTAGGATGCTGTAATTCAATGTTCAAGGGCCAAAGAAAAGCTGCGTGTTCACTGAGACATAGCACGGCCAGAGCAGGCTGCGATGAACGGGCTTGGCTTAACTCAAGAGAGGAAATATTCTGCTCCGTCTCCGGTTTTTAAAACTGCAGCAGAGTCTGAGTGGGAGGGCATGAGGGATATACCTTTATCTTAAACTCCTGAGCACAACCAGGAGTGCTTTCCAGAAGCGCCAGGAGCCCTCCGGCCGCAGCAGCGTACATGAGGAAGAACAGAAAGGACATCTGGGACGGCTCCATGCCGAAGACGGACCGGCTGCACACTCCCAGCTGCTCCTTCAGTTCTGCCACACAAGAACGGATAAAAACAAGCGGTAATCTGAGCCATTTCCCTGCCATAACAGAGCTCCACTTACTTTTGCAAGTTGTAAAAACAGCACAACAAAAAGATCCACTGTTCCACTCGAGGAGGCGACCATTACCTGTAATCATCTTGTCACTTTCTGAGTCTCTTTTCATTGTGAAGTCGATAAATTCAGCGCCACAGAGTCATTGCTTTTAACAAAAACATATGATTAAGACTTCTGAGGCCAGAAGTCTCTTCACATCAAGCAGGCAAGAATGAAAACATACCAACAGCACAAACTGAAGCAACCAATTGTCCTGAATGTCGCCTACTTAGGCCTGTCATTGTTAGATTTAAGGCAAGATGCATCATCAAAGCAGCCTTTTCTTGTCATATCAAGCTGGAAAGACAGTCCAACATATAGTTCACTCACTAGAAAACAAAATGTCACAGCCAGTTTGTCAGCATGCATTTTATCCACAAGTTAATGCAATTCACCCCTACTTTAAACCCAAATCTGACAACACTCATGGAAGGTTTAAAGTAGTATTAACTTTACTAATATGATACTTCTGAGTAGAAATAACATCAATGTTTTGGAGTGACCAATCAGCGTCTGGACAATGAGACTTCTGATATTAAAGAAATTAAACTCATCGCCAAAAACGTACAAAAACCCGGCCAGGTAGATTCACTAGAATAACTTTTGCTATCGCGGCAATGCAGTGATAACTTAGTACTGTAGGCTACTGTGTGCAAATGTTGGATGTGCACCAGATTTAAGGAACCATCAGAAACACACAAATACAAAGAAAGGTTCTGGGTGGAACCATTAAATTCTCTGAAATGAAAAAGTACAAGCCTTGTACACTGCAATATCTATTTACAATCAGGTTATGCAATAATGGGAATTTGATGAATGAATATAAGAAAATATTTTAATTTAGTAGCAAACTACTGCCTCATAATAAATTCTGATCAGGAGTAATGCATAATATTTTTGCCCAATTATTGTTTCATGCCTCTCAATTGATGTGAGTACCATGAAATCTTTCTTTTTTTTTATCTCATCAGGTATGAAAGCGGAAAGAACGAGCCTCACACAAGAACGAGTACAACACAGTCAGAGCTGGACCTTCACAGTGTGCATGGACCAGAAATCACAGCAGCGCCACTTCCTGGTCGCACTTCAGATGTCCAGCTTGTCACAGCATGTGCAGACGCGCCACCTGAACAACAGCCATGCTCAGTTCTGAACATGAGGGACTCTGTACAACCACTAGTTTGAATTTAAAGCTGCACATAAAAGTGGAAGAATAAAATGCATCTCAATAAATAATAAAAAGAAAAAAATATTTGTACACTATAGCATTCTCTGTTGAAATCACACAGCGGTGTGTGTCATTGCTGCTCTAATGATGTCCTGAATGCCTTTAAACTTTAACAGATTGTTCAAAAATGCACAATCATTTTAAGAGAAATGTCAGGCTTCTGTAGATCATGTTCATTCCCCGATACTCAAAACTTAGTCGGACCTCATTTTGGAGAAATTACTGCATCTATTCAGCGAGGAACGAAGGCGTCGCGGTATCTTTCATGACAATAGTCCACAGATTGTGTGTATTGGATTCAGGTCAAGCCACACAATGGTCAATGGAGCAGATTTTGGTGCCGTTGGCAGTGTGATTCGGCACCAAATCCTACTGGAACATAAAATTATTGTTTCCATACAGCTGATCAGCAGCTGGAAGAATGAAGTTCTTTAAAACTTCATGGCAGACGGCTATGTTGACTTCAGAAAACCAGATGACTTCTGGGTATCTTTCAAGTCCAGTACAATCGGGTAGCCGACTCACCCAAACAAAGACGGTTTAGGTCGGGGATGTCAAACTCATTTTCATAATCATGAATGCTCTTAAAGGGCCGATTATGCCAGAATGTCTTGATAAAACCCGTTCACATTTTTTGATTCTTAAATTTAAATATTATTGAACATCTTTTCAGTCCCTTCATGATGCTTTTTGTGATTTTGTGTAGTAAAAATCAAAGTTTTTGTGGAACTAATTTGCAATATTTTTGCTTATTTATGACTGTAAATGCTATAAGTTGCTATAAACAGCTAAAATATACCTTTTTTTCCCCCACAAGCAAACCAGGCAAAATGTGAAAATAAACCTGCTTCATTTTGTTGCCTCTGAAATGGAATCATGAGCAGAAGTAAAAACTGCTGAATAATGTAGACAAACGTGGCAGGAGGAATCCAGTCTTCTTCCAGAGCAAAGGCCAGTCCTTTATCTACAGCAGATTGCAGGATGTATGTTGGGTTATGCAGCCTCGGGTGATATTGTTGATTAGCACGACAGAGACACAGATGTACAGATGGACCGTGATGTGCTCGGTGTTTCCTGAAACAGCTTGAGACTGAAGCAACACACTACCCAACTGTCATGTTGGAGCAGAAAACAGAGCCGTCTTAACACCGCTAGCAATCCTTATGCTAACGGTATTTTTAGTATAACTGAAACAGAGTTTATTGCAATCTGGGTGCCAGAGAAAAAGACAAGAATCAGCGTTGGGATGAAAGTCCAGCCTTGAGCATGCGATTGGATTCACATTAAGGCGAACTCTGGACTACTTTTGAAACCTGGTGTCATAAATCAAGTTGGACATAAATCTAAAGAAAATGCAACATGGCCACTGAAAATGGGGCAAAATGACAAAGTTATTATTCTAATGAAAAGCAGCAAAACCCACATTATCCATCAAATTCATGCGGACATACAAGAATTCACTCCAGATCAGGATGAGAGGCGCTGTTGGGCAATGAGGTGGTGTGACGATAACCAGGGCCACCAGATTCAAAAAATACACCTGGATTGATGCGATATTATTTTACACAAAGCAGCTCTTCAGAAAAATCCTTTCAGTTTTGATGTGATTTAGCCGCTTGCTAACATCTCCACTGATCGGAGTCTCTGGTACTTTTTGAAACCGCGCCTTATAGTGGAACCTTTTGGGAACACACCCAGGTGATGTAAAGTACTCTGCAGGTGTTTCTCAATTTTATAAATTTAACAAAACTTCTGATAAAGGAATGTAAATGTGTGACATGAGAACTCGGTTCATCAGAGTCGGGTTACTACTTTCTAAATGAAGTGGAAGCCAGTGAGGTAAAAACTAAGGGTCAAAAGGGCAAGCATTGTTTGATGTTATGCTAACATTGCAATGCCGCCTAGTGGTCTGGCCTGAAAACTACAGCGAATACAACGTGCATCTCCATCTAAACGTCAAACTGATGTGTTTTCATTTCACAGTGAGATTAAATACGTAAAACAGTTTAAAAACAATATTTTTGGTGAAATTAATTATTCAAAATTAATCCATTAAAACTCCAGTCCTTGAAGGCTTTTTGGTTTACTTTTAGATTTTAATGTTTTTCTTTTCTAACAGAGGTCTTTCAGCATCCCTCTGTGTGACTCAACAATATTTGCTTTTAAAATTGTGCTCTAAAAACAATTAAGTATTTGAATCTAAATCCTTGTAAAATTGCCTCCACTAGATAAAATTTCTGTTTAATTTTCAGCATTTTAGCAGAAGGCTTGCAGTGAAAACTGAATGGTACTTCAGTTCCAAGTACCATTTCCAAGTTAAGTCAACTTATGCCCATCCAGATGTTTTGCATTTCATTTAAAAACCACTAATTGTGTTAAAGGGAGAAGGTTGGAGGCAGTGGAGCGGAAACGGACCTTCAGTCCAAGCGTGTTGCTCGATGTACGAGTGCACCGTCATGCTGTCCAGCTCCGCCGCGTTGGGGGTCCTCAGTGGATCCTGAACACACACCGTCCTGCACAGCCTGTCAAACTGAGAACAGTGTATGATCAGAACCTGACATGACAGTTCAGGCAAAACACACACATTGAAGAAGAGGGACGACAAGAGGCTGCTGCTCTAAAGCATCTGAACCAGACTGGAGCTGCTGTGGTACTTTATGTGGTGAACTTGTCAATCCAAAGAACTCGCTCTGCTCCAAATTACTGTGATATCCTAAGATATAGACCTCTCAAGGTTTGAATTTGGAGAATTGGGGTTTGTTGCATTTCTTGACTCTCACCTTCCACAGCATCTGGGTGAAGTCCAGCAGCACCAGCGGAGACAGAGCCGGGATGCTGGTCCGGTAGGATCTCACTCTGGAAGTGGGCCCACCCACGTGAAGCACCTTCTTCCCAACATTAAACTGAGGATACACCTCCAACCCCAACTCTTTTATGAGCTCCATAATGTGTGTTTGTGTGCTGTGTGGGAAGAGAAATAATTTAAAAAAAACTTTATGAATCTTCATAAAAGAAAATCCTTGAAAAACTAGAAAAAAAGATTAATGCTGGGTAAAAAAAATATACTGGAAGAGAGTCATCTGAGTTGAACAACCTTCACTTTGTGAATCCGTTTTCTATGAAATGTCCTTTTCTGACATCTATTTGTCTGATTAGCTTGAAACATGTTTTAGGCTAAATCAGTTGCAAGTTAAACACAAACATATAATATTTTGAGAAATTCTGTATTTTGAGACTGACACTGTATTTAATGTCACATGGCTTCTATATCCCAACTCAAAAAATACGTCTCCACACCATGATACATCCACCGCCTAGTTCCACTGTGGGGATCGCATCTTATAAGATTCAAACATTATTAATGATTTGTTTTGTTTCAGTGATCGAAAAGCAAAGCTCATATTGCTTAGAAGATTTGGTAAAAACAGTTAATTTAGATTATTTTGAGTTATAGACAGAAATATACCTTTTAAGTTGTTTTAAGGCCTAACCAATAGGCCAGTTGTAACCTTTTAAAAGGTAGAGCCATCAGTAAAAGCCTGGTAGGTCAAATATTGGAAAGTTTGGTGGAAGATAAAACTCCCTCTGAGCCACAGCAGGGAACCGAAGCAATGCAGAAAGATAAAATTTACTGTATAGAAAGAGTACATGAAATACTTTACAGTTCTTCAAAATACTAAACTCATTCCAAAGAAATGTGTAAGCAAGTAGGATTATTTTTTTGAAAAAAAAGTCAATTTGTATGTTTTTCTGCATTAAAAACATATTGTTTACAAAACGTGAACTAGAAGTATGCAAACAGCACAAATGTGCAAAAAACAGCAAGAATGTTATATGAAATGAGGAAAAATATTATGAAAACATTTCTTCCTTCCACTCGACTTTCCAGACATACCTTCAGTCAGTGTTCTTGTTGTCGTTTGTCACTCACTTTTAAAAGTTTTCCTTTTTAAACTGAGTTCCTAAAAATAAATGAACTTTTTAGATCACACTAATTGGAAATACATCTGGAAAGCTGAGTGTAGAATCATCTTCAGCATCCTTAGTCAAGAGCTCTTATATAAATGAGCAATTATGTGTCTAATCTGTTTGTGAGATGGATATTGATCCTCCCTAATCCCCACTCGGAGTTTTTCCAAGGGTTTTATTATTAGCAGCTCACCTCTTATCTTTTTCTAATGGTCCCAGGAAACTGGAGACAAACGCCTCCCTGTCAGCCCGCAGGTGTTAAAATCGTCTCATCTTTATTCCGACTTAATTATGCACAGATTAAAGAAAGAAAGAAAAAAGTCTCATGTGTGGGTTTAATTACCTGCCGACCCATTGTCCTCCAAAGTCCCAGCGATCAGCACCGTGGGCTGCTGGGATTTCAGAGGACACGGTGCGACCTCCCACTCGATCTGACAGAAACACAAGCGACCATGAGGTAAACAACACATTTTAAAGGCGTCACTTTCCCTCCAGGACGGACCAGTTCCCGACCTTTCCCCTCCAGGATCAGGACTCGCAGCTTGGCGTCCCGTTTGGTGAGCAGGTGAGCCGCGCTGAGCCCAGACAGCCCGGCTCCGACCACCACCACGTCCCAGATGTCGGCCGTCATGGTGGAAGTTCAGGTGAAAAGTTAACCGCAGCTGTCGCTAATGATAGGTGACGTTTCACGGACCCGAAACGTTGATTGGTTGGAAGTTTTCCGCAGGAGCGGCGGGTCTAATCCTTGACGGTCAGCCGGTGGGGGACTCGGACCGTGGGAGGAGTTTTCGTCTTAAAATGAAGAATGACCTGCTGGAGAGATTTGTTAAGTTTATTCTGTCAGTAAGAATTGACTAACAAACAAACAAAATATTACAGGTACAGGTCAATCCGATTCAGTTCAGTTTATATATATTTTCATAATTGAAAGAGAAACTGAATAATTTACGCATAATTTTAAATTGCATTTTTAATTGTTGGCATTTAATTGAGGTGTGATACTGTAACTTTTGCGTTGTGATGTTTATTTTTTATTATTTTATACATTTTTGGTTTTATTTTTTTCTCTCTTTTCACCAACTTATTCTGTTGTGTTATAATTTTTGCGCAGCACTTCGGTGCAGTTTTAAACATATTTTTAAAAGTGACATGTAAATAAATTTGACATTGACAAGTATTTTAAAACAGTCATTATGAATGGGGGTGCCGTAGCAGTCAGTGTTCCACTGTCTCTGAAGAGGCCTCTGACTGAAGTTTGATTGTAATTAGATAACAGCTCAATATCCAGGCAATAATTCAGATTCTCATATTGCTAACATTTTGTAAACTAGCAGGAAGTAACAGAGATGTCCTGTTTCAGCGAGACAATGTGCTCCAGCAAAACGCTGAAATGATTTGAAATGAACAAAAACAACTTTGAGTTGATGGATTATTCTGTGAACTCCTCAGATCTCAATCCAAATGAAAATCTGTAGGACAAGTCCAATTCATCAGGTCCCCACTTAGCAATTTTTAGGATTTAAATGATGTGTTGCAAAGTCAGTGATGAAATGAAGTTGTGTGTAGAGTCCGTTAACCTGCACATACATGAGACTGAAAAACGGTGCAACACACGAGTAACACTAACAGCTTGCTCTGCTCAGTCTTGGCATCTTGAGCAGCAGACTCGTTCTATCATTAAATGCCGCAGCGAGTTTCCATATGCTGCTTTTTCAGTGGCGCCTCCATGATCAGCTGGTGTGCAACATGATTTAAAAGATGCTAAGTATCATTATTTTAGCTTTACTACTTACCGTATAATCAGTTATCTCATTAGATATTAACAGCAGAGGTGCAGTGCACAGGTTACCAGATGGGGGAAAAGTCAGGAGACACCAGATTAGAACTGTTCCTACTTGTTTAATGAGAGTATTTCTCTGCTTTGCATCATAAGTGTCAAACTCTAAACTCTTACACAGGAAGAAAAATCACTTGATCATCTATGGAAAAGTTTACAAACACCATTTTTGAGTGCATTACAAATAACCTCCAGTTCTTTTCCACATACCTTGGATTAAAAGTAAAACCTGTCAGAGAGAAAAGAAAGTAAACTGAATGTAATAACCCAGTGAGTGCATCTGTCCAAAAGCAAACACTCTAAATTTTTTCAGATTGTGAAGACACGTCTTGTCCACAGCGTTTTGCAGGCGGTGTCTCAGGTTTTTCAGACAAATGTGGTTCTGGACCTTGGTCAGGTCATTCCGAAACATCAGTTTTCCTCTCTTGAAGTGATGCTTTTGAAATATCCTGGAGTCACAGTGATGCTGAAAATGAAACCGCTCTTCATTTTCAGGTTAGCAGACAATTGGAAGTTGTGTTATTTGTGTGCTAAATGTACCGTTTTGGAAATTTTGAAGTTTAAATGTGGTTTCATCAGTCCGTGACGCAATCTTCCATAATGTTTTGAATGATTTTAGTCAAGTGTAACAAAGTTGAGGTACCTGAAGAGATTTCTTTAAAAGAGCCTTGAGGTGTGAATGAAAACAGGAGGCAGTGGTTTTGGTTTTAGTGGATATATTCATCTGCAAAAAGACAAAAAGAGCAAAAACAAAGAGCGATCGTTGAGTCAAAATAGACTCATGTCAAAGTCATCGTCTATGTGAAGATTCTGGTCCAGAAAAAAAACCCAACAAAACTGTTTTAATAGCATCTAAAGGAAATAGATATTAATACAAACATTCAATGTGTGCACTAGTTTATGCACATTAAATGCAATCATTCAATTAACAAGAATTTTGACAAGATCCAACATTTATGTCATGTTAAAGCCGCCATAATTTAGGTGCAATCGAATAAAATGTCATGCAGAATCAGATTTCAAGTAACTTTAAAGTGCACTTTCAAAAATGATCATTTATCAAAAATAAAATTCTTGCAAAATACTCACGCAAAGGGAGATAGGAAGAAAAAATAAAGACACTGCGCAACATTAAATTTGGCCAAAAGTCTAGCTACTTTCTGTTTGATTTCACCGTTACACCAAACTTCATTTCCGTTTTAGCGTCAATACAAACAGTAGCAAAACACGCAAAAAAACATCTAACTGATGCACCAAACAACAACTGACCGCATTTATCAGACCTTTTTACACAATTCGGCTTCCATCAAAAATAATTGTCTTACCTTTTCAGCGGAGTAAAGAGCTCTTAGCCTCAATGCTAAGTACATAGCGACCGGGCGGCTAAAAATGGCGGAATCCCAGTGGAGTTCTGAACGAGCAGTGCCATCAATTCTAGTGAAAACAATTCTGCAATAAGCAATCAACTAGTAGTTTAAGACATGAAACAATGCAGCTACCTGATGACCACAGACTAACCTTGTAATGGAGTTTGCAGATGTGCAGAAGTGCATTGATTAGTTTGAGAGAGGACACAGCCACCATGGAGACAGAGTAAAGGAAAACTGTGAGCTGGAGGCTGGGCTTCATTAAAGAAGATGGAAAGTTTGGGGTAACACAGCAAGTGAGCCAGCAAAAAAATAAATAAAAAAAAAATTTGTTTCCATATTGGGATTGTTGTTGCATGTAGGACACAATTAATTTTTGTGTTTTTTTAGGACTTTTGGACACAAGTTTCCTGTTGAGCTGCTATTATTGCGGTTTCTCCCCACATTATATATATAGATTTTATTAATTTTTTTTACCCTTCCACTAATGATTCCTTTGTACAATGAGATCATTTTGAGCTCTTTTAAAAACGAGATGTAACATTTCTGCTAACTGTGACTGAACCAGAAGGATCCAATTGAGCAAATGTCATGTGAATCCTGCATGCACGGCTGAAATTTACTCAGTGATGATCATATTCCCTGCAACAGAGTCGACTGAATGTGGAAAATGACTCAAAAGGTTCTTCAACAAAGTATTTGGTTGCGTGTGTTTGTTTATGTGATTTCTGCCTGGTGTCTAATGTTTTAAATGTAGAAATTATTTCTTACTTTTTTGACTTAAGGTGTGGATGGAAAGTTTTATATTTACTTAGTTTATGAGATCCACACATACCACGGTGTACATTAATTTATGATATTTCAGTACCATTTATTACTATTTCCATTAATGGCGTTATTTATTTTGCATAAAGTCCTTTTTGTGCACCTTTGGCTACCAAAGAAGCAACTTCTGTGTGCTCCACAATAAATCAATAAAGTTCTTGTCTATCTTTATCTCGGTGTCCAGCAGTTCATATGCAAACTCCTCCTACTTGGTGTCACTTCAGTGGCGCTGAATGTTGTTGAATCGGTGGTAAACTGTGAGGACAGACGGACTAAACTAGATTTTATTCCCTGAATCTTCTCTGTCAGAAAGGTTAATAAATAGGCCACTAGTGTTTTTGCATTTTGCATCAAAAGAAACATTTTATACGTTCATTACTTCCTTTTTTGCCCCACAATTCTCATCTGAGGCATATAAAAAATGATCCTGCTGGGAAGAGGTGAAATAACATGTTTTAAATGATTGAAGACAAGGTTATTATATCTAAAGCTTTTCATGTAAAAGGTACAGCTTGGAAGGTGTTGTGTAACACACTAAAATTGCTGAAAGAAAGGAAACCTGAGCCAACAACTAAGCACAACATGACATAATCAAGGACCAGTTTTTCTAGCTTTATCTGTTTAAAAGATATTAAAATTAAGAAAGTGCTCTTTGCACACTGTCTTACAAATGTGTGATTTGGTTTTATTGGGTTTCAAAATGCAAATATTGATATATTTCATTAGGATTTTATCTGACAGTCCAACACAGTTATGTTTTGACATTAAGTTGGAAGAAAATTAAAATCTGAAATGATCGAGTGAATGTGTATTTAGTATCTCTAAATTAATAAATATATTATTATTATTATTATTATTATTATTATTATTATTATTATTTCACTTGTAGTATTAATGTGATGATGTGCTGAAGGGCGACCGTTGCAAGTGTTCTTAAAGAGACAGAGACCAATTTGGAAGCAATGATGCAAAGTGAAATTAATTTTAAGTTGTTTTTATGAATAAATTCTGTATTTTCATACAACTGAAGCTTACACGGTTATGTGAGTATTCAGTAAAATGGCACAACTTGCCTGGAAAATATAGAACAACCCATTTTTAAGAAATTTGCCCAAACTGTTACTTTTAAAGAGAAGAATTTGTGTTTTGGGAATTTCGACATACTTTCTTTCAACCAAACCAATCCACGACTTTTGTCATTTTATTTAAAAATGTTTAAAATGAATGGGAGTGTGAGGTCAGCGAGGGTTTCGGTACATTTTTAGATTTTGCTTACGTTCCCACTGTATAAAGAGGTGGCAATAAACATAAGTGTTTTTCCGAAACCGGCAGAAGCTTGTGAAAAACACGAGCTGACAACTGGAGAGAGTGTCCAATATTTTACATGCAGCTCAGAGTTCAGATAAAGCTCCTTATCCTCTATTTCTTATCCATTTTCTGTGCGTGTCTTCTGAAAGATCCCCAACAGTATCAGATTTATAGAGGCGAGTTTTCTGTAGATGCGCCACAGAGATAAGCCCAGCAGTCTATTATTAATATATCTACTCTTTCAGAAACTCTTGTTTTGTATATGCTTTGTATTTTTGCCTGAAAAATCTGTTGTGTTTTCTTTTGCAACCCAAGACCTTGTCTTTGTTTTCCTTTTTACTATGTAAAAGCGTCCACTTAATAACAGGTTTGTCACTGCGATGTGGAATATTGTGTATCCAAGACAAAAACAGGATTGCAAATTCTTTCTTCTTTCCAAGGGAAGGTTGTTTTTTTTAAATCAGTAGTCTGGCCATGTTGATAAAATGAACAGAGAAAATAAAGACAGGATTAGTGTCTGAAGAGAGCTCAACATAAAAAAGTAAACAAATGTGGGGAATTGGCAGATATAAGCTGAATTTTGCAGGTATATTTTCAGCATATTAGAGGTATTTTTTTAACTATTGTTTGCATTTTATGTCTGACATGTTTGTCAGAACAATGACTGACATTTAAGCACATGGATCCATGCTTTCTTATTGGTTTTACTGTATGTTGATGCAATTTGGGTTAAAATGCAAGATTTTATAGCAGGTTTGGCTGAGCTAAGGTGAAAACTAAAATGATTGGACCAATCAGAAGGCGTTTTGTTACTGAACACGAAGAAAAAGAGGTGTTTCTTGGAGTAACACTACACTTTCATTTGTTCCTCTGCTCTCCTTGGACAGCGTTTCGGATGCAGTGGCCTTTTTTGAGGTAATGTTGCTATGATATAATTTATTTTTAATCACGTTGTACTTGTTATGGGTTTCAGTTGTGATTTGTAAGTGGAGATGCTCTTCTTGCTCTATTTGAAACAGGATGATTACGTGCAGACAGAGCCGCTCTCACCCGAGGACACCTTTCAACCTTTGCTGTCTGCCGTGGTTATTGTTGTGCTCTGCAGTGCTCATGAGCACAGGTATCGCCACAGGCAAGACAATGGGAATTCATGTTTTTGCACACAAACTAACAGTGCCTTGCAGCAATTCTGACACAACCTGAACCTTTCCGTGTTTTACATGCTACAACAGAGACCACACATCACCCATTCTTCATTACTACTGTTGACATTGACCATTGTTTTTAAAGTCTTGCTCAAATTCTCGATTGGATTTAGGTCTGTATGACTGGACCATTTTAGCATCTAATTTCTATTGTTGCTCAAACTGAATGTTTATGGTCATCCTCGCACTGGAATGTGAATCTTTGCTTCACGGGGCTTCTGTAGTCTTTAAGACTTGGGTGTCCAGCTCCAGTCCTCAAAGGTTGGTGTCCTGCCAGCTGGAGATGAGCGTTTGCTCCAACAGCTGATTCAAATTGTCAAACTTCCTCCTCAAGACTCCAGAGTCCTGCTAATGAACCATCACCGGCCCTTGATGACTGTGTGTGGACACCAGTGGTTCAGGTTGACAGCCACATCTTTGTACGTTTGCTGCTGTGCTGGGTTGATTGAGCAGAGCTTTGTTCAGGACGTTGTTTAGTAACCTAACTCTCTCTCTCTTTGCTGTGATCTTTGTTCTTCATGGTGCTACTTGTTCATGAATGTTCTGTTTGGCTTATTCACATCAAATGTACCTCTAAATGTTTCTTCCAATAAACGTTGTTGGGGCGGATTTTAAAGCTAATCTAAATTCTGGTTGAGACCAAAGCAGAAAGATTTAATTCCACCTTGAAACATGGGTCCCAGTTTGCTTAACCCTAACCCATCCTTCAGCAGTGGGCTATTATGTAAGTCCAAAGAGAGGGAGTGAACCATTTACGGAGCAATTTCCTGCATGCTGGATAGTGTCACTTGCAGCTTGCTACCTCCAGATGACTCTTTCAATCCCTGGGGCCATGCCATCAAGAAGCCAAGGGTGAAGCAGCCGGGATGAAATATTAGCTCCCCCAAAGCCAAGATTATTGTCTTCACCTGGAAAAGTGAAGCGCGCACTTGGTGAGTGATGCAGTAACTTTGCTGGCCTGTTTTGATGAAGTGAGGGCTGACCTAAAAGGTAAATCTTACCAACTCATTTTCCTACCCTCACTGGTGGTCACAAAGTTTAGGTAGTGACCAAACAAACAAGATTGCTGATGCAAGCAGCCAGTGGAAGACAAGGATACGTTGGAGGGACCATGTGTCTCTCGGCTGGCCTGGGAAAGCCTTGGGATTCTCCCAAAGGAGCTGGTCCAAGTCACCGGGCAGCAGGAAATCTGGACTTTTTGCTAACTCTTGTCTCCCGGATTGAGGGTAAGACAATGGATGGGTGGACAGACGGGCCCTGAAGTTATCAGATTCCACTTCCTCACTGAAGGAAATGTTCTGCCTTGTGACTCAATGTCCCAAGTTGAAGTCAGCACTATTTCTTCACCATCATGGCGGTGTACTTCTTCCTTCTCTTGTGATAACAGATGGTGGCCAGAATTTCCTCAAAGTCATTCTCTGTGACTTCAACGAATTTCATTTTTGCTTGGCAGCCATATGGGCTGCATTACACAGACCTGGACTTTTCCAATTATGTGTCCTTTAATTCCCATTGTTCGAACTGAAATTTGCAGTAATTTTGGATATCAAAGTACTGCATGAGTATGTCACAAAAAGTCATGCAAAAACCATATGTCCCTTCACATTTATGTGCCACCTTTTCTCAGTCTATCACATAAAGTCCCAATAAAATATATCAAAGTCATTGGTTGCAGTTTAAAAACAAAACTCAGTGTGTGAATATTTCTGTAATCCTCTGTTAGATTGGAATTGAATTCAGAAAGTTAAACAATTTTCACCTGAGTCTGAAAGAAGCAATCACGATGACCTTCATATCTGTTCTCTGCTGAAAGTGGGGCCTCAGGGGATCTGAGTTTGCCCAACATCACCACAGCAGCCACAGCTTCTCCAGCAAGGTCCGATGTTCTCTTCCGAAATGATTTTCCAACTCCCTATTGTTCCTAAAATTAAGTCTGCGCTCGCTTTGTTCAGAGTGTGGCTCTTAGCAGCACGTTTAATCTCACTGGTATCCCCCGAGCTACACATAAACATTGGTATTTTATTTAAAATGCTGCTCCATTTTATGCATGTTAGGACAGAAGCGTACTTGTATGGAGTGGAATAAAAGCATTATGGGGTGATTTTACAAAAATACTAAACAGTACACTTGAAATCCCTGAAAAGCTAAATTATAGTCTCATTTTCTGTTCTCCCAAAGGGCAAATTGGAGCCCAATTCAAGCTTCTCCTATTATCTGTACTTAGATTTGTTTTGATAAGATGAATGGTTCAGGATTTTAAGCCTCTGCATCATCTGAGTGGGTTCAGACAGAGGTTTTTTATTTTTTCAGCTCTGGTGTTGAACCTTTAAACATTTTTTTTCTGTTATGAAAGGTTTGAAATAGTTGAAGCCTTGAAGGGTTTGTGAGGATTACAACGTTGTAGAGGGTCTCATGGTAGATACAATGCAATGAATAGAATGGGTTTTTGCAAAAAGCTCCATGAACACTCAACCTATTATTGAAATGTTCTTGATGACGACATTTTCAATTTGCAACCCCTGAAAAAACTCATAACCACATCTGCACATCCTGTTTGGCCGCTTTTGAATCCGAGGGGTTTTTGTTTTCCATGTTTCCGGGAACCGAATGGAGCCTGAATGCAGCATAGAAACAAGCAGTGAATCAGAAAGAGGACAGCATTTACCCTTGGTAGTAGAAAGAGTAAATTAAAATGTTAGTTTGATTGTGGCTAATCTCAAGAATGGTCTGAATTTGCAGAGCTGAGATGCACACAGGCGCTGAAGGTGACATCGACAGGTCCGCAGACCATCCAGAGGGCCGAGGGCGACAGCGTGACTTTGGGTTGCACTTACATAACGAGCTTGCTGGACACCGGAGAAATTGACATTGAATGGTCTGTGATCAGTCCAGACTCTACCAAGAAGGATCAGATGGTAAGATCCAAGATAACGTAAAGAAACGTCCTGAAAGCAACAAAACACTCAGGAAAACGAGTCTTTTCTTCTTATTCATCTTTGGTTTTACGTTCTGTTGAGAAAGAATGTGAACTCACTAAAACCTTAAGTGCTTCTCCTCACTTTGATGTCAGTACATGTTGGATATGAGCCTCATGCGTTTGTTCATGCAGAAGTATTTCCATCATAATCTTTCTTTTAAACTGCCTTCCTCTCTCTGGGAAGTATCTCTAAATCCAAGGTTTTTTTTGTTTTTTTTAAAAATTTGGCTAGAAAATCAAAGGATTTCTCCCTATTGAGAATCAGAACACAAGCAGCTTGAAAAAAATGTTGAGTGCAAATCCTAAAACTTGTAATTTAGCCATGTTTCTGCTTTTAAAAAGATTATCCTGATGTGAGGAGGCTGTACTTTCATTTTAATACCCAAAAGCAGTCAGACTATGGTTATATTTAAAATGCGATCAATTTTCGATCAATTTTCCAGACAAATTAAGAAAAAAATTATTTATGGTGGGGGGGGGGTGGTGGGAACAAAACACGGATATAGTTATAACTTTGCTAGAAAAATGTTAATTTCCCCAAATAAAATATTTTCACATTGTTAAGTTAGAAGTTTGCATAAAAAAAATCTGAAGCTTACTAGAATTGTAAAGTCAGTTTATTTTTCTGCATTGTGCACGTTTCTAAAATTTGAAAGCAAAATATGCTTTTAGCCAACTGTAAATAACCAAAACATCCCTCTTCTGAAAATGAAGTTCTGTGAAAAAGAACCGATTCCTTCTGTTTTTGCATTTTGGACAACTCCAGTAATTGATTTAACCATAAATTATCCTGTCTGCCAGAAAATCAACTAGTTCCTGACCTGCAGCTGAAGTGCATTCTCTTCACGCAGCAGGAGATTGATCAAAAATACATCTTAAATCCAGCTCTTAAGTGACAAAAATAGGAGGTTTCAAAGTGACTTCATCAAAGTCTTTTCTTAAATTCAATTGGGATGACTTAAATGGACCTTTCATGAGTCTCAATAAAGCAATTCTGCAAATGGGAGTGGGCCAAAAGTCATTCAGTGATTCAAAAATATGTATGAATTCATTCAGCTTGTTGTGGTTTAATATGAAAAGAATATTGATCAGAACTCTAAAACTCAGTATAAAATGAGTTGATTGGGTACAACTATTCAGAAGACTCATATAAATATGCAAGTAGATTTTCTTCCAAGCATTTGTTTAGTTGTGACTTTGAAAAACCTCAACAACGCAGATTTCTGAGAAATAATAGTTTGCAATGCTTTTCTAAAACACGAGTCAACAGGGGCCCTTTTACACATCTAAAAAAGATTAGAAGGAACACAGCAATTCACAGAAAGTCATTAGCATTCCTTTTGGGACGTGCGTTCTGACCCACAGATTTCCACGAGTGTTGCGATTTCAAAGCTAATTAAGCAAAAATGTATTTTTATCTAGCTGAATTTTTCTCCAGCTTGTTTGACTGGCACAGGGCGAACACTGAGTGTTTCGCTGCTGCTTTGTGAGAAAACTGCTCCCTGCTGTCTGGTTGGACGTGTGCCAGCATGAGTGCAGAAGCTGGACTCCACACTGAGCTTGCAGTGAAACTTGAACAATGAACCCAGAGAGCTTTGGAAAAGAGAAAGTTATAATTTTGGCTAGTTTCTGCTGAGATTCACATCTCTGATCAACAGTTGTTTTTAAAGATAGTTAACTTGATTTAATGTTTTTCTCATGTTGTTTTCCAGCTTTTGTCATACACCAGCGGCACCAAGTACCACCATGGAGGTCCGAGAGTTACTGAAGGCTTCAGCTTTGCTGCAAGCGATCCCTCCAAGGGCGACGCTTCTCTTTCCATCGCTCAGCTGTCACGCAACCACAGTTCTACCTACCGGTGCAAAGTGAAAAAGCCACCTGGAGTCGATACCCGCAAGGTGTCACTGGTGGTTAAGGGTAAGACTGGACATTGATCTGTCACCTGGCTGCATTATTTATGGGAGTCACTTAACAAAAGAGCTTGAGACGTTAAAATGTCACACCAATCAATCAATCGATCAATCAATTAAATTTTATTTGTATAGCACATTTCAGCGGCAAGGCATTTCAAAGCGCTTTACATAATAAACACAAAGTTATGCAACATAGAATCAATAATCAAAAACTACATTAAGTCAAGTGCCATAACAATGCAAATAAAACATTTTTAATATGTAGGTACCATTGCAGCCATTTCAGTCAATAATCATTAAATTTGTAATAGATTTCATGTCAAATCCAACTCTAAACAGGTGCGTTTTTATTCGAGATTTAAAGGAAGTCAGTGTTTCAGCTGTTTTACAGTTTTCTGGAAGTTTGTTCCAAATTTGTGGTGCATAGACGCAGAATGCTGCTTCTCCTCGTTTGGTTCTGGTTCTGGGGATGCAAAGCAGACCAGAACCAGAAGAACCTCGACTGGCAGCCAGGCTAAAAATACAAAGCCTTGTATGTTCAAGGGCTTTCAACGTTTTCACAACAGTCGCCTCACAGACACAGACTTGAGCGTGTTTTTCTGGGAGTTTATGTGATGGACCAACAGAAGTTCATCTGCCTAATGAAGTGAAAGTGATACACAGTGAACAGGCAGGTTAACATGCAGGATGAGCAGGAGCTCATCATTATTCTGAAAATCAGATTTTTATTGTTCTTCGCTCTCATTCTGCTGTAAGTGATCTTACTATAAGTTAATAATATTCCTTTATGTCACACTGCATGATAAAGTTAGGAAAGTTCTTTTTTGGTCCCAGTATTTGCTGCATGAATATATTTTTATATTAATTGCCAATTTTTGCAGGCTGAAATCTTACCAAGTCTTAGCAGATCATTCCATTTAATGTTGCAATGAATCTGATAAGCTGGTAACAAGCTGACAAATCACCACTAATGTTAACTTACTTTGCAGTTCACAGCTGTAGTTCCTTCTGCATGCATGACGATGAAAAAATCTTTTTAAAAATCATCCAAACTTAATTTGCTAGTATTTCCTCTTTGGGTGTTTTGTCTCAACATTTTGTATCGTTAAAATAACCTAAATAAAGCGATACCTAATAAGGTTATGTTAATTTAATTGTGAAACTTTAATAGTAACTAAAAATTAATCGCAAACGTCATCAGAGTAAGTGTGCAAAACAATTTTATATTGACATTGCCTTTTTCCATCCACACAAAATGTGACAAATGGGCATTTCATAGGTTTAAAATCTTTTCAGCACTGTTTTGACAAATTATGACAGTAAGACACAGAAAAAATCATAAAAATATTTATATTTTAAGACTCAGGGACACAATCATTATGGGATGAAGCGGCTTTGAAGTGACCTTGGATGAGAGCAGCTATTGTCAGGAAATGTTTTCTATAGTTGTACTAACATTGCAGTCATCGCCTTCGCTCATTCTGACCTTTAAAATCCAACTTGTAATGAAAGGTTTACAATCTGAAGAAAGCTCTTTGTTGATAACTTGCATAAGCAGCTAGCAGTTTCAAAGAGACGGCGATGAAAGGAAAGCTGCGAGGGAACGACTCGCTTCACTTTTCTACCAATTTAGATTGTTTTTTTTAGAAACTGATGCTAGATTTTATTAGAATTTAATTATTTTAAGCTGCTTGGCATTATTTTCTAAAATTAGGACTCGTTCATCTGATTTTAATTTAATCAAACTGAAATTAGTCTTTTTAATTTTTTGGATGTGTTTCTCTTTTCTTTGTTAGAAGGCACTATTTAGTTCATTGAGAATATTTCAAAGGGTTTTGCTTATTTACTCTCTTTCTCAGTCTTTCCCCTTCTTATCCAACACTTCAGCTCACCCTGCTGTAAATAAAATAAACGTGACAGAAATGGCGATGCAGGAAATACCCCGATGGTTTTGTGATTGCAGTAAAACCATCTGTACCTCGCTGCTGGCTGGAAGGAGGGGAGCTTGTCGGTGAAGCCGTTTCTCTGCACTGCGAGTCCTCTGAAGGATCCACTCCCCTAACATACAAGTGGCGGAGAGAAAGCAAAGACCTCATGCCTGCTGCTGCCACACAGGGTAAGTCTGACCTCTGTTGAGGTCATCTTGTTACTGCACATTACAACATGCCTGTGTGTGTGTGTGTGTGTGTGTGTGTGTGTGTGTGGGTGTGCGTGGGTGTGTGGGTGTGTGTGTGTGTGTGTGTGTGTGTGTTAAGTAAGTTTCTTTTTGGGGGCGATTTGCAGCGACCAACTGACCTGACCTGCATGTTTTAGGAGATGTGGGGGGAACCGGAGCGCCCGGGGAAAACCCACGCAAACACGGGGAGACCATGCAAACTCCACACAGAGGGTCTCTGTGAAGACGCAGCGCTAACCGCTGCGCCACCGTGCTGCCCACGTTTTTTTCATTTTGGTGGGGAAGGCTTCGTTATGCTTGTGAGGGTGTGTGTGTGTGTTAAGTAATCTGTTAATTTTGTGGGAGAGAGAGAAAGAAAGTTGATTTTTTTGGGTCCATTTGTGGATAAAGTCAATGTTTCAGTTTTTTAGGCTCTAATTAAGTTTTTTAGGCTCTTGTGGCCGTTATTTGGAAATTGGGAGAAGAGAGAAGGGAAAGACATGCAGCAGATTCCCCAGGACTGGGAATCAAACGCAGGTTGACAAACAAAACCTTTCAGTCACGTCCTAAACAAATGTTTATTGTTGTCATAGCAACCGCCTATCAAGATGGCTGCCAGTTCAAACAAAGAACGCTGTACTCTATATTTCCAGTGTTTTTTCTGGTTTGGTCACATGATCTGCAGACTGACAGACTTTTAAGAAAACTTTCATTGGCGACTAAAGCAGCAGGTCAATAGTGGTGGAACCAAAACCAGCTCTGTCTCAACTGTTTGCTGAAAGAACATGGAAGATGGTGAGGAATGTTTTAATAGAGAGCCTCCATCCTCATGTTTCATCAGTTTGAACCTCTGGGCTGATTAAGGCCTTATTGTTCCTCTGGTCACTAAGAACATCGATTAGGCCTCATTTATTGACAGTACAATTATTATTCTTAACCAGATTAAAAGCATTTATCTATGGAATGCTAAGTGTATGTATTGCTTGGTGCACATATTGTTGATATAGTTCAGGGATTCAAGGGTTTTTATTGTCATACCACCACCGGCCACCAGGGGCTCCCCAGCGTGCCCCAGCCCCAGGCCAGTGTGGCTCCAGGGTGGGACCTCATGTACGGAGAGAACAACCCCTGTTTCCAACGGTCGTATCATCATAAGGGATCTTTGGGCTGCACTTGGTCTGGTCCCTCACCTAGAACCGTCTGCACTGGGCAGCAGAACTCCTAGGATCACTGGGACACGCAAACCCCCCCACCACGATAAGGTGGCAGCCATGGAGGGGATGTGTGTGTGTGTGGGTGTGTGGGGGTGTGTGTGTGTGTGTGTTAAGGAAGTTTCTTTTTGGGGGCGATTTGCAGCGACCAACTGACCTGACCTGCATGTTTTAGGAGATGGGGGGAACCGGAGCGCCCGGGGAAAACCCACGCAAACACGGGGAGACCATGCAAACTCCACACAGAGGGTCTCTGTGAAGACGCAGCGCTAACCGCTGCGCCACCGTGCTGCCCACGTTTTTTCAATTTGGTTGGGGAAGGCTTGGTTATGCTTGTGAGGGTGTGTGTGCGTTAAGTAATCTGTTAATTTTGTGGGAGAGAGAGAAAGAAAGTTGATTTTTTTTGAGTCCATTTGTGGATAAAGTCAATGTTTCAGTTTTTTAGGGTCTAATTAAGTTTTTAGGCTCTAATTAAGTTTTTTAGGCTCCTCCCAATTATTTGGAAATTGGGAGAAGAGAGAAGGGAAAGACATGCAGCAGATTCCCCAGGACTGGGAATCAAACGCAGGTTGACAAACAAACCTTTCAGTCACGTCCTAAATAAAACCTAATTTTGACAAGTTTAGCAATAAAACACAGTAAAATGTGTTGGGAATTTCTTTTGGGGGCGATTTGCAGCGACCAACTGACCTGACCTGCATGTTTTAGGAGATGTGGGGGGAACCGGAGCGCCCGGGAAAACCCACGCAAACACGGGGAGACCATGCAAACTCCACACAGAGGGTAACTGTGAAGACGCAGCGCTAACCGCTGCGCCACCGTGCTGCCCACGTTTTTTCAATTGGGTGGGGAAGGGATCGAATTTGGGGGAAAAACGTAGCTGCTGTAAACGTCCTGCTGTCGGAGCGTCGCATGGCGCCCCGAACGCAGACGCTACAACCTTCCTGCGTCTGATTCCAGTCCTCAGTCTCTCTTGCATGTCTTGTTCCTTCTCTAAATGTTTTCACTCTTTTGTTTTCTTTCACTTCTTCAGTCTCAGAGTGTTACGAAATTTTTTCCAAATTGAAAATTTTGACTTTTTCTTCTCACCCTCCTGCATGGTGTCAATGTGTGGATGATCCAACTCTTCCATGCCAGTTTCGCCAGGGATCTCCTCCGTGGATTCTTGGTCCGTGGAACAAGGTCCTCCAGAAAGCGCCTCCTCTGAAGAATCCTCTTGGCTGAAAACTTGGACCAGGTCGAGATGGATTAGAGAACTTACCTCCTTCTCTTGGGAACGATCTTTGTCTTGCCTCAGCAGGTCAGAAATGACTTGGAAAGAGCCAGACAGATCCAGGCTGGCTCTCTCCAAGTCATTTTGCAGACAAGTCACCTGCTGTTGGTACTGCTCCGTTAGTTCTATCAAAGCAGTGATGTCCGTCTCGTATCTGCAGCTGAGATCTTTGTACCTACCGTCAGCCTTCTGCAAGTCATCCTGGGAGCTGCTGACCTTCTCCTGCAGGATCTTAACCTCTTGTCTGCTCTTTTCGAGGAGGACGGCGTTCTCGGCTCTGATGGTGTCGAGCGTCGCCTCGTCCTCCTCGGATTTCTGTTGATGACTTTCTCTGTCCTGTCTGATCTGCTGCTGCAGTTTTCTAACTTGCTGTTTTAGGGCACAAAACGTTCGTTCCTGGAGAAGCTGCTCTCTGTTACCAAGGGCTATTGTCTGTTGCTTTATCCTCTGCCGGTACGACTCATTCTGCTGCTGCAGATGGATGATGTCCGTCTCGTACCGGCAGAGGAGCTCTTTGTACAACCCGTCAGCCTTCTGCAAGTCATCCTGGGAGCTGCTGACCTTCTCCTGCAGGATGTTCATCTCTTGTCTGGTCTCTTCCAGGAGGACGGCGTTCTCGGCTCTGATGTTATGGAGAATGGCCAGGTCCTCCTCTGACTTCTCTTGATGACTTTTCCTCTCCTCTGTGATTTGCTGCTGCAGTTTTGCAACTTGCTGTTGCAGGGCAGAAAAGTTTTTTTCCTGCAGAAGTTTTCCTTTCTTCTCTCTGTTAGAAAGAGTGGTTTCCTTTTGCTCTTTCCTCTGCGAGTACGACTCAATCTGTTGCTGAAAATAGATGATGTCCGTCTCATATCTGCGTTTCAGCTCCTCAAATGAATAGAAAACCTGATCAAGTTCATTTAGGATCTGTTTCTCCCTCTTTTGCATGATGTTGATGTTTCTTGACAGGTTTTCGATGATCTCATCCTTCTCTGCTTTCAGGTTTTTGATTCCCTCTTCATAATCCTTCTGTGTTTGGGCCTCCAGCCTCACCAGAGCAACTTCAGCTTCGTACTTGGAGCTCAGCTCCTCGTACGAAGTCTGAAGTGCCTCCATTTCTTCCTGGAGGCCCTTACTCTTTTCTCTCTCTCGCTCCAGCTCTGCCTCCAGGTGGGCAGTCGCTGGTGGTCTTCGTACCTTCCAGCACTCTCCATCTCCTGGGGGGAGCTCAGCCTTCCGATCTCCCCGTGGGAGGCATTGGGCTGCACAGGAGGGAACCCGCCTTGGTGGTTCTGCTGGGCTCCCCTTCTCCCGTGGGGTCCAATCAGTTCAAAGTTGAATCTCGGTGAACGATGAGACATTTTTTCTCCTAATGCTTTCGCTAAAATCGTCGTTTGGAAAACTTCCTTAAAGAGCTTTGCGAGCGTCTGAACAAGTCAGGGGTATTGCAAGCAATGACCAGTTTGCAGAATTGTGTCACATACAATTCTCCACTTGATGACATCACTGATGGCATCAGCTGTGACATCACAGAATCTCCCTTTGCTGGTGGAGTGACATCATTCCACCACCAATTATCCTCCTGTTTATTCTTTACCTTGAAAACAAGAATAATTCCTGATTCATTGTTTTTATCCCGTATATCAGGAACATTCGACTCATTTCCATTTGGGGCCAGATAGAAAACGAGAGTGGGAAAGAAAACGTATCATAAATAGACGTAAACAAAGTTTGTAATGTTCTGGTATTGTTGTGGCTTGTTTATTGTTGTCATAGCAACCGCCTACCAAGATGGCTGCCAGTTAAAACAAAGAATGCTGTAATCTATATTTCCAGTGTTTTTTCTAGTTTGGTCACATGATCTGCAGACTGACAGACTTTTAAGAAAACTTTCAATGGCGGCTAAAGCAGCAGGTCAATAGTGGTGGAACCAAAACCAGCTCTGTCTCAACTGTTTGCTGAAAGAACATGGAAGATGGTGAGGAATGTTTTAATAGAGAGCCTCCATCCTCATGTTTCATCAGTTTGAACCTCTGGGCTGATTAAGGCCTTATTGTTCCTCTGGTCACTAAGAACATCGATTAGGCCTCATTTATTGACAGTACAATTATTATTCTTAACCAGATTAAAAGCATTTATCTGTGGAATGCTAAGTGTATGTATTGGTGCACATATTGTTGATATAGTTCAGGGATTCAAGGGTTTTTATTGTCATACCACCACCGGCCACCAGGGGCTCCCCAGCGTGCCCCAGCCCCAGGCCAGTGTGGCTCCAGGGTGGGACCTCATGTACGGAGAGAACAACCCCTGTTTCCAACGGTCGTATCATCATAAGGGATCTTTGGGCTGCACTTGGTCTGGTCCCTCACCTAGAACCGTCTGCATGGGCAGCAGAACTCCTAGGATCACTGGGACACGCAAAACCCCCCCACCACGATAAGGTGGCAGCCATGGAGGGGATGTGTGTGCGTGTATGTGTGTGTAGGGGTGTGCGTGTGTGCATGTGTGTGTGTGCGTGTCTGTTTGGAAAAGGAAGCACTGTGTTATTGGATCCTCTGTGCACAAAATCGATGAACCCATTGTCTTCCTGACTCCACAATAGCTGCCTATTAACTCTCTAAAAGGGATTTACTGTGGTTTTTACACATTATTGACATGATGACTCATCCAGGAGAAAAATGAAGAAGTAATGATTTGCACTCCTGAGATGAGCGTGCAATGTTTTTTTTGTGGTCTTTGGTGCATTGGCTGCATTTTTCATTGGCATTTTCTCCTCATCACAGGTTTAGCGAATTGTTCTTCACCTTGTTTACCACAAACTACAGACAGCGGCTTGCAAAAGTATTCACCCCCCTCGAGTCTTTTCCTAATATTTGTCGCCAGGATCATAGAATGTGTATTTTGTTGAGTTTTTTTTTTGTGATAGGTCGAGACATAGCAATGCACAAACTGTGTTAGCGCCACCTCATAAGCTCACTTTGACGGTTTATTTTTGTTAGCTGGGGGAGGAGGGAGGGCACAGCCAATCAGCTTCCAGGAAAATACGTCACATTTCCTGGATTGGCTGCTTTACAAACGCCAGCCAACAGTGCTAGCATTTTAGCGTATAGCCATGTTAGCTTCAAAACCTGTTTTTTTTGTCCTTGATAATATTTTATGTTTTATTAAATAAATTCACAAATTGATGAATTTCTTATAAATGATTCAGAGTTATGTTTCCCAATAAACAAATCTATGAATTCCAAATACCCGAAGGAGCCACTGTAGAAATTAAATTACCTGAAAGGTGTGGCAGTATTTGCCCCCCTTTACTCTGTTACTTGTGAATAAATCCCATTATTGACTTCACAGATTTGCCTTATATTGAAGAGCCTAACGGCTCTTCAATATAAGAAGAGCCTATATTGAAGAATGCTATTTTGTACAAAATTTGTAAGAATTTTGTAAGAAGCCTGAATTTTCTGCACTTTTTGTCACAAATGAAATACCGATATTCTGATGGATGTAACTTTAACGTCTAAGAAAAATCCTTAGATGACACTTTTGAATTGGAAGAGAAAACCTTTAGGTGGCTATAAGAGACTGGACGAAACATGCAGCTAGAGATTCAATGAAATAATCCAGATTAAGGAATTACAACAAAGGGCTCAATATAAAGGGCTCAGTGTTTGTCTGAGCGCTCATGCCACATAAAAAAGATTTTTCATCAGGTGGAGGGTGCAGAAAATTTCAATTGGTACCAATCTGAGCAGCTTACAGGGAAGTGTTGATGTTTTCGATGTGCGTTGCAGACGGGGAGCTGAGAATCAGCAACCACACACAGAGCTTTGCAGGGATCTACCTTTGTGAGGTGAACAATGCTGTTGGAACCGAACGCTGCAGGATCAGCCTGAGAGCCAACAAGCGTAAGAGGAAAACACACACACACTCTCTCACACACACACACACAGAGGTGGATGAGCCCCACATAAAATCATGCGGGGCCTCTTTTTGATTTAAGGCTCCTGTTTTGTAGCGTTTCCGCTCGGGGGACACGAGTGCGTCACTCTTAATGACGGCAGGAAGAGGTTGCTTTTAATTTCTAGAAATAACTGTATTTATGTAATGTTCTCATGTCAGTGTCTTTTTGCTGCTGAGTCACAAAGTCGCTGAAGCGTAAAGCAGAAATGAGCCTGCTTCCTGTTGTTTATCTGCCATCTTCTGCAGGGAAAGGTAGCAGCAGAAAAAAAAAGGAAAGCCTCAATTTAAACTACAGCAAATAACAAGACTGTATATGAGGGAGTTCAATAAGTCTATTAATACACAGAAAGAGCTCTGACTGAGATACAAAGCATGGCTGTGTCTCTTTGGGGATGAATGCAGGGGCTGAGAGCTCAAGTAGGTACGCTCAGTGATTCAGCCTGATATTTCAAAGAAAAATCATCTTTTATATTTACACTCCAGTGAAAAAACCCACATTGTTTTGGAATCTCAGTCTCCTGCCTCCTGAATCGTGGAGCGAGCTTATGACACTGACATCTTGTCGAGTCCTTGGCTCCTTGACTCGGCGCTCAGATTTTTGGCTCCAGGCGGTGAATAATTCATTTTCAATTCAAGCGCAGGCTTCAGTTCCAGACCAGAGGTTCCGGCCCTGCGGCTCAGGAACGCCGCCAAGGGGTTTCAGGATAATCACCAGGACATTATAGAATGAGTTTGCCGCATAACGTTTCTCTTTTTTTTCCCCCTCTGTCTCTCTTCTGATCGTCGTTTCTCTTCACGCTATGGGAACATCTCACACAAACTGGGGTGAAGATGTTTTTTTGTGAGCTGTATTCATGGAAGCACATCAGCTAAACTGGTCAAGACAGTGGAGATGATGGCGGACTTCCAGGGGACACTCATCCATACGAACACCGTGGCTGCTGTGAATCACTTTCTGTTCCTCTGAACCAGTACACTCATCCACAAAACAGAGCAGCACAAGACTGTAATGAACATTTAAGTCTGTGTAGATAGGAAAAGGGCAGCTAACATATTTGCAGACCCCACACATGCTGGACACTAACAGTTTAGACTTTTACTTTCAGGATGGCAGAGTTTGCAAACAGGAAAACTCTGCCATCCTGAGTTTTGGGTAGTTATCAATTTTCCAAAGTGTCTGAATTATTGATTATATTTTGTTGTGCAGATCTGAGGGGAGAAAACGATTAACATATAATCACTGAAGATGCAGCACTGAGTGGCTGCAGCGGCTGCAGCGAAGCTGCATGTCTTCCCTTTTCTCTGCACCATTTCCTGTTTACTCCCTGTTCAAAAAAGGCCGCTGGAGTCTAAAAGTATTTTTTTTTCTTTAAATATCTGCTAAACACGGACAGATCGTTTAAAGAGACATTTTTCTTTTCAGTTTCACACTTTGTGAATCAGGGTGTTGTTTTTAATAAACAGTTCTGAAATGATGTGTGGACAAAAGCCGCATTTCCTCTCGATAGGTCAAATAGAACAACCTTCACCTTTGAAATAAATAAACTGCTGTTTTCAATAAGTCCATACATATCTGTACAGTCCAGATTAAAATAGATATAACGCTGTTTTAAAAGATAGGAATAGAATCAACACCAGAGGTTTAAATTGTCATCATTTGTTAGCAAATCTTACGAAATAAATATGCCGTTGTATTCAGTAAACAATAATAATATACATCCTGATGTGGCTCATTGGTCGACGTTTTGAAATTAAGCTTCAAGCAGGTAACATACTCTTCAATAACCCCAAATTTTTGCTTTTTGAAACAGTTTTCTTTCGGTCTGCTGTGATATTCTAATTTTCAGTGTCATGTTTTCTTTCACTGTAAGTGGAAAATTATAACAATAAACAAAAATGAAGGTTTTCATCGTTCATCTGTGTATAAGTTTCATTAGAGATAAAGATGCTGAAAGACTTTTCAAAATTATACTCGTTTATTGAATTGCTCTGTCATGTGATATTCTGATTAATTTATTACTTTCTTAATCTCATGAGAGAAATTAAATTCAAATGGTGAAAAACATGTTTTTCCCCATTTTGTGAAAAAAAAAAAAAGATTTGACCTACTGTTATCAGGCTACTTCAGGTTTTAGATGAAGTCCAGCCTTTTAAATACGCAAACTATATCCTTAGATTCAAAGAAATGTTTAGATAAATCATTAAAAGCTAGAAAGGTGAATATGTATTTTATGCATCTCACCCAGAGCTGTGTAGTTTCTGTGTTACATTTACTTTGCCGAGGTTCAGCTGCTGCAGCGGACCTCCAGCTGTGCAGCTGCGAAGAGAAGCAACAAACATCAGCAGACCCAATTTGGCTGTGGGCCCGAGATTTCTTAGGAAGCAAGAATGACCGAGGTGGAGATAAAGGTGCAAGATTCCAGAACGTAGCTCATTCCAAACAGTTGCACCACAAAATCACCTCAAACATCCGTTTCATCGCCGTCGAAATGCTGCTTTGATTAGACGAGAGAGAGAGAAAAAGATCGGGGGAAGAGAGCTTCTATTGCCTAGAAATGAATTTCACAGCCTGCAACATCAGCAACAAATGCAGCGTAAAAGCAGACTAATAAAATAAATCTGTTTCCCCTGCTGGTTTTGCAGATCCCAACAGATCTGCAGTGATCGGGGGGAACGTTGTGGGCTCGCTTCTCCTCATCTACATCTTTCTGGTGTTTGCTGGGGTCCTGTACTGGAAGCTAAGAGACAGACGCCGCCATGATAAGGAGTTCTCCAATGAGATCAGGTAAATCCTGGCAGCTTGCGCTCGAGGAGTTGAGAGAGTCGATAACTAAAACGTCTGCAAGAACTCCACGTACCCTCCCTCGTCCTCCTTTCCATTTAAAACTGAAGAAGCTTTGTGAAGTCGAGGTTAAGTAAAATTTCAAATCAGAACCAAAAAAATGTTGAATAAAAACATCAGAAAAAACTGAAACACTCAGAAATAAAGCAGCTCTGAAAGAAATTAACGGGCAATTCGTCATGCAGGAGGGATGAGTAAATCGTAAACAAGCAGTTTCCTCGACGAAAACAAGAAGTTTAGTTCTATTCACTGTCTGCACACTCTTTCACAGTTTTTCTGAAAACAATTTTGCAAAAACTTCAGCCTTTGTGTGACCAAAGCGCTAACGTAGTTCAGTAGACAGAATCTTAAAGCACAGAAAAACCAACCCTTCCTCAATTCAGGCAAATGATCAACAGTGAATAAAGCTCAATAATGAGTTCTGGTAGCACAACACACCACCCTAAACCAACCATTTCCCTGGTGCTATTGAGATCCTTATCTATGCAAAGAATAAGGAAGTTGGTCAGAGTGGATTTAAAGATCGATCAAAGTTGATACAGAGCAGGAAATGTTACAGGTTTGGCTTTAACTGGTTGTTTCCTGGTCGGCTGCCATCAGATTCGTCTCCATTTGCAGATCCTGCGCTGCTCTTTCCCCATTTTTTTAAACCAACAGTCATGGTGCAAGCCGGATCACACCAAGTACACACGAGATTCGATTGGCTTTACGCCAACACCATCTAAACCACAATATTCAGTTTGTGATGAGGCCGTAGTAACTGGAACGACGGCAAAATGGAAGCTGATGCAAAAAACGCCAAAAAAAACAGGTTGATGTAATTAGGCATCAGATCATGAATTGGTGTATAAAAATAAATTGCACACATGTCTGATTATTGGTTATCCAGATCTCACTAAAACCAAGTGAACCAACCAAACTAAACCAGAAGGCAAGTCACATATAGCGAGCTATTCCTCTGTAAATAATCTCCTGGTCTATATATACCAAATGTACCCAGAGATTTTTGACATACTCACAAAATAACACCATCTGACATTAGCTGACTAAACACAGAATTGACACTTTAGAAGCTCCAGAAAACTTGAGACGGCCAATATCCTATAAATCTGCACTACATTAAGTTAGTCTATCGCATTAAATCACGTTAAAGATTATTGCTGCAACATGACAAAAGGTGGGAAACCTTTTGTCAACACTGTATCTGCTAAAGTTTCACTGGTCTGCAGATAATGTAATTCCATTTCAGCGTCTCAGTTAATTGTGTTGCCTAAATGCAGATTTTCTGTCTGAGTGGGAAAGCGGTCGGATGCTTTGGCGCCGTCACATTCCCCCCGCGAGTTTCTGCCTGACACTTGCGGCGTACTGTTCTTTTAAACTTTGGAACAAGAGTTGAGAGAGACATCCAAATTCCCCCAGAGAGCAATAAGAGGACGTTCCCAGGTGCTGATTACTAATTGGGAGCTTAGCAGCAGATTTGTACAAACGCCCCGACTGCTCCTCTTCCTCCGGGTACGCCTCCACAGCTGTCTGTGTTTCAGACACTAAAAATGTCTGATCGAGTGTTTGAAATGTTCTCTCTGACTCAAAACTCTTTATTAGACTCTGTTACTTCCTGCATTACGACTGGGTTTGAGACTCGCTGTACATTTGTGGATGAACCTTTGGCTGCGGTTGAGTCCTTTGCAACTCTAGATTATTTATTTGATTTCTAATCTCAGCTAGACATTTACCACATTGTTGCTTTTATTGACAACAACATCCTGGCATGACATTTTTGAGAAGTCTAACTGGTAGTGTTTCATGGCCTTGACTTAGTTTTTGAGCACATTTCTCAAATGTTCAAGCGATTCAAGGTTTTTCCACAAGCTTGCTTTCTCTGGCCCACAGCATGACGCATCCACAACAATCCTTATCGCGTTTCTTCTCCTTGTGGTCAAACGGCTAAATGTTCATCTGCACCTCCTGAAATGTAAAGCCAGTTTCTCTGTGGAGAGTTTTGTTCCAGCAGCTCGAAGGTAGAAAAACTCAAGAGTGTTTTAAACAGCAACATCCAGCCAATGTTGACCGTTTTGTTCATTATAAAGAGCTTAAAGCGACTTTCAGCCTTGCCAACAGAAGTTATCAGATTTATTCCCCCCACCCCCCTCAAAACATACATTATTGATCTACTAAAGCAAACATAGTGTGCTGGTGGAAGCCTTGAAATGGCATAATCATGCAAGTTTGCTTCCATTAAATTCTTATCGTCGGTTTTATTTGCACAATAGTCTGAGTGAGCGTTCATTCAGTTTTCGGTAAACATAATTCCTTCGGGTAATCCCCCTCGATAAAACCCGACTTATTGCATCCTCAAATATTGTCGACGTTCCTGGAAGAGATGTGAAAAGCAGCAGTCAAATAAATCTTCCAGACTTGTTTGTCACAGTTTTTCTTGCGGTGGATTATGGCCGACAGTTGGTGAGCATTCAGTTCAACACAGATCTGTCTTCCTTGAAACGCTGTGCTTCGTTTTCCAGTTTATTTATTTATCTTTTTCCCACAAGGGAAAAAAAAGTTTGCGGTTGCTAAGTTACACTTCCTGGAATTTTTATTGTAAACTATAATTTAAAACAATGTAATTTTTTATTAATTTAAAGTGGGAGAACATAAAATCCACTTTTATGAGCTTTACAAGATGCTATAATGTTATTTCTTTATCAGCAACATACCTGGAGTTGCAGGTTTTTCCAGGAAACTTCTCTTTAGAAATGCTGTTTCCAAGCTGAAGTTCCATCAACTCTCCTCTGCAACTTTTCCACATTGCTCCTCCAGACTAGTGGCAGCAGCTATTAGCAAACAATCACTGAGTTTGTCATTCAAACTACATTTCAGTGGAAAAACTAGAAAACATTCTAGAGGAACGTTGTTGTGATGTCATGCTGAAAGCCTTGGAAAGAATAAGAGATTCTTAAAGAGACAGAGGCCCAATTTCAAGGCATTATATTGATTTGTCATCAGCTTTTAACTTAAAAAAAAGTGACAAAATTAAAAATGCTTCCATTCTAGTTGTTTTATATTAATTGTCAGAGGTGGAAGGTGATCTTAGAACCTGGATTCAAATCGTTTCTTCTACTTTCTACTTGTGGATTCTTTCTGGATAATCTGGATTCCTCCCACAGTCCAAAAACAAAACTGCCAGGATAAAATGAATCAAACATGCAGTGAGAAAATGAGTTTCTGTCATTGAATTTATGTGGATTTGACATAGAACTCAAAGTTCTGCTTCTCTTTACCGGTGACTTGCACATCTTTACTTTGGTTCTTAGCAACAAAATACAGCCCATTGTTACTTATTGAAGATTTGAGATTTCCAAAAACAAAGGAATCTAATTTTGCATTTTTTACGTTACATTTCTCTGACATTCGGAAAAATATGGTTTACTTATTTTAGCACAACTCTGGTTTTACTTGGCCTATTTCACAGCCCTATCCTGTAATAGATTTTATTCTGGAAAGACCTTTGTGTTATTAACCCAAATATCCCATTTAACTTTTAATAAAATGCAATTTGCTGCCATTTTGAACTTATTACTCTGAGTTTTTGCATGCTTGTCCTCAAAACTGAGTTTTTCTTTGGTCCATTAGGTTTGTTTGCACAGAAGAGCACAAATAAATGTCACATGGTAAATAAGAGCCAAACTGAGGTGAAATTAGTTATTTAAGTTCGAATCAATTTGTAATTAACATTGCTCGAGTGAAGACTGCCGCCGTTTTCAGCATGTCTTTACGGATTTCCACCAGAGCGAGGCATTAAATAAGATGATTAATTTAGTTACAGACAGTTTTCAAGAGAAGATTGCGTTCAAATATCGGCGTTTTCTTTCCCGAGGGGTTCCCTGCTGCTCTGAAACGCCACAAAAATAGAAATGCACGACAATGAAAAGCACGGCTGCTCAGAGGGGACCATCTATAACTGACCCTACGTTTGACATCTCTGGAAGGGTTTCTCCTTTTGTAAATAAACACCGTCTCCTAAAACCTGCTGCACTGCACACAACAACAACAACAACAACAAAAACCCCACAGGCTTTCAAAGTAGACACTGAAATGTGAGGCCCGTCGGTGTGGGAGGACAGCGTTGCACACAGGAAGATGCTGTCCTTGGCAGTGCTAGTGTGGACTTGCCCATGTAGAAGAAGTTCAGTTCTCCTCACAATAAAAGAGCATCGCAGAGAAAAGCCTGGGGTTACAGGAAAGTTTCATGAAAGTGAGACGAGTCAGCGACACGTGAAACTTTCACAGCACTAATTCCAGCAGTTAGTCGTCAAAAGCAGCAGCAGCAGCAAAAAAAAAATAAAAAAAATTAAACTTTCTTTCTTTCTTTCAAGTTCATACGAGCGAGGCTTGAGCTTACACCTATTAAAAGCCAGTGTTGTAACCATGCAGACGAGGGCAGCTATCAGCTACACGTCGCAGCCGCAACAAGACGATAGACGTGTTCGAGTTGAAGTGTGATCACAGAATCACAAAAGCTCATTGTCATGAATTTCACATTCATTTTCAGAGTCGATGCATTTCAACCAGTGTTTGATGTTTGTGTTCAATATTTTCTGTTATTTTTATTTCAAAGGCCTAATTTTTTTTTTTTATTATTTATTGAAAGTACATATAAAGTCATAGTTTTTTTTTTTTTTTTGATGAAGTCAGGAAGAGATTGGTTTTATATTTTTAAACTGAGCAGAACAAAATGATGTTTTCCACTGCGACAAAGATAAGAGAAGGTTAACTGAGCAAACACCGGGGCTGGAGAGGCAAAACAATGAGCTGAAAGACACTTTATTCAGCTTTATGAATTCAAAACCTGATGTGGAAAATTAAAACTGCAGCCAATTAGCTTCTGTGACTCTGTTTAGTGGATTTAAATGACTTGTTGGTTGATTTTTAGATGTATTATTATTTGAAATGCAAAACAAAATATATCAAATCTACTTTCTGCAAATAAGGAGCCAAAATAAAAATGTTTTTTGTTAATGTTGCCTGCATGCTTAGTGAACAGAACACATCGACTAAAATAACTTCACCAGCAGAACGAATAAAAATGGAAATACTGCGGCGTGAACCATAAGATTTAATTTTGTGAATTTTGTTTGCAGGCTCTGAATTATTTCTTGATACACAAAGAACCCCAAATAGCACTTCCAGAAAAAAAAAAACCACCTGGGGGAAGAATTTTCCATCTCAATTCATCAAAAAAGGTTTTACTCCCAAGAACTGGATTACAAGAGAAAATAGGACAAAAATCAGTCGTTGGTGGTGTTGTTTTTGACTGAAAGGTACAAAATAAATCCAAGTCACTACTTGCACCATAACTGTATGCAATTGGAAAATATCTGCTAAAAGTAACCAGAGTTAATATTACGCTTGAGCAGAGGAGAAATCTTAGAAACTAAGGGAATGAAACGGGCAAAAAGCTCCAATTCTTAACTAGAATCCGATTTGGAGCAAATTTAGTTCTGCTCAATCTATTTTATTCCAACATATCACAATCACAATCGTTATTGCCATACAACATAGTTAAATTGAGTTTATCAGGTGATAAAATTTGGGGGAAAAAAAAGAAAAAGGAAACAACGGTTCCAACAATAACTTTGTCCCAGGAGTTATTGGGTCAGAACTGCTTTCTCTTGACAGAAACCAAATTGAAATACATAGACAGTAACTGAATTAGGGCACAAAATAAATGGCAGCGGCTCCATCGGTGGGTTCAAAGAAACACAGAAAAGCACAGAACCATTGGATTTAAAGTTTTGTCCTGAATGTTTTTATCCTTAAAGCTTCACGTTTGTGTCAGTCATCTTTATGAGAAAAAGCTGGACCTTAAAGAACGAGCAGGAAAGGGAAATGGATGATGATCTCAGCATCTCTAAAGGAAAACGCATGAAATGATTCTCAAACCAGTGGGTTTGGTGCTTCAGTGTTCTGAGACTTAAAGATCTTTTATTTGACGTTCAGTTGGAAGCAGCTGCTTTCTTTTGTTTCTGTCTCCTCAAAATACTTCAGTGTCACTTCTTTCTTCTTCTTCTTCTTCTCCTTTTGTGATGTTTGACAGGGAGGACGTGGGGCCACCTGACAGCCGCCCGGTGAGCCGGCACACCGGTCTGACCCCGCAGACCGCTTACAGCTGGGCGGATCAGAACCGTGTCGGCTATCTCACACACAACCCCTCCAGCTACAGGCAAGGACGAACAGCGGCGCAACATGCAGCGGCTGGAGACGACGGCAAGCACCGATACGACGCGGGAGGACTTTAACCTGGACACTGCAGGGCAGTTTGGACAGGAAACAAATACATAGAGAAGTTAAAAGCACATGCAGGTCAAGATTTTCAAAAGTAGCAATAAACACAATTTTGATACTTAAAAAAAAAGTCTAAAGTATATATATGCAGAGGTTCCTTCAAGCATTTATTTCTGGTAATTTTGACGACAATGACTTACAGATAATAGAAAAACCCAAATTCAGTTTCTTAGAAAATTTGAATATAAGATATAATTTTTAAAAGTACAGGAACATTGAGGCCTGCAGCATCATATGAGGAGTTCCCACTTGAAATTATGAAACCACACAGTTTACAAGCTGATAAGCATCAAAATATATGAAAGGAAAGTTTAGTGGAAGGAGGAAAATAGTTGGAAAATACTATATTAGCAACAAGAGAAAATGTAGCCTTCTGAGGACGGTGTAGCACATGGACATCCAAATTTTTAAATAGAAATAAGCAATATATAAGTATGTGTGCAATGCATCCATATAAAAGAAATGAACATAAATGTCTTAATGAAATTATTGAAGTAAATGTTATTTTTGTGAGAGGAAAACAAATGAATTCACACATTAAATCAAAAGAGATATTTATTTCATAATAGACCTCATTTGGAAATACTCAACCATTCAAAAACATTTACACAATCAGGTGTTTCATTTTTCTGGGATGAACTGACAGGAGTCAACATATCAACAGTCACATGCAATGGGTTTTTGTCCACCTTATAAAAAACGAAACCAAAAAAAAAAACAACAAATAAAACCCCGACCACAGCCCTGACCACCAGCCGCCTCCACCAACTCTTCCTGGTTTTCTCCAAACACAGCAGCTCTGTTTGTATTTTTGCACTCAGACGTTTCCAGAGTCTTGATCCGGTTGGAGCTGGCGGGCTTCCTGTTTGCATTCCAACCCTCAGAAATCGCAGGAACTGAGACGTTTCTATAGACCTTTTGCTGCAAAAACTGTGGCTCTCACTGTAGAGGTCGGCAAAAAATAATTGTGGAAACTCTAAAGAATTGATTCAAATAAAGGTGCAATAATAAAAAAAAAAATCTGTAGTTTGAAGAGAAATACAGAGAAAAGCAACACTAACTGATTGTGAGGTGATTTTAGCACCGGGATCGACTGGGACCAAAATAAAACACGAAGCACATCAACTGTCCCAGTTTTTCCTTTTAGGCGAACTGGAGAGAAAATGAATTCGTCACATGAACATGTTGGTCGGAGTGAAGTTAATGAACCACTTAAAACAAACAAAAAAAAAAACAATTAAGGCAAGATAGAAAACTCAAAGCATGGCTGGATTTAGCTGCTGCTTCGCCTCTGGATTCAATAACAACTTGTGATTCTGTGCAGGAAACGACGGAGCGACGCGTACAGGTTTAAAAAGCGTGACGTTGGGTTTGAGCGTCTTTCTTCCCTTTTTTGCGTCCCACAGGACTGTGACGCCGCCACAGATGTGAACTGTGCATGTCGTTGGCTAAAATCCCCACCAAACAAGCTGCTTGTGTGAGTCCATCTGGTGTGGAGTTGACGTTTAAAGTTGCAGCTCCTTCAGTAAAGTCCTGTGCTTGTGGACGAACCGTTTTTTTTTTCTCAAGGCACCGTACTGTACATTTGTATTTAATGTCCATGTACATGAGTGTGTGTGTGTGGGTGTGTGTGTGTGGGCACATGCATACACGGAGAAGTCGATTCCATCCAATGGTGTCAGCCCACAAGGCATCACCATGACAACTAAGGCAAAAAAAATCTCTCGACATAAAAACACCGCTTCGCTTTTTTTCCCCCCTCTCCTTATTTTAGTTCATCTGATCCGACTCCCTGCTCAAACCAGCCGTCCCTACAATAATCACTAGTACTGATAATAATCTCTATTCAATAAATTATCTATACTGTACAATTAAGTCACCTGGCACAGACCTGGCAACAAAGAGGAGCGTTTTTCTTTTTGCAAAATAAAGCTATGGACAATAAGTTGCTGCTGCGTCCTCCTTATAGTAAATTCTCTGCTGAGCACACGGAGGCGGACACACGGCGTCGCAGTTCTTTTTTTTTCTCCTTCCATGTATAGAACTTAAACACCTTGCAAAACAAAAAAAAAAGCTGATGCATAATAGAGGGCGGGGAAATGAAGGAACCGAGTCAAAATTCTTGCAGAAAAAGTCGTTTCCAGCAAAAGGCATGTTGCTCTTTTTTTTTTATTTCCTGGAGAGAGTGAGTCATTTCCTCTGAGGACAGCAGATAGAACTTGGTTCCCGATTCAAAGGGAAACTGGCGAGTGGAGCGTTCACTGCACTCCCTCTTCATCCACGTAGGTGGAGGGAAACCATCCGATCTGGAAACGGGACACAGAGCAGCCGTGTTAACCGAGTTCATTCATTCCCCTGAATTTGGGCCGCATTTGCCTGCTGTGTGAACACACATTTTTGAATCAGTATCCTGCTTAAAACAGAACTACTATCTATTTTAAGTTTTCTAGAAGAGAAACCAGACCTTGAGCTCAAAGAACCAAGAGAGTTATTGTTAAAAAACAAAACAAAACACAGCAATAAAAAATGATAAAAAAATAAACTAGAGGGCATAATTTCTTTTGTACAGATAAAATGTCCTGCACATTCGCCCTTGCAGCACATATAAGAGAAATTAAACGTTCCACAGGTAGCGCAGGTGTAAAAATAGGCCGTTAACAGCCCGATACCGAGAGCATGATGATGATGAAGGTGGTGACAGAAGAAGTGGGATGTGATTATAAGTTGAGTTCAGTGTCAGGGGGAAAAAAAACCTGAAAAACGAAGCAGTTTTTCAGCTCTGAGGTGTGGGCTGTGAAGACCCTGCAGCACCTGCCAGATGGCAGAGGAGCTGATGACAAGTTTCAGCTCTCAGTCTGCTGCTTGTGGCGTATTCTGAAAATGTCATCTAGTCTGGGATAAGAGAGCGATGATTTTCTCAGGATGTATTCATGGCTCTCCTGAGGATTTTCCTTTTAGAGTCTAAAGCTACGCTGTGATACTGTTTGCACAAAGGCTTTCAGTGGTGCAGGGAGAGGAAGCTTTGAGCAGCTTGACAGACAGACTGACTGCGATCCGCAGAGACGCGTGTCCCCAAAGACTTGAAGGACAAGACAATCCCCTTTCCTCCACACAGGGGAACATCTTTTGTCCGTTTGATATCTAAGGTCAAATTAGAAGTCGCCTCCGTGTTTGGTTCTGATTTTGGCGATGCAGACTAAACTCGTACAAAGAGACGTGAGGGATGTGAAGGTTGATCTTACAGCTCAGACGTTTGAGAAAGATAATCAGTTTAGAAGCAACTGCAGCTGTTCATTAAATAATATGGAGTTTTTTTTTCTTCTGTTAAAGTTCCAAATGAAGTTGGGAGCAGAAGTGGTAGCACAGCATGGAGAAAAAATCTAAATGAGACCATTTCAAGAAGTTGAGACAGAAAATTATGGCTTTGTGACTGCAGGAGCTTAGAGCATGGCCTCCTTCTGTCACTGCAGGAGCGCATTAGGACGGTCAAATGTGCAGCTTAATGGGGACAAATTTCTGAAATAGAGTGCTGACATCCTATCCACGTTTCACAGAGAGGTTCTGGCAGCCACCTGCTTTAGGTAGTTTAATCATTAAATTCAATCTAGGCTGTTTTCAGACTTTTATCGCAGCTCTTACCCGTCCGTTGGCCTCTCCTTTCCACCAGCCCTGGTCTCCGCCGATCTTGCTGTATATTTTGACGATGTCTCCTTCCCGCAAGGACAGCTCCCTCATGTCTCGCGCTGCAAAGTTATATCTGGCTACTGCCGTGCTCACCACCCGAGGAGTAAACACTGGGGAACGGAAACAGCGGGGGTATTGATAACGTGCATAAACAGGGTTCCAACACATCATCTCATTTGGCAAAATGTCATCCTATTCCACACAAATTTCAGGTTTTGACATCCTCTAGTCCAGCATTAAAGTCCTCTCTTGTATAGACAGACTCAGACCAGGACAATTGTCAATAGACCATTGAAACTCTGATTAGTGAAAGGCGATTGTTGCCTAACGTCTCTCAACACGTGGCTCCGTCCGCCCTCTACAAAACGGTGCCGTCATGGGCCCCCAAAGCAAAACCGTTTCCACTTCACAGCTGGATCGATACGACGGTATCCCTGGCACCGCATCCATCTTTCTTCTCCCAAACACCTTGAAAAGCTTTCAGTCTCATCCAACCACATGCCTTTCTCCAACGCCTCCTATGGCAAATCAGTCGTTAGCAAGCGCTATGTGCCGCGGGACGCTAATCCATGATGGTGTCGGGTGTTACTAACAGCAACCTTTGAAACGGTGGTCCAAGGTCGTTGAAATGTTAAAATGTAATGCTTGGAAACATTGCAGTTTTGCCAGTAGAAAGAATGTCTCTGAGAAGAAGTAATGAGCATGAGAGCTGATGCGCTGAGTAGGTAATTTGAGGTTAACAAGTGTGAGAAGTCAGTGGGAGCACAAAGGAGTACCTGACCAGAAGGGAGCAGAGCTCTGAGAGGAGGAGAAGTTCAGGCCTTGTGGACTGAGGAAGGAGAAATTGTAGGAGGCGCAGGTTGCTGCTGATAGGAGGAAACACAGAGAAAGAGAAAACAAGAGAAGAAATGAAGCTGGAAGATGTTTTGTCATGCTGGCATGCTGAGCTAAAGCAGGAGACGCCGGGTTGAAAAAGGAATTTCACAATTCTACGAGTAAATTTACGTATTTATAGAGCTAATCTGTGGCTTATTCATAGGTAGGTAAATAGGATGCAGCTTGTTTTTTTTTTGTCTCACAGTGGAGGTAAACATGTTTGACCATGAAACTAATTATTTAAGTAATTATGGTTGGTAATTCCTGTTGAGTTTTTGCCTACAGCCATCTGGAATTTGCTGTCGAAGTCACGTCATCCTCACATGAGCTTCCTGCAGTTGTTCCCTGGCATAATGGAATTGGATGAAAAGGCTAAAATAACGTCTCTTATTACTAGTTTCCTTCTTAGTCTCACAGTCATAAATGGTGAGAGGACACAGCTGCATCTTAAAAATCAGCACATTTTGCAGAGCGTCCAAATGCAGCAGAAGCAGAAGGGAAGCGCTGTTGCTCTGGTGAGGAGAGAGAACAAAGGCAGAGCAGTGCAGGACAGAAGCCAGTATTCATACAGTCTGATGCACAGAGATGGCAGCCAGTTCTGTGGCTCCACAAACCTCTGGGTTCGCTCACTTTCCATTTTCTATCCCTCGCTCCAGCATTTAACCGTGTCATCTTCCTATTCTTCTCCGTTCCCCACCGGCCTGCCTCAATTACTCTTTGTATGAGTCAAGAGAAGCTTTGAAATTGGCAGGAGCAGAACACCAGGAAAGCCAAAGTGAGTGGGAGTGAGTCTGTTGTTTCACCCAAAGTCGCCACAAATACACGGCATCCGCTGCGTATTTCGCTCCCCTAAGGCTCATTACCACAGCCATAATCAGTCATAAAGCCAGGCGGCCATGCAGGGAAAAGCAGTTCATCTCTGGGCGGAGAAACAGTGACCTTAATTTCTCCAGCTTCACATCACGGTGGCAGTTCGCCAGCAATGGAAGCCCATTCGTCCTTCTTTGGAGAAGAAGGCATAAAGCAAGGAACCAGGACTCTGAACAATGCAGAGATATGCAAAAGGGAAACGCTGCTTTGTTTGTTTCAACCTTGTGAAACGTTACAGGGAGAAATCAGGTGCTGTCCTAGTGGTGGAAGAGGAAACATCAATCTCTCACCACAGAAAAGTTCACATTGTTCTGTAGGGCATGACTCCGATTCACAGATCTTTCATTTAAATATTCTAAAGAAAAAACCTCTTTGGGAGCTGAGATGTTTGTTAATGCATATTAAGGTGTATTTTCTGTTTGAACTATAAAATATGTAACTATACGTGCTTTTAATGGAGGTCTACCACAGATTTTCACTGCATCATTGCACAAAAGCGTGTTTACCATCGGTACCAGTAAGTCTTGAGAGAACGCTGTGCTGTGGATTTGAATGAACTGATCTGGACCTGACTAAAACGGTTTAAAAGTCACAAATTAAAATGAAGAAGCGTGAACTCTTCATTTTTCTAAAGGGGAAGGTCTGCCTCCACTTCCTGGTGATGTTTGTGACCAACAAGCGAAACATTTGCTTAAACTGCAACCTCATGTTGAGAGCGAAACACATCTTTAATAAGAAATAATAATGCTCAATTATTATTTGTTAGAGAGTAGTCACAACTCTCTAATCCAGCACAACATCAGGAGGCGAACCAGAATTCGGGTTGTGTTGGAATCGACCGCATGTTTGCTAGCAGGAAGTTTCAAAGCGTCGCTGAGGGAAACTTTACCTGGTGAGCGTGTGCTAGCCCGAGTTAGCGAGCGTTCTCTGGATTTGTAGGGATACCTCAGCGTGGTGTCTAGCAGCTTGAAGCTTTCCTTCAGTGAATGCGACTGATAGTACTCCACCAGCTCCTGTTGCACGGTAACACACACACACACACACACACACACACACACACACACACACACACACACACACACACACACACACACACACACACACACACACACACACACACACACATCATGAGCCAAAGTGTTCACACTCCTTTAGGAAACTTAACTTAAAAGTTCAGGGCAGGAATTGGAGTCGTGGCAGTTTGGTCTGGTGTTCCTAAAGTATCCAGAAACTGAAATTTATGGTTTTTAAATGACAAAATGTGTCTTTGTGAGACAGAAACATGTTGTTCCTGCATGAAAAGCAGTTCCTTTCTTACCAGAAGACTCTCAAACTTCTTTGCTTCCGTGATGTGGATCCAGTTGTCTTTTTCAATAACCTTGATGTGTTTTACTTCATCGTTGAATCTGCACAGAGGAACCCGGAGGAGGAGATGTTGATGTAATTAATCTGAAAACCTGATTCATAATGTCAAAGTTTTATTCCGGCGTAATACTTTTATGAGCACAGCACAATTGAAGTCGTTTTCTAAAAGGTAAAGATTTGTTCACTTATGCAAATACATGAGAGGTTCATCCCTGCAGGCCTTTTGCACCTGTTTTAAAGGCTTGGAAGCAAATTTGCAAATACAAGCCTAATTCATCACAATGTGACAGCTCCAGCAAGAGCTCAAACAACAATATCTGTGTGGAGCACCGTCTCCAAGGAGAGAGAAAATAAACCAAAAAAGCAATTATGGAAATTAGTTGGAGCCAGAAACAGACTCTGCACAAGCTGGCCGGGGTTTCCTGAGACGGTTCCTGACTTCCCTGGGATATAAATAAGAACCCGAGCAGCTTCTCCTCCAGCTCTTTGCTCACTTGATGCTGATGGCGAAGCGCTCTGCCTCGGCCGTCCGCTCCCTGATCAGGTACGTCCCGCTGCAGTGGGACTTCAGGAGGTTGTCCGCCTGCTGGCGCTCCATGTTCCCCGCAAACCTGAAGGAAAAGAAGAAGAAGAAGGGAATTCATGACATGCTCTAATTATCATTTATTTGTTTTGACAGCATCAAATTCCCAGAATTCTCTCTCTCTTTCTATGAACATTAAATTTCACTGTACATCATTTTACAGAAGTCAGGATCTAACAACAGAACCTGAAAAACCAGAGGACAAATCAACAGACTGACGGTTTGATAGAGAGTCAGAGTGGGTAATGGCAGCTCTGCATGATAAAAATTAGGGTACCGGCCCTTTAAATCTAAAACGCTGAGATGTCAAGAGTTACATACCAAGGATATCCATAGTAGTCTGCTTCTCTTGACGACTGCCGGCTGGATAATGACTGGAAAGGCTGTCACAAACGACGGAGGGAACACGTTATGCAGAGAACCAACCAGACAATGTCTGCACCGACGTTTCAGTTAGATTTAATCGTATGCTGGGCAGAAACAAACTGCTAAATGTTTCTCCGTTTTTCTCCGTTCTCTCCTGCACTTTCCTGCAGATTTGTTATGATTCATTAGTGGAAGCCCTCTGTGCAGAACCGGCCCACATCAGGACAGCTCAGCACATGGGAAGCTTTCGCTCTCGAGTCAAGATTAAATGGAGGATTCGCATCTCGTAGGAATATTCGGCCAGATCCCACCCTACAGCAGGAAGCAACGGCTAAGAACCCGACCTGAACAGGAAGTTAATATCTTAACATTCACGAGTTTAAAGACATTTTTATAATTCAGAGAAACTGTTGTTTGAACGCATTACACAGACTTTAGTAAATGAATAAAAAGTTTCATTAATGTTTGGAACAAACTTTCATTTCAAATTAAACCTCTCTACTCGCTTTGGGTTTATGTTTAGGGCGAATTTCAAGTTTTTTATGGTGCTTTAAAGTTTTCTTTTCCCAGGATTTTCCAGTATTTAGCCATATCCCTATAGTTGTTGAAGAAAAGCATTTCCAAAACATAATGCTGCCACCACCAAGCATCAACAGAGAGATGGTGTGTTGAGAATAAATGTCATATAAAAAGGCAATTCTATGCAGACGATTGTATTTGGGGTTGTCAGATTGAAGTACAAATGCAATGTTTCTTTTGTTAAACATTTTCTTTCCACTTAAAAATGATGCCTTAACTTTGTGTTAATAAGTTTGATATGTCATAAAATACCTTTAAGTTGGTGGTTGTGAGATAATAAAATGGATTATTTTGAACAAAAACTTTTTTTTTTCTGCATTTTCTGGACATTTCGCTTGAAAAAATGATCTTGAATTTCTGCTGAATACGCTTCCAATTCATGTTGGACAGGCTGTAAAACGGTCGCTCCAGAGTAATAACCTACCTTTGGGTCTAAGTAAGGTTTTACACATGAACTGGGAAAGAAACCACTCTTCTGAGTTTGTATCAGCTTCCCCTGCAAGACAAAAATAAAATGTTTAAAAAAAATATGATAATATAATAAAATAAAAAAAAAAAAAAGATTTTATGGAAGAAAGCCAACCAGTTTCAAGAACAAGAGGTTAAATATCTGAATTATATAATGGGTTTATAAATCTTTCATACAACTGTATGTCCAAAGGATGTGAATCTTTGCTGCCCCCTAGTGGCAACATCATAAGTTAATGCTGGCAACAGGTTTAAATAAAGCAAAAGCTTTCACCCTGAGTGTTTTCCTTATACAATAACCTAAAACTAAGCCAATAAACCAGTTTGAGAGATGCTACATCCACTACATCAGATTGGATTCTGATGGGAGATGAGGCACTCGCTAAAAAAGCAACGAATCCATCAAGATTGCTCATCAGCGTCAGACAGAAGCTAGAGTGCCTCCACCGTTTCCTGCCTGCAGCCATCGATCTGGAGCCGCGGCAGCCCTCCGACTTCGCGCAGAGAGATTAAAACCGGCGTTCTGTCGAGGGATAACCAACTTTAATAGCCGAGATAAATTCACGGCATCACAAAGTCGCCCCGAGTCGCTCTTTGAAAAGCCCGGCCCGACATTAGTGGATAAAATTCGATTACGCCGCTGAGACAATGAGAGACCTTGCAGGGACATCACCTATCATGTAAAAGAATTATTTATAAAAAAGACATCCCCTGCAGGTGTGCAGGTTTTAATAGTGGAGCTGCTCCTTCTGTTTAAAAAAGCAAAACTCAGACAAAAAAGAAGTAGGCTAACATAAAGTAAATTGCAAGTTTATGTGTTAATGTTTCTTGTATTATCGACTGAAGTGTAAAAATAACAGCTTCTAAAAGGCTTCCCAGCCATCCTGAAATTAATGACTTCCACAAGTCTCAGCTGACTCTTCACAGAAATATCAAGGCCTCGCAATTAATTAAATGTGTTAATCAGCTTCGGCAGTGAAGCTCTGTCTGTTTTTCAACTGTGTTCTTTTTGTGAAAGGCAGGAAAAAAAGACTCAAAAGCTGGTAGAACGGCTTTTACGTCAATAACTTTTGGTGTCTTCTGCCATTCACTTGCTTCACGTCCCATCAGGATATGATGATCAAATCGAAATCTGGACTTTGATTCTTGTTTTCCAGCCTTTCACACATAAACTTGCTGCTGTGTTTGTGTCCGTCGTCCTGTTGATGACCCGGTTCTGGCCAAGCTTTAGATTCCAGACGGTTCATAATCAGTTTGTTTATGCAAAACAAACCCGCATTGATGTTTGTTTTGAAATGCCTTATACCCCCTAAGAGGTTAATGACATCATTACCGACGTCTTTGTGTTAAAACATGCCTTCATGTGAAAGAAGATAAATTAAAAGTGTTAATTAGTGTCATTAATTAACATCTTAAGTAGTAAGAGATGCCAGTCTGTGCCTCTGGCGACTAAATCATACAATGACAGCTTATCTGCAATAACTGGGCTTGAGCCGAGTGTAAACTATCTGCGATCTGCTGCAGCGCATTCAAAGCAGAAAGTACCAGTGGAAAACCAAAAGTTGAAGCGTGCATGTGATGGAGCGGTGTCCGCTTGGATAAGATCGGAAATAAATTGGTTTACTGATCCCAGATGTCTTAGAAACATGAGATAAAAAAACAAATATGGTTGTCTAAATAATAATAATAATTATTATTATAAAGTGACAGTTTTGTGTCAAAACAGCCTTTAATGTTTTATTTTCAACCTCAAATTTTTTTCTGATTTGACTTCTGGATTTTTTTACCAGAACAGATAAAAACCTTTTTGAAGATTTAATGTTTTTATTTGAATCAATCTGCAGATTTTTCTCTCCTACAGATTTGCTCCAGATTAGAAAACTGTTAGTCTCGACATGTACCGTATTTTTCGGACTTTAAGCCGCTGCTCTTTTCCCACGTTTTGAACCATGCGGCTTTTCTGTGGGTTTTTTTTCTGCAACCACCAGGGGGCTCTATAGCAGGAAGTGAATCATTGGAAGTCAAAATTGTAATTTCATTTTAATTTAGAACAAGCACATGCAAGCAGCAGGTGCAGCTTATAGTATCTATAGTCTGGAAAATACGGTATTTATATTGATTAACAATTTATTAAGTGTTAATCTTCCTTCAACCTCTCAAAGTGGTAACCTAATTTTGTTTTTGTTCAGTAAATATTCTTGTTTTTGGACGGCTGTACCTCCCACCACGGGGTATCTGGATCCCCCTTTAGCAGCTCGATGAAGTCTCCCGTTTGGAAACAGAGAGGCGTCTTCCCTGGAGGTGTCGGTGTGCCGTGGTAGTTCCTCACAGCCACCATCTTTGGACCTAGGAAAACAGAACATAACAGCTCCATTAACGACAGAGGAAGGGAATTGTCTAATGCACACACACTATAATCACAATTTCAATAATACTTGGTTACAAAACTAACATTGATAAAATTAAATGACATACTGAAATAAGAACATTTGCTTTACCTCATGCATGAAACCACACTTTTTCCTTCCACTCAACTATTTTGTTTTTGTAGAAAAATGTAAATGTTTTACTTTTTGATATGACACTCACTAGAGTATTTTTATCCAGGTTAAATGAAGAAAGAAAATATACGTAGAACATTTATAGTCCTTTTTGAACCACAACTTAGTTTTTACTAACTCTGTGTGTAAAAAATATTTTTTGAATTACCAAAGGTCTCTCAAATTAAATTCTCTTTAAGCCCTTCTAACATTTTGGACCAGATCTGATTAAACTCATAATATTTGGTTCAATCAATGCTGAAGAGCTCATGAGGTTTAACCTGGAATATCCAGAAGATGGCGGCAGAGAGCTGTGCAGCGACAACAAGCAATACAGTTTTCAGAAAAATCAAGCTTCAGGTCAAAGAGAGGAGAAAACTGACCTGGTGACATTCCAGGCTCCTGCAAAACAAACACAAATGCAAAATCAGAAACTTATTTATGTTCAACTCTAATGTTGCTGTTTAGTAAAACAGGTAAACTCACCATATCGTGGGGATCTGAAACAAGACAAATGAATGTTATTTTATATTTTTATAAGCGATAGAATGTTTTCTAGTTACATAATAAACAAGGATGCAGATTCACAAATATGTGACATTAGATTAGGAAGCATGGAGGTGGGTAACAATATTTATTTTTGTCCTAACAGCTCTGCCATGCTTACATCATGTTTCCTCTGCTAAACTGACATGAACTTTAATATAACATAATCATTCAAAGAGCCCAATGCTCATCTGAGCTAAAGTTGAAGAAATCTGTGGGACACATTTGGGCTTGTGAATCCCCCCTGAAGGGATAGCTCCGAATAATCCAGCTGGAAACGGGATGATAATGTGCAAATGTGATGCAAACACACAAATTACATTTTTTAAGCTTATGCTTAAAAAGAAAAAATGAATAAATTAATATTTGGTGCTTTAGGATCAAACAATACAGATAGAAAATCTGTCGAAATTAATTTTAAAGAGCAGCAATGCCAAAAACCCTGGATCTCACTGGAGGAAATAATTCTTGCAAAACCAAGTATGAAACCCCCCTGTGGGTCTGAAACGGCTTTCCCATGATTCATCCTGACTCCAAGTTGCTGTTTTCCTCTTTGGTACCAAAACTCAACGACACAATGAATTAATCCCACCTTCCTCCCGATTTCTCCTGCTGTTTCCTGGATGCCTTGTTTACCTTTCTGCCATTTCTTGTAAAGATGTGGAAAAAAACCTCAACACAACAGCACAATCTCGTACTAACAAAAATGTATATATATCATTTGTCTGGTTTTATTTAGAAACCCATCTGTGGACTGACGATGCTAATTACCTCAGGCTACAATGTTTTGTGTTTGTTATCTATTGATTCTGAACATTTGCCCCTTAAATCGAACACAAAATGAAGGAGAGTCATGGTGAAACTAAGCTTTTCATAAAAAGAAAACATACCCTACATGGATCGGCTGTGAAAGAAAACACCTCAAATTCCCACTTTTAAGTAAAGAGGAGGATCTGTGATGCTGTGGGGGCTGTCTGATCTTCCAAAAGCCCCGGGAACTTTAGCATGGTATCAAGAGTGATGCTACTATGATTTAAAGAAAATACAGGATTTTCTGGTCCACCATCACAAACATAAACAATTGAATTTTGCTAATCTCCACTTGGACTTTTACTGGAATCATCTGTTTTGGTCTTATAAAATAAGGACTGAAACTTTCAGCATCAAACTCTCATAAAAGAAAGGATGGAAAAGCTTCTCATGTCGACTGGTAAGCATGGTGGAGGAGCTGTGGTGCTGTGGGCCTGTGTTTTTATCCCAGAAGTCTTGTTGTAAAGCATAACATCCTGACATTTTTTAAATTATGGAATCATCCTTTGATCATTTAGAAAAGCTTCACCAGACACAAAGCTAACACTGACTGATGGTCATATTTGTCCCCAGATCTAAAACCCAGCAGGACTTGTAAAAGTTGTACAAAGAGTGATGGTTATAGATCCATGTGCTTGTGTACTCCGACCCCGTAAAATGTTATAAGTGCTGTCCTAAGATGATGCCACTGCAATAAAAGATACATTCAGGCTTTTTTCACATATTCCCAGGGGTGAAAACCATTGGGAAAGGAGCTGTGATTTAGACCGTTGGCTGTCATCGTACAGACCATTAACGTTACCACTCGCCACACACTTTTTGTCAGAATGCTCCCAAAGAGCGCCTCTTAACTCCATAAACCTAAAGTGAGTAACAGACGCTCCGAGAAAGAAAACACCTACTGATTTTACAGATGGTGATCACTTCCAGACACTCTTTGTGAGCTCCTGTTCCACAGCGAGAGCAGTAGTAGCCCTGGTAGAAGATACCCCTGGAGGAAACACACACACACACACACACACACACACACACACACACACACACACACACACACACACACACACACACACACACACACACACACACACCACCCCCACACACACACACACACACACACACACACACACACACACACACACAACACACACACACACACACCCCACACACACACGTGCACGCACGCACACACACACACACACACCACACACACACACACACACACACACACACACACACACGCACACACGCAAACTTTCAGAGCTGTAATGCAAACAGGAAGTGTCTCAGACAAACATTAACCTCCAGCATTAGAGTCCAACTGCTTGTTCTTCCAGAAATATGGCTGCTTTCTCATCGTTTCCTGCTGTGTTATTCTTTAGAATCATAAAGCCCAGCGGTTTTGATTTGACCCAGGTAGTGCAAAGAGGTGTTCCTGTAACGTCCACCGTAAACACTTGCATGCATAGCGATGCTGCCGCGGCGAATACCGACTCCCATAAATCACGACAGGATCCACCGGGAGACGCAGCACTAATTAGCATCTAGATGGCTGGTTCCTGCCTCCGAAGGCTCTGCGAATTCAGGTCAGCGAAGGCCGGGAAAATGTGCGGGTCAATACACAGAGCGGCGCTGATCCGGCTTACTGGGATGGAGGTGAGAGTGGTGATCCACAACAGCGGCGGGTCGTAACCCGCTGCAGTCGAGGAAGCTCGGATTTGCGCTTACTGTTGGGATGTTTAAAAATATCCATTTGCAAAGAGTGTTCTCGCTCTAACGTTGGAGTATTTTAGTATTTTCATCCACTCACCAATTTATTCAATTTAGTTTATTTGCTTTAGTCTTAAAGCAAATAATAAATGGCTTTAAGACTAAAGTAGGTACTTTACTTCAGTTTTCTTTCTTTGTGACTTCATTTGTCAATACATGTGCTGCGCTCCATAAAACTATCAAATTTCCAAATTTGTCATACTACATCCCAAAACGTCTATCAGGATTTGATAGGTAAAGTATGAAACTGAAGGAAAACGACACGTTTTGTCATCGCACTACTATAAAGCCACTATAACAGTGAGAATCTGATTAAATCTGCCGAGTCATAAATAGCGTAAAGCACCAACCCAACCTGTGAAAACTAGGCATGACAAACCACTGAGGTCTTCACAGAACAGCTGGGTTTAGGTTGAGATTTAATTACACTTCCTATTATTCAGGCGACCTTTGTCTACAGTTGGTTGCCATGGATCTAAAGGTAGCAGACTAAAGGGCAATGAATGCTAAGATACAAGACACTTCTTTTAGTGAAAAGAAATGTTGGAAACTATTTAAAATGTTCATTCCACGTCACAATTTTGCACTTGTCCAAAGGATAAAATTGCAGTAAAACAAACGGGTTCAGCATTAGTAGATTTGTCTGTGGGAATTATTTACAAAACTCCCCACACAAAAAAAAAAAAAAGTGGATATATCAAGAATTTCTGAAAGAAAATGCAGATTGAGAAGTTGGAAATATCCAGATATAGACACAGTGTTGCCTGCTGTTAGCTAGTTGGTAAGATGGCTCCAACAGTTACACGTTTTGTGGTAAAGTTGGTGTTTGAACTATTAAAACAGTAGGTAAGGGTGTCTTAAGATGGAGTCTAAGGATTAAAGAGGGATTTCTGGCCACTAACCCCCCACTGCAAACGCCCTGAAATAAAAGCCATACCTTAGGAGCATCTTGCAGACTCTGCAGTTGGTGTTCTTATCAAAGGTGTGCATTTGGAAGTTGTGCTGGTTGGCAGTTGCTCTCTCAGGCTTGATGTTGGACCTGAACAATAAAAGGTTTCTTGTAAAATAAACCGATCAGCCAAGAATGCAATCGCCGTCAGGATGGGATGGACAACAGATTAATGACAACACGTATCACAACATACACATAATCAGGATCAATATCAAATACAACTGACAGAATATTCAATACGTAGAGTATTTACTGAACTCAGATCCAGAACCGCACAGCATTCTGGGGGATGTAGGTAGAGGAAAGACTTTTGTGGCTCACGGTTACCTAGCAACAACCTGTTGAGCAACTTGCGCAGCAGCAGTTTTAAGTTTTAGCCACCGTGCCTTATTCCTATTAAAAATAAAAAACAATGGCGTGGAGAGAAAACTGGTTTTTCTTCTAAACAGCACGTTGCTTCTTAAAAGAGAAATCTGATTCTGATGGCTAAAAGGTTTTATGCTACGTTGTGTGCTGCTAAAAGTAGAAATGTCTATTTAACGTAAAAACAATTTACTCAACTGAATTTCCAGAAAAGCAACGCGCTGCAATTCAAATCCCATTATTTCCTCTGTGTAATCATACTTACATGGCCATCTCAAACTGCTCCATCCACTTCCTCTTGTTTTCTTCCGTTTTACAAAAGAACTGGAAGCCCTGCTTCCCTTGCAGGTGGATCAGGTAGAAACCATAAGACCACTAGAGAGAGAAAGTGAGCGTATGGGAGATGGGAGAGGGATATGTGGATGGCAGTGGCAGACAGAGCAAATTTTTGTAAACTTTATGTGCTTTGTGCGTGATCACAGTCGGTTCGGACATGGGGAGGGGAGAAAAAAAATCCCTTGCATGCTTTCGCATCTGAGCAAAAAGAAAAGCTGGAGAGCCAGTCACAGAGCAGAGAGCTACATGTGCAATCACAGCATGACACCCAAAGAACAACACTTCTAAAAATAGGCCTGCATGAGAAGATGCGTTAAATAAAAAGGGGGTCGCTTGGGCTTACCATTTTTCCACTTGACTGGTAGGCATGCAAAAAAGAAAGACACCAGAGAAAGATCCAGTTACACATGCAAACATGGACAGAGACATGCAGATCCAAACCAAAAGAAAGCAATGTTAGATCACAATGCACTGTGTCTCCATGAATCCTAAATGACCTTCATTGCATTTACATGATTGTTCAAGCATGGACGAGCACGACGCACCATCGGCACTTCAATGCATTACTCATACGTATCTGAAATGATCATCAACAAGCTGCTTCGGCTCAAGGACGCCATTGGTAATGATTATACAGGCTCTTTGATCATGTGCGCGAGCGGCGCCTTCGCCGCGGATATCAAACTGCGGCGCAAATAGCTCTGCTCGCTCCGATTTCAGAGCAAAACAAAAACTAAATTGGTTTCTTACCTTTTTCATGTCTCTGTTGTTCATGGGGTCGTCTGACATTTTGTACAACTGGAGTTCAATAATCTCTTTCAGCTCGTAGCTGTAGCCTTTTCTCTTGCAAACAATCACCACTTTGTCAAAAAGGAAAATGTAGCTGCAAACAGAAAAGTGTGGCACCTCAGTAAATAAGACACGGATGAATGGGATGAAAATGAAACTAACTGGTAAATGTTCTGTAAATATTTGATTGTAAGAGCAGTTTAATTGCCAAAATTGAAATGCAATTAGGCTTTTATCGTATGTTAAATTGATAACATGTCACTGTTTTGCATATCATTTCATAACATCTAATAATATTAAGGCAGTTACTCTGTTGTTGTTATTATCTTATTACACAATGCAACTTTATCACATATTTACTACTAAACAATGACTCTATTGCCAGCATCTTATTGCAAGCTTACTAAATTTAATTGAAGTTCATAAATTGTGATTTTTTTTACTACCCAGCTGTTACACATTTTCTATAATGTTAGTACTGAGCTGCAGTGGTGCATCAGTTCAGTCCTGCTGACTCCTTGGGACCAAACTCAAGCTCACCGGTCTTGTTTCGTTCTGTTGACGATGGAGGACACCTTCAGCTCGCCGTCTATCTTTGGCCTGCCGTACTCCTCCAGTTTCACCTGCTGCTTCGATCATAAAGACACACAGGGTGGCAATCTGAGGCTTTATCACTCAGAAACGGGGCACGGCACAGCTGGCAATTATGGGTACGCGTTTAAGGCTCCATTGGACTTTAGTTCCGCCTGGAGATCTACTGAGCAACATTTTATTTCTGTTTTTCACTGCATTCATATTCCAAATAAGTGAAAGAAGCTCCACAAGCCCATCTTATATAGGAGAAGATAATTAAATATGTACATTTTCCAGGTATTTAGACGAGAAATAATCATGAGCAGATCTTTTTCTACAGCGAAAAGGAAGTGGCAGTGGAGACACTTACAAGATTTTCTATTGAACTTTGGAATTCGCTGATTTTCTTCAGCGTCTCGTTGTCTCTCTTGACTTCGTTGATATACATGGCCAAGTCCTAAAAGGGGATGATTAGAGACAGAAAGCAAAAGTTAAATAAAAACTCGAGCACACTATTCAAACGGCTGCATATAAACAAGTGTGCATGTAAGACAGTCGAGTTTATTTGTGCAGCACATTTCAGCAACAATGCAGTTGAAAGTGATTTACATAATAACCATATAACACAATAAAGGTCCAAACGTTGGAATTAATCAACGCTCCAGTTATTATTGATGAAAAAAAACTAAAAAAACAACAAGATATTTTTAGACAACCTCCATAGCAGCCAGCGCCTCTTTCAGTTGTTGCCTCTCAGGTCGGTCAGTCGAGTGACTCAACAGCTCCTGCAAAGAAAAGCGATTCATTAGCATTTAGCCTTAGCATTAATGCGAAGGCTAGTAAATAACTCTATGCACAGCAACAACATCAGTCACAATAAAGTCGCTAAGTTGGCTACATGCAGGGTAAACTATGCCCACTTCAGCCATTCAATGTTTCCAGTTTGGCTATCTAATTAACTAGCTTTATTCAGTTACAAATGAGATGAGATTGCTACACAAATTTACACAAAAAGCTGTTTTTTCAGTTCTCTGGCATTTTTTTTAAGCTTATGCTAATGTAGTAGGAAGATTTGACACTTTCTGCAACCGAGTCATGGCTAACCCATACTGCCACTGATGGGTTGAAGGTGCTAACACACTGTGTCTAGGTAGCAGGGCAGGTTTTTATCAAGGAAGGTTTATCAAGGAAGGTTAACAATATTATAAATACAAATCAGTTTCTACATGCTTCCTTTGTTAAAGTGAACCAGATCTCTCCAGATGCATTCGCCACAAAATGCATCACAAAATCAATAGTGAACTTGAACAGTGTTGAAGAGCCACTCTGAGAAAACACTGCTTATGATTTCATGAAAACAAGAACTTCATTTTTTATGGTGGCACATTTCTCTGAGTTTCACAGCAACGAATTTGATCTTATCAGAACCAATCAGGTGTAAAACGCCAATGAACAAGCAATTTATGAATTCGGGGCAAATCCATAATCCCCACGGTTCATTTTTATTTTTTTTTATCATGTCATTATAAACAATAGAACAACATAATGTGCCTAGATGCAACTGAACAAACCTGCAGCCCATCTGAGGAATAAAACACTGATGTGAGAAAACAGGACACTGAGCACCGCGATCATTACTGCTGTTCTTTGTGGTTCGGTGGATATTTCAGCAAGATGTCAACTTGCTTCATGGTAATAATATCAAACATCGTTATGTGATAACTCCACCGCATTTTTTCCTTCCACTCAACTTTACAATAATAGAAGCGCTTCTTTATTTACCAATTACCTTTTGTAACGTATCCTCCTTTCTGAGGCATTCCTTCATGTTGCTAAATGTCATAGCATAGCACTATATAATATATGACGCAATGTATGATATTCAAATTGTATAAAGAAAACTAGGTTTTTATCAGCTGTAACAACCAAAAATGATGAAAGAGAAATGTTTGAAAAATGTCACTGTGTGAAATGTGTCGGTACGTTTCACTTTATGGATTGAATTACTTTTTGTTGATGTTGTAACTGACTGAAATTCTCCTGTGCACTAAAACAACAGCACAAAAAGTTTTATTTTTTTTGTTAACGCAGAAATTTGATGTGAAAAATGCCAGCCGTCTCATCTGTCCGGCTGGAAAATGGTACTTTAAATGCTTGCTTTAATAAATAGAGACATTTCTTTGTTATCACGCAGAGAAATGCTTGTAAATAAAACACTAAAAGTGACTAACTCAGTCCCTCCGAGCAATATAGTGAGGTTGCCAGATTCTGCTAGTTTACAGGCTAAGACGCAACACATGTTCACTCACTTTTTTCCCCTCAATGTCTGATTTCACATGAGAAAAAATGAAGTTTTGAAGTGACACATGGTAAATGGGGCTGTTCAGGGATTCCCCTGTGCTGCAGCCTACATGCATAAGCTTCACAGAGGATGACAGCTAAGGCTTCTGATGCTAAACATCTAAAAATAATAAGCCACTTGCTTACAGTAACATGGTTAGCACAGCATTTTATCTCTCTTGGGTAAAATGTGCAAGAATAAAACCTGGACGATGAACAGGTGAATGCAAAAGCAGCAAAAAACTTCATGTTTTATGAGGGTGGCACTAAATCAATTCCCTAATTATAATACATTATGAAGAAAAGAAACCACAAAATCAAACCAGCTATCGATGTTTTTCAGAACACTGATGCTTTTCTTGCAAAGGTTTTTAAAGAGTTGATTATTTCTTTAGAGGAAGCTTGAATCATAACCTTCTTTCAGTCCAAAGTTGGGATTAAAATCAACAACAACAAAAGAAAAAAAATCAAAAGATGCTGATTTCTCTTTATTCAGAGTGCGTAAAGGATCTATTCACACCACCAACAAACGGTGAACTCTGCTGAGATGATATCTATGCAACATTAAGTGAAGTGATGCCCTGAGGCGTGATTAGACCTGCATAAGCGCCCCTCCACACAAAAACAGGACCTGTCGGTGTGACACGCCCTCGGGGCCCAGCGCAAGGCACCATTGCTCTCCTGCAAAGTTGCGGGAGGCGGTGAAATGAGGTGTGTTTAATCTGATTAGCGCTCGGCTGATTTGACCCGGGAGGCTCGCTGTGGCTCCTGCAGCGGTTCGATACCAACAAACAGAAAAGTCGCAGCGTCCACAGTCAACTTGTCGTCAAGTAACTTATTTTCTGAGTGTTTTGGAAGATGAGAGTGAATTAATCATGGGGAATATTGCAGTGATCCACTTGTTTAATAAATAAACACCAGATATTTAATAGCAACAGCGAAAAAGCAATCAATTGGGATTTCATTAAGCATTAAGCATTGTGTCAGAGGATGAACCTGTGTACTTTTTCCTGTGTTTTATGTGCATGCTTTTAATTTGAAATGTAAATATTTTATCCTTTTGATTACCCATGGCCTCAGTAACCAATGGGGAGTCAGCAGGGTGGCAAAGAAAAGCATTTAAAAAGGAAAAAACGAAGAGAAAACGATCGATAGTAAATCTGGAGGAGCTGCAAATGATTTGAGTCTGAATTGTGTATTCCACAAATTCTTTAATTGTTGAAAAGTAGCAAAAAGAAAGAAAATACAGAAACCCCTTTTGCAGAGTGCTGCAAGTCCTTTGAGTCAGTGGGCTAAAACCAACGTAAGCCACAATTTAATGCCCTTTATTTGTTAAAAATATATACATATATTTTACGACGTCAACAGTGGGTGCTATTCTGTCTCTGTCTTCAAAGAGAAAACGACAGACCTGTCGTGCATTTAAAGGCGATCTGTCAACTCACTCTTCAAATGCCCAAAATGGGATTAAATTGTGTAAAACGGAGGATGCTGCTGGTCAGGACGCAGCTCCTTACCTTCAGTAGTAGGTGATACTTCAGCACCCTCTGCATGGGAACCACCAAGAGATCCTGCAGCTTGAACTTCCCCTCCTGCACCTTCATGGTGCATTCCTGCAGGAACATGAGCAGCAAGGCAGTCTTCATCATCACATGTTGCATAACAGAGAATTGTTCATTTTCCACAACCATTGTTAAATAATTTGCTGCTGCATTCCAGTAACAACAGTGAGGTGTTATTCTGTTATTCTGTTCTCACAATGGAAGAAATTGAGCCCAATGCATGCTGACAAAGAAATTCCTCCAAATAATGAAAACTTTCCGATTAACTCTGCATCATCAGCGGATAGAGTGGCTGTTGTTCCCTCACAGCGGTTTGTGCGGAAGCTTATTTCCACCTAACAGCTTAACGCTCCCCGCCAACAAGGTTTTTAAAGAGACCTTCAGAAGCTGATTTAGGGCGCTACAAAGCTGGCCCAATCTGAGACGCTCTCAGACTGTGATCACCCCATTACGCCGCCAATGGCACCCAGAGCCCCTTCGCCGCTCACAGACTGCTGATGCAACTATTACACAACAGCTCTGCACAAGAAATGACACTCATTCACATTCTGCAGTTCGTGCCAACACTCTGAGTTGGAGACAAAAGCCGTTTTTCTCAAGCTTTAACGAGTCAGAGTTCTCAGATCTTTTTGTTACGTCTCACTTTAGCAGATCCAAAATAAGTAATGCAGACTTTACAAGTTTAACAGGATTCTATTAGGGAATAAATGAGGTTTATACAAAGAGTCAAAAGGTTTCGAGTAGTTAGGATTTGGGGCCCAAAACTGAGCTGGAAAACAGTTTCCTCAACACTGGTTTGCTCCTGTATTGTTGGGTAAAGTTGCTCTTGGAGGATATTTTGATCACAATAAAATTCTCCACATCTTCACATAAAAGTTCCCAAGATTCTCCACTGTCACATGACACAAAATTCATGGCTGCAAAAACACAAAATCTTACCAAGTAAATTTGGCCTGGTTTCTTATGCAAATATCTTAGCAAACTTGAAATGAGATAAACTAACTTACAAGTAACGTTTTAGCAAGCTCTAGAGGCTTCGTAAGTCAATAATTCCTTAAAACTTAAGAAAAAGTTCTAATTCCATTGGCAGGTTATTTAAAGACATTTTTCTTGTGTTATAAGTTAATTTATTTGCCAACAGAACAAGTACTTTCTCATCAACATGAAGGAATTATTGACTCTATAGCTTGACAAGCCTCAAGCAACTTTTTGAAGTTAGTTTGTCCTATTTCAAGTGTCCTAAGATACTTGCACTGGAAACTAGACTGAATTTACTTGGTTACATTTGTGTTTTTGCAGTGTTATTTCTGGTTCTCTGGAAAGTTTTCTTTTTTCTTTTCCTGTCCAGGACAGTCCAAAGGGAGCGCCGTCATCTGAGGACATAACCTCAACCCTCTGCAGCCCAGTTCAGATCCCTTCAGGAGGACCACAGTCTTTGTTGTTGTTGTTGTTCTTAAATGACAAGTGTCTCATTTTTCACTTTCTTTGAGGGTCCAAAAGCCTCATGTTAACAACTAGAAGCTCTTCGGAGACATTAAGCCAATTCCTCACAGATGAAGCTCTCGATGTTTGGATAAATGGTTAATTAGGGTGAAATTCCACTAGCAGTAACATTTTGGCCTGTGAACACCAAATTAATCATAATAGCAAGCTTTCTTAAAGGTAACAGCGGTCTCTATTTTAAAGCAGCCACTCTGCTCATCTACTTCAGTCACCAGCATCACTGCAACAATGCTAGCGGGTCATTTTACGGCGAGCCAAGTGCAAATGAGGTTTTTGTGATTTAGTTCATTTTCATTAACTTTATTAACTTTGCAGCCAATTGCATTTCATCTGAACACTCTTTATAGCAGCCACACGCAAAGTAGATTGGAACAATAAAAATAAAAGCAGTGAAGTTTGTAAATGTTCAGTTTGCGAAGGAGTGAAAAGTGAATATCTTTCGTCTAAAAATATATATATTGGCCATAAAAAAGTAATAATTTGACATTAACGTTGAAGCTGTATGCAGCAATCTTTGCTTTCTGTATTCAACAGACGATGCATATAAAATCACTGCATACCTTTTCTTTTCCCCCCATTATTGCTTATACACAGTTAATATTCATTTTATGAAACACAATATTTTCTGTTTGTTTTGTGTTTTTTTCTTGAGCGTAATCTTGTACTCTGATGTAAAATAAATCTCTATTTTTCAAATAAAATCAGCTCATAACTTAACTTTGTGCTTGAAAATGATACATTGGACAGATGAATGAATGCAGAAATAGCGTCAAATATCCACTCGTGTTTTTAAGCTGCAGCATGTTGGATGAAGCTTTAGAGCAACATTATGCATTAGATATCGATCAGTCAAATAAACTGAATCTCACCTGCAAATTCATTGTCATTTCTTTAAACAAAAGTGTGCATAGTGACTATTGAACTCCTAATATCACGGTTTAGCAGAGAGCGCTAAAAGCAGCTTACCTCCACTTTAATTTTCACATCCTCCCGTGTTGCTATCAGCTCATCCAGTGTCTTCTGGGCGTTCTCCATGTGGCTGCAGTACTGACCGTAGATCAGCAACCTGAGGCGGGGACAAATCCAAACTGTCAAGCCTCATCATCCTTTCAGGAGTCAGTGGGGAAAGGACACGTTAAAGGAAGCAAGGTGCACGTCTCTTTGACCTTTCTGTCAGTTCTGCTCACATGAAGTGGACACAGAACTCACACCGACACACACAATACGCATGAATCTTAAAGTGGGACGGACAGTAAAGTGGGGGAAATTAATTCATGTGAATACTCATAATTCCTTTACCTTTGAGGCACCCATTTCTTCCTGCGGGACCCACAAAAGAGCAATATCGCACAACCACATCCAAAAAAAAAGGAAGCTAATATAACGGCTGAGTTTTATCACAGCCTGGGTTTGGTAATTCCTCACAAAGATGCTTCCTTTGATAAGCAGCCTCTGTGCAAACACCAGGAAAAAGGAAATAATTTGATTCCTAATAGTTTTTGCAAATTTTTTTCAGGAAGTTGCACAAATGAATTCTCCTTCCTAGTACATAAAAAGGGATCAGTCATTTAATTTGATCACAGAATATGATGTAGTGCTTCTATCTTTTTTACAATTTAATTTTAATTAAACGCAAAAATGCGAGTGGAGGTTCACATTATTACAGTTTAATCTATTAGGATGTTATCACTCAGTATGAACAGACAAAATGTGTCAAAAATGTATAAAAACCCACAAAATTATTATACCTTTATTGCAGTAAAATAATCACAACCTCTAATTTGTTGAGAATTCTAATTTTGTACCCTAAAAATTGATTGGAGTTTTCCTTTGTCCCTCAGTGACAGATGCATTTTATTCTGGTCCTATACATAAAACGAGTTGGAAAAGAAGGACAGAAAACTAAAACATTATGTTAAGAGGACTGTAGAAAAGGAGCCATGCAAACATCTCTAGGACCTGAACTAGAACTGTGACAAAACAAACACAGACGATGGTCACCAGACGATGGTCACCAGATAAAAAAGGGGTGCTGCATATTTACTATGTACTTAAATACCAATAATTGCAGAACAGGTGATTTTATTAACTTGCTTGTTGACAAAATTTACCAAAAACAATTACATAGATGATGGATTTATACTCTTAATGCCTGTTGATGAATATTCAGCACATACCAAGGTGCACATTTAGAGACTTTTTGCTGCCATCTTATGATCACAATTATGTGCTAAATTAACTAAATTACATTCCAAATACTTGAAGTCATAATCTGGTTATTAATTACAGAAAAACCCAGAATCTTTACTTTTATATATAATTGTTCATAATTCCAGATTGGATATTTTCCAGAGGGAGATAATGCTGCTGTGATAAAAGCTAATTATATTTTAAGACTTTCTGAATATCTTTAGCAGGAGTAGTAACACATATTTCAACATCTATAAGCACAAAACAAATGTACGTAGCTTTAAAGCCTCTTGTCCAGGCAAGCACTCCAGGTTGGGTTTTTTCTGTTCTGTCCTCACCTTCAACTTTTTTAATTAAACTGAAAAATCTATTCTATAAATAACCTAATGCAATATCCATCTCACTGTGGCGCAAATTGAAACATCACTTGAGATTGTGACTGAGATATCTGCAGCCGTCCTCTGAGACTGAATCTGCATGCTTGAGCTGCAATATCAGGCTTAATAAGAACTAATGTGGCTCTTCGGAATGTCTGAAATGTTTAAGATACAATATCAGAGATAAAAGAGAGATCACTGTCTGAGTCCATAATTAGCTCTGAACTGCTCTGTGATTCCCGGCCTCCAGGCTGTGTGCCGCACATTCGTTTTAAGATTAATAACACAGTTCCAGAGGTCAGTTTAAGAGACGTTTACCACCACAGGGGGAGGGCAGATAAATGATTGTGTGAATAAATTTGTTCTGATTAGAAAAGTGAAGCAGGCTGAACTCGAGGCAGTGTTCGTCAGGGTGGCATCTTACTGCCAACAAATGGTAATCACAGAGCTCTAATGAAAGGCATATTTCCTGTTATCAGTGTGAGAGGAAAAATATCCAGTCGTTCCAAGCGGTGCTTCATTAGATGCTACAATGGGACACTGACACAGATCTGGGATGGTTCAGCTGGGAGCGAGTTCAAAGTCATCTTGCCTGGAGGAAGCTGCTACACGTGGCCCACATTGGAAATAGGACGTTGGCACGGCTGGCGCGCACGCCACCCCTTGCCCCTTCAACAGAGCTGGCAAGGCTCTCAAACTGAATCTTGAGAAGGGTGAGATGGAGATGAGCACCGGCAATCTGGAGTCTGATCGAGCTCTTCGCAGATACCTGAGAGCAAGATATCTGCAAACTGGACGCGTAGCTGCAAAATGTGCTTCAGTTTTACTGTTTTTATCTTACAGATGTGGGCAAATTTGTTGAAACTGTTGAGAAATGTGCAGCTTAATAGTTTCACAAGGCTGGTGCCCACAGGAATCGCTGGTCTCTCTCTCTCTCTCTCTCTCTGTGTCTCTGTCACGGGACGCATTCACACCAGTCGTGTTTAATCCGCTTTAATCGAACTCCAGCTCGTTTGCCTGGGAAGTCCGATACGTTTGTGGAGAAGTGAATGTGCAATCCAAACTAAAAGCAAACTCCACCTAAAAATCTGGGTCTCATTTTGGTTAAAAGCGTGCTGTTCGAATGAATATGTGGATGCGAGCTCAAATGGGTTATAGCGCAAGGCATTTTGGGTAAATACAGCCAAACCAAACATAGTACAAGAGAGAAATGGCTTGAAGTGTCAAGCGGTAAAATCTGATGCCACTTGAATTTTTGCTTACATTTTGAGAAGTAGAAAGAAGCGTTCATGTTTTCCAGAGATATAATTTCTTTCAGTAGTTTGCGATGCAGCGCCGCCACAGGCGAGGAGGGGAACAGCTTGTTTAACACAGTGAGGTGGGAAAGCAAACTGCAGCAGATGAAAATGTAAGGGTAGAATCGAACCGAGTCGACCAAATTATCATGTAAAAACTCTTCAGAATCCATCTATGTAAGGTTTATTTCGGGTTTGATGAACCATTTCTGTTGATTTGGCTAACGAGCTAATGTTAGCAAACTTCACATTTGTACTTAGTACTGAACTCAGGATGTTTGTTTGCTTTGGGTTTTTTTTGTTAGCTTTTGCATTTCCTTTGCCCACATGTTTTATATGCAAGATAAGATCAGTGAATTATCTCTCTATGACACACAGTATTAATCAGTATTAATCATTCCCTGTTATGATGTCATGACCCAATTTGTTTTTAAGATGTGCTTTAATAATTTACAATAAACATGCAGTCAGATTTATTTCAAAATGTTTGTGGTTAAAATTAGACTGCAATGTGATTTCATGGCTGCTCCCCAAAGCACAAAAGTGCAAACTCACGAATCTCCATTATTGATGTGAAAGCATGTCCACATGAATAATTTCACGCTGGAAATCTTCCTAAAATATTCAGGCTGCAAAATGGGACCAGGCTGCCAGAGGTGGAGTCCTGAACTACGAGATTCCCCACAACGAATCCAAACTTTTCCCTGAAAAGTTTATTAAAATATGATCAAGCGGATCCAATAAGATCTCGATCAGGACTGGATCTACGCTCCCTCGGCTCCGGCTCTCCTGGAACAGTAATTGAGATTAATGGGCGGCTTTGACCGGCTATAAGGCGGCAGATGGAGCATGAAATGTTGCACAGACCAAAGATAGAAATTATAGAATGAATGATCAGGACATAATGGGACATGAAGGTCTTATTTTTAAGACGTTTGAAGTCAGCCCTCTACCATATTTCTTCAAATTTCGTTTTTTACGTCACACCTAAATGTTTCAGGTCATCAATTTTAATTTCAGACAAAGCTGACACAATTTGTTTCTCTTAATAAAAAATGCATTTAGAATTTTGCAACTTGAAAAATCTTGATCTGAAACCTTTTACTTTGTCAAAGGAAGTAAATCTAGAAGCGGTGAATAGATTTCCACAGCAGGTTGCATCAAAAGTACGACAACAAAAACCTTCATTGGAGGTGAGGCAGTGAAGTTGGGAACAGCATCGCGCTCAAAATGTGAGTTTAATTCTTGTTCTCGTTCAGCTCTCTTCAAAAGAGCCTATCATCACAGTTTTTGATTTGCGGCTCATTTTAATCGATTTATTGTTTTTGCAGCTGCTTACAAGCCACAAGAAACTTATTCTATGATTTTTTTTTCTTCCTGGATTTCTAAGAGTTTGAGTTCAATACCTGCTTAAATAGAAAATAATTATACAGGGAATTCAGAGAAGAACACAGCCTGTCGTCTCACGCTTTGTCCTCTTCTTTTTTTTTTTTTCCCAGCCAGTTTAACAAAAGCTTTAATGGTGAGTGGAAAGGGCAGCTTGCATCATTCCCCCCAGCCAGTCAGAGCTGTGATTACTGCAGCTCACAGCTTATCATCTGCTCTGTGTTTTGGAAAGAAAATAAAAACAAAATTAAGAGAAAATCCTGAATTAGAAATAAGTTTAAAAAATCACTTTTATATAATTCAAAATATTAAGAGGCGATAGAGCAGTAAAGTGCTGAGATTTGACTCTGATCTGTGGCTGATTAGACATGAAAATCAAGGAAGAAACCAGCATTGTGCCAACACATAATTTAGCAAACAAGTTATTGAGATTCAGACCCAGATATTGGAAATATACCAGATTAGCTCATATCTTCCATGCATTTTAGCAGATTAGAAGACATGGACTTTAACTAGACCACAAGCATAAACCCTCCATGAATCTTATGATGTTGTCTCAAAAAGAAGGAAACGTTTGTATTGTAATAAAGTGATTATGGCCAAAGAGAAAAACTTTGCTTTCTAAGAAGAACTTTAAATATGGCACACAGTAAATTGCAAAAATAACTTTTTAGATATTGAAAGTTCCAGTTGTTATGGATAAAAGGGCAAATATATTTACTCTCAAAACATTTAAAGAACTGCGTAAAATTAAAACAAGCAAAAAAAAAAAAAAAAATCCAGGCAGAGATTTGAAGATAGGTCTTACAGGGTTAATGGTTATCAGATTCATCCCGGCTCTTACAGATCTAAAAAAAAACACTGTTCATCTGCTGAAGTCGTAGTTTTTCTTTCTCATTTTTGTTAAGCGCTTTCTACAGAAAAAGCTGCTGAGGTGAACAAACACAAGTTTAAAGAGATTCAGAAAGTCACTATCGATCACGGTGACTTTAAAAGGTTACAAGAAAATATAGAGTGTGATGCTGCAGCTTTTATGTGCTTTTCTTATATATTTGAGCAAATGTTTATCATCTTCTTCTCTGAACTTAAAGTAGCCAGAAACCAGGCAGGAATTATAGAAAAGGATTAAAAGATAATGAGAGGATTTATATGTTTAGGGAAGAAAATAAAGCCAAAGTTTTTATCATAAGTTCAGCTGCCAAATGTTCACAAGTGCCGTTAGACGTCCTATAGCTGTCCAGCTGGCAATATCAGTCTGCGAAAAGCAGAAATGTTGAGTTTTCCTTTGGGCTTTGCAGAAGCAGTTAAAACTTCTCCTCTTCCTCCCGCTGTGTGCGTCTCTTCCATGACGAGAAAGCTGCTGCGCACGTTATTCCAGCACAAACACAATTTCGGGGTAACTGTGCCCTGGGCGTCCGCCCTCACCCTAGCACAGCAGCAAGCTGAGTCAGGCGACGGAGGAGTTCTGTGAGCAAACCAGAAGTGACAAGCTGTGGAAGCAGCTAATATTCAGAGACACATGGCACTGGGACCCCCTCACCTCCACTCAGCCTTCCCAGCAAACAGCAAATGGTGGAGAACATAGAGCAAAGGCCCTCTTTAAAGAGGCTCACAGTGCCACTATGATTAGGCCCCCGCCTGCATATCTGTGAGCCAGATTACTCCGGAAATGAGTTCTGGAATGTTGCAAATGAGTATATCAACAAGAGGCTATTTAGATGCCCATTTAGTTTATGGAGCTTCCTCTGAGTGCACTTTTCCATTCCGCCTCAGTCTGGCTGTTTAAAAGCTGGGAAGATAAACCGGTGACATTTTCAGCATGGCTGCCGGTTCAATGACAAGCACACAAAAAGGCCTTTTCATCTTTAGCTCCAACACCAGGAAAAAGGATACAAGCACATTGTCGTAAAGGTCACAGAGACTTACAAGCACAGATAACCAAATTAATTATGCCAGACCCCGTCCTCAGGAAATCCGCCGAGGTGCCGGAGGAGAGCTTTGCCGGTCCAAATCCCAGTCGGTTACGACTGTTTATCACCACGGAGATGCAAGATGCACCGGTGGCTTAAAATGAGGAAGGTACGTATGTCAATCACCTGTAGGTGGTGAAAGACCAGGATGGAGAGCATCTGCACATCAAATGAGTCGTTTTCTGAAAATAACCCTGTGTCGCATTTCAGAGAATGTCACTGAAAGGTAAACGGGAACAATGGCCGGCGTGTCATCAGCACATTTGTATATGAAAGGAGAGGAAATGGTCGGTTGCTCCAAACTCTTGATTTCAGCAAAAACTGAGTGTGACACTTTGAACAAAACACTCAATATTCATTGCAGTTGGTAGTCAGGTGGGCTTTTGAAACAAGCCCTACTTCTTATAATCTTAATTTGTCACATTAATTAATAATGTCCATAGATGACATATATATGAATGGATCAGATGTTATTAATCAGATTAATCAGGATGAACCAATTACTGAGATAATCATCAACTAATTTGGTAATCAACTAATAATTAACAAACTCAAAAATAGCCATTTGTTAAAGAAACATCACACTCAAAACTGTACAAATGTATTTACACTTTGCATTAAAAAAAAGGAAAAAAATACATTTCTCCAAAAAAATTGTGTTTTAGGAAAACAAAATTACTTTACCTAGTTCAAACTGTTAAAAAAATAAAACAAACTATTAAGTCCACTTTGAAATCTAGTTGTTCTCTAGTTATTTAAAAAATAATAATTAGAGAATAATTAGTGCTGCACTGTGCTGATGCTAAATCAAGCAGAAAAGTCTGAAGTTTTTACATGTTGACGATACAAAAAGGCTTTTCAGGCGCAGATGCATCATTTGCTATAAATTACCACATGTTCTCTAAGGAAATTAATTTTAGGCGTTGAAATATTGACTTTCTGATGTGTTGATTTGCATCTTTTAATGTAACGCCAATATTCTATAAAAAGGGTTAAGTGGCTAAATGAAAAATTAACTGAATCGGACCATTCCCCCCCAATGAATCGATTTATCGACAGAAAAATCAATTGCTAAAATAATAGTTAGTTGCAGCCCTAATATAGATATTTGGTTGAAACTTTATGGCTGTTTGGTTTCAAGCTGGAGTGAATGAGTGGAGAGAGAACAGCTGCTAAAGATGGGAAAACAGCTCAGAAATGATGAGTTATAGGCTGGAATCACTGCTCACAGAAGTATGTTAGTACTTATGTATGTAAGAACAGGTAAAAACACACACACACACACACACACACACACACACACACACACACACACACACGCAGAGCAGTGGGTGACTCATTCCTGCGGTAATGGCCGTATTATTCGAGGAGGCTCCCGTTTTCCGTGGATGCGTATAGAATCATGACCGAAGCCAGAACCCATCATCACCATCATTACCATTACCAACGAAGCACTCAGAGCAGCAGGGGGGCAAATCATCGCTCCCGTCAGGGGTGCAATTTATCTACATGCTGCTCTTCAGCTGGGAAAGGAGGAGATCAAAGAGAAATCCCCAGTTTGGAACAAACTTTCCTTCAGACTTACTCTGTGTTCTCCCACATCCACAGAGAAATCAAATAATTGAGACATCATTGCTGTTTCAAGCACATGACGCAGTCTGAATGTTTGCAATTGTCCCTGAAATAAAAATTCTCAGTGTTTCCGGTAAATATGTAAATGAGGCAGAGCAAGTTTTTAAATTAATTTTGTTTATTTTGGTTCCATGATAGAGAAAGTGACGTGAAATGTTAAGTAGACAAGATTCACTAGTGACCAAAAATGCTACACTTGTTCCATTTTTAGTTGATGCAGTTCATATTGACATTGCACTGCGTCAAACTATCAAAACCCTTTAGAAAAAGCTGTTTGCTGCCTCACCTGTGGTGGCGCTACAGCAAAAACTACTGAAGGAAACGACAAGAAACGTCAGAAGGAGATACTGTATGAGCACAACTTACTTCTACGCAAAATGTAAAGAAAAATTGAGGTTTTAGTGTTTGTAGGATTTCTCTTTTTTGGTAAAAGAGAAATCCAGCCATTTCTTCCACTTGTGTGTTTAGTTACAGCAGCACAATATTGATGCAAAGAATAATAAATTGCGACAATAAGAGAGAGAAGAAATGTACATGAATGACAGGCTAAGTGCTGCTGCTTTGTCAACTTTGCCTGAAAAGAGAAACAATTGGCTTCATGCTCTTTCAGCTTTTTTTTGCACACAGCTTGATTTATTTATTTTTAAGTGACTTATTCTTGATGTACTAATCCCATCAATGGGCGGTTTGATCTGTGGATACTCATCCTAATGCAGTCTCACAGAGTTGAAAGGATAGAAAAAGTCCTCCATCTTTGTGTTGTAACTGGATTTCGTCGCTCTGGGTCATGAGCACAAAAGACCGCGACATGAGGTCAAACACTTGGCGCGGATTACAGGACACCAACCTTTCTTTGAAGTCGAGAAAGATCTTTCCGAGACCGCTTCCTCCGCTGACCATGTTCAAATCGATGGCTCGCAGAAGGGCAAAGTGGACCCGGATTATATCCTAGGAGAACAACACAATAAACAACAGAACACGCTGACATGTCTGTGTTACATGTAAAAGCAGACAAACATAAATATTTGATGTTTGAGGGTTTAGGAAAGAAAAAAAACAACAACAAAAAACTGAAACTCCCTCTAAAACTGCTTGGAACTGCCTATTTTAATAGTTCAAACAGCAAATATACTTTAATTATCACAAAGAAGCAGAAGGAAATATCAGACGTTTTTCTTACCTCTGTTCTTGGAGGTTCAGCAAAGACAAGGAAAATGAATGGTGCTCCTCCATTTTTAACCTTTTCTAGATTCAATGTTGCCTTTTTAGTAAAATTGCAACATATAAAGTGATCTAAGCAATACATGTATGATAACTCAACATGTCTCAGATAACAGGCTAAGCTTTCCAACTGAAGATCAGATCCAATGCAATCACTACCTGGTTTGCTAATGTAAACACATTAGAGTAAAAATGCTGGTCAGAACCTGAGCAAAACCTGAGTTTTACCCCCATCTGACACTCACAACTGTAATGTTTTACACCTACGTTGGGTTCATGGCTGAGAACTTTTACATCTCTGAGTAGGATGCCGGTTTGTTACATTTCCAAGATATATTTCAGCCAAACAAGAGTTTTTCTGAATGCCTCCTTCTTGCTGGAGACTTCGCTATCACTAATTTTATATTGTTTTTCCACCCTGATGTCCAAGTTTGGTGTTCCAGACATAATGTTACCACAGATGCTTTTTTTAATATATACATTTTCTGTGGAAATGAGTATAACTACCACGAGCTCAATTTGTAATAATGATGATTTACGACTATTTAACAATTGGCATGAAAAGCACAATTTTACCAGATGTGAAGAAAGTCAAACATGTTGGAGGTGCTTTGGAGCAATGAGTAATGACCTGTTTTCTAAACCTACAATCTAGAAAGAAAAGCTGATTCAGGTTCCATAAAAAAATGCAGAAAAACTTGTCCAACAATTTTGCTTTTAAGAATCTTTTGCTTGGCATTTTGAGTCACCGCTAAAACACATTTTTCCATCGTTCAGTCCAGCTCATACATCCATCACTGACGACGATGTATGAAAAAAATATCTTGTGTTTTCCTTTGGTGCTGTTTTTAAGACAAATATTTGCTCTATATATGAAACTATAAATTATGTATCAGGGTAGAGCGGAGAAACAATAACATGCCATGTCAGTCAATCAGCTATCCATATGCACTCTCCATTATTCACCTGTCAGAGGCATGCAGACATGTTGTAAAGACAGATGTTTCTTTGCCTGACCGCGTACTCACCTCCAGGTTGACAAAAATAGCCTCCATTTCTTGCAAACTCAAGACGTGCTTCAGCGGGATCATGTAATTCTTCAAGGGGAGAGAGGAACGAATCAGAACATGCTCCACACGAAAAGCCTCATTTTCTCAACAGTCTTAACGTCAGAGTTTGCATTTCTTTCTTTGAAAGAGATCAATTCAAGCTTTTAGCATAAATCAATAATTACACAACATGGTAAAAAGACGGGGAACATGTATCAGGCCATTTACTAAATGGAAATAACATTTAGTGAGCTAGCGCTACATGGAGACGCAGCGCTGCTGCAGACGACAGGAAAAACCTGCCTGTTATTTTCCATAGCTCTGCTTTATGGCCGCCACATTTCATCATCATAATGATAACAAATAGATCAACTAAGAAGCAACATAAAAAACGACAGCCTTTATGAACCCCAACTCAATTAAGCTTTACGAGTCCTCTGATGACGAGAGGCACGTTTGTTCTCATTCACTCTCACGTTGGTCTAATGTGGGGAAAAACACAGGATGCACATTCACTTTAATGAAATTAGCAGAGCGGATGATTTGTGGCACTCAGAAGAAATCTGCCAACGACGAAAGTGATGCGTTAGCAGCGCCGATCTCAACAAAGGTTTATCGTTATGCTGAGAGAGCTGGAGTGTTTGTGTCTGTTTCGCAAGAAGGTTGCTCGACTTTACCAGTCTGTTTTGCGAAAAGAATGGCAGGAAAGGTGTGTGAAATAACTGGAATATTTTTGAATGTTTCATAGAGCTCTGTTCAATCCAGTATTTTAAAATAAAAGGTTTATGGCTAGACTGCAAATCTACTGAAAGATGTATGTTCACCTAAACTGACAGGCCAGGAAAGGAGAGTTTTATGAAAGAAAACAAATATAAAACAGAGGTCAAACTTGGAGAAAAACCTCCTGGAGGCTACAAAAAACACGGTTAGGGTTCATCTTCCAACACGACAGTCACTCGAAACATACAGCCAGAGCTGCAATGAAATGTCTTAGATCAAAGTATGTTCACATATTCATCCAGTGTGCCCGAGGTTGAGCTGCAGAAGAACAAGCATGAATGTATTTCTATAGCTGGCAGAGAAAACCCCAAGTTCAGCTGAACTGTACCTGAAGTCAATTCTGCAAAGTATCGACTCATCAATGATGAAAACACATTTTTCTGTTTTATTTGTATAAAAACATTAAAAATTATTTACCCAGGTCCTTGAATTGAAAAGTACACAGTATTTTATATCCTCATAAATTGAATTGATGTATTATTAGACTTAATTTAGCATTATAATGAGATTTAATATAAATCGAGCTATTCCTCTCGGTACCTGTAACGCGCACTTAAAGGACCGGGGATAAATCGTCTCCCCTGTGGGCTCAGCCAATAATAACCATATCGATCAGTTCCCGTGGCATTTGTGCTCCCAAATGAATCGGCCGATATGTGACATTTCCATGCTGACACACAGCCGAGGGGCATCAGGCGTCGACAACAAGGAGGTATCAACAGGAACCCAGAGCAGGTAGGAAAACACTAACTACCTGCATCATTGACAGTCCTGCAGAATAGTAATAGTTGAACCTTTTTTCTGAAGAAAAATACCTGCAGAAATATTATTAGAATATTATTTCTTTCTAATATTGATTCCTTTTACCTATTTATTGCTGTTGGTCTCTAGAAACTAGTGGCCAGGCTCAAAATCTGAACCTTTAGAGACATACAAAGACAGTTACAAAGTCAGCCTTCTATCACCTGATGAATAATCCCAGGATAAAAGGACTAATGTTTATGCAAAGGCTAGAAAATGTTTTATTTTTAGGTATATTTTCATCAATTATATTTTACTTTGTGCACCAGATTCCTCTTGCATGCCTGTTAATGAGTGAATGAGAACTTCTGAACCAAATTGTAACATAAGAACTCACCTTCTCAATGTCCTCTAAAGTCTTGTAGTACTTGGCTTCAGTCTCTTGGATCTCGACTAAGCAGCAGTTCCTCTTGTCATCTTCTGTCATACCCATTTTCTAGAAAATACAAAGAAAAAACCTAATTATATTTGCTGCTTATATTTGTTTAAATACACAGTGAACTAATTAAAATAATATAATCTTGCCATGTGTCAAAACGCTGAACGGATTATATGGGATGAAACGTTGATGAAAGCGGCATAAAACCCACATGCCAGTGGTTTCATACTAGATTTCTGCCGTAAAACGCTGTTTCGCTTTGTGTCAGGTAAACTGGATTATCTAACAGATTATCATGACAGTCTACCTTAAGGTAAAGAGTCATTCATATTTATTGTTGAGACAAGAAAAAAATGTTATATTAGACTTCTTAAAGTTGGTTTAAACTCAAGATGAGCCTTGTTATAACCTCAGATCCTACTTCTTTGTTCTTTCTATACCAACTTGTTTTCTAACTTGCAGGAGAAATGTACCGACAGCAAGTTTCTCCCACTTTAGCCGTAAGGAACGGTTCTGACAAGCCAGGAATTAATTTCGTTTTATATGATTCGAGAATTTCTTTTCCCCAAAGGTAGAGTCCATCCAGGTTTCTATACTTTATTTTGGGCTCTTTGCCACATTACCTTTTTGGAGGATGACTTCTGTTTAGCAACTTGAGCAAACAGCCCTGAGCGCTGCATCGATTAATAAAAGCACTACAGACCACACTTGATCAAAGATTTAAATCATAGCTGCTGTTGGCACTCTAGTTATGATTAAGGCTCCATTTTTCTCTGCTCAGCTTGGCAGGCCACCAAAACTTTGGACTGGGTTGGGTTAGAAGGGCTGAACCAAGTTCAAGTTATAATAACACTGCTGAAGCATCTAAAGCAGTTTCTGGTTCTTTAATGAGATCCGTTTGGCTACAGATTCAAAGAAGTATGTAATCCTTGCCTTTGACATGGTGGATCATAGTATGAAATCGTTCTGTAGGCTTTTGTGGAGTGGTTCAGTTCGTACCAGCCTGAGAGAACAGACTGTGTTGTTTTAAATGATTTCAGGATTGTGTCACACGGTGTCACACAAAGCATGGTATCTGTGCCTCTGCAACTTTTTTTGTATTTCATGGGCTTCACTAATATTCCAAGGAAGCGTAAAATTGATTATTGTTGTTACGCAGACGATGCCCTCACATACAGAGGGTGACTGCTTTGTGAAATCACTGAGCGATTGCAAAGTTCACTGATCAATCAACTAGTAAAAATAAATAAAAAAAATAACAACTGCACTAAAAGAAAACAAAGAAAATCTGAATAAATGAAGGAAATTGACTGATTTCCACACACAACTTAGCTAACAGCTCTGTGAAATCCACAGAGCATTGGAACAAAAACATACAGATTTAATTTGAACACATTTTTATCTGGTGCGCACTTGAAGCAGCTAAACTTAAGAGGAAGATAAAGAAGAAGCAGGGGAGCCATCTGGACCAGATTTGGCCGTTACCAATAAAAAACCTGGAGCTAACAATGCTTAAAGAAGAAGAAAAAGAACGTCCAGTCCAGGCTTCGGTCCAGCCTGTAATTAGAAAAAGAAAAAGCGAGGCAGGGCACGAAGCCAGCACAACAAAGTTTGCGTCCGTCTTTGTTGAGGCAGCGGGTGGTGTTCGCTGACATCACTTAACTCTGCAGTCACTGAGCTGAAGGCACAGGCCCTGAGTCAGACGTTCAACCAGATGGGGTCTCCCCCGCCACCGTGCATGGGTCACTAACCCTAATCGGCGGGTCATCATTCTCGTGGGATGCTGTGTGTTTGAAATGAAGTGATGAGGGGAAGTTAGCTGATGGGGAGAAGGAGGTTGGAGGAGAGAGGAGGGGGAGTTGAGTCACAAACACAGCAGCACTCACCTGCATGTATCTGATCTGCAGCATGAGAAGGGCAAAGCAAGTGACAAGTTTATATCACCAAGTGTGGAATAGGCAATAAATGGAAAGCCGCATCATCATCTGGTCTTTGCAGTGTCTGTCGGCTCCATCATGATGGAGCATTTAGATCATCACAATGAGTCTGATAAACTCTGCAAAGAACAGCTGCATCCTCAAGCACCGAGCTTATGATAATATAAGCTAATATAATGTTGCAGAAGATTCCATACACTACAACCACAAACCTCAACTTATTTCTTGAAGAGACACAAAATCATTTTCGGTCTCCCTGCATTGATTCTTAAAGAAGCACCTTTGGCACAGTTACAGCTGTTTGTCTGCTATGTGCATCTGCAGACTGACATATTCTCACATTCCTCTTTGCAAGATAGTTCCAGTTCAGTCATATTGGATAGAGAACTACTTGTCACATATCCTCAGGTGGATATAGGTCTGAATTTTGAATTTCAACTCAGGAATAATCTGTAATCTACACAATTCCCCTGCAAACTCTGCCTGGTCTCAAGTCTTTTGCAGGATCTTGTGGATCTCCCCTATATTTAGCTCCAGTAAATGACTTTGCTATCATCTAAAAATCAGCCGTTTTAGGTGAACTTTGTTCTTGCTTAAAAAGAGCAAACATGGAATGATGAAACAAGCAGAATCTTGCAGATAAGGGTTGTGCAAATTAGCACAGATCCAAAACAGAAGGGATTTTCACATTTACACTTTGAAAAAGAAATGCAAATGTGTTTTTCGACACAACAACAACTGCAGGATATGAGTCACTTTCTCTGAAAGTTGACGTGTCTTGCTGTGTTCCTTGGCCTTCATGGTGATGATGTTTGTTTACAAATGTTCTCTAATAAACCTGACGCCTTCATGAAACTGTTGTAATAATAACGAGTCTAAATCACACACAGATGGACTTTGTCTAGTAAAGATGTGACTTCCTGAGGCTTACCCTGGTTTAATTTGAGGGTCCTAGTTAAAGGAGGGTAAGTAGAAAAGCTCACCCTATTTAATTTGTGAAAAACGTCGATGAACCTACAACTTTCTCTCCACTTAAGAAAAATCCAACAAACTGTGCATCTGACATTAAGGTTTGTGGTTATAATGTGACAGAACGTAAAGAAATTGCTGTCATCTCACTTTGGTTGTTCGTTTATGCTTTCTTCCCATTAATGTCATCAGCAGCAGGTTGAAAACGATAAATTCACAAGAAGGAAAGAAATCTTGCAGTTCACAGTTTAAAGATACTGCGGCTAAAATTACACAGAGCTGTTTACTTTTACAGTCAACTATGCTGGAAATGTGTCAAAAGTCTTAAAATAAACTTTCATTGCAGCAGCATAAGTTCACACAGAATATTTGATGAAAATCCAAACCAGCAGAAGATTGAGGGTAAAAAATTTTCATGTTAGACTAAAAGCTTTCAACAAAACAAAGAAAGATTTCTCTGTTGTTTTTATTCTCCTCCTGAGAATAAGAAAATTCTCTTATTCTCCTCTCCTTTGTTCGAACTATATGTTTGAACAAATAGTTTCTGTTCAAACTATTTTTTTTTCCAGTCTCCTGTTTCTAGGAAAAGATTTCAAAATCTCCCTGCTGGTTTGAAAGGGAAACAGGCCCACAGCATCACCACTGGCTTGAGATGCTTTTCCACATACATGCCACATTCACCTGGAGTGCTAGTAACCAAAAACCAATAATCGTAGCCTGAAAGCAGAAAGTTCCAGTTAAAGTTCTTGTAAAGTTTAGCAAACGTTGCATGGCGTGTTTTTGTGTAGAGAAAAGAAACACCAACTCCTAAAGAGTTTTGAGAATCTTCTGCCTGGGATTCTTAGGAGAATCAGTGATTAGCAGTTATGAACGGGTTCCAAGTCCAACCCAGCAGTCCACCCTCACAATGCATTTTGCCTTGGTGTTATACTATAATGCAATTCTTTTTAAAAATCATGAAAAATTCAGACTTCTTTATAAAATTCCCCAAATATTATCAAAATAATAATTTCTTCTCCTCGCTGATTAAGTTGTACTTTAGTTTTTTCTCCTCAGTTTCCAGAATTAGTGCGGCACTTCATTCATTTTAAGCTTTAAATAAAACATCTTTGCCAGGGCTAATTGGTTTTGCAAAGGAAAAGTCTAGATCTATTAACTCATCTTGCCCTCTGTGGTTTTGTCGCTGATTAACCCCATGATGATTTTCAGTTTTTATGGCAAAGAGATGCCAACTGGTCAGCATGTGTTACACGTTATAGTTAATTGTCCTTGTTTCTTTCTTTCAAAGATTGTTTTTTGTCTAGTGTGCATGTTGACGGTGCTGGACATCTCGTGTGAAAATGTGCATCAGGTAATCAGCGACTGAAAACAGGGCCTTTCACGCAAAGATCTCACCATGGGTTGTCGTACTTCCACCTTAATGATGTCCTCATAAATGTCGTCGCCGTCGTCCTCGCACGGCACGCAGTCGTAGATGTCGTCCTCGCCCAGGTCATGTTCACTGAGGAGAGGAAAAAACGTGCCACAAGGTCAGACAAAAATCCCCATCCAACTGATAAAAAAGTAAAACTTTAAGATAGCCAACACACCCTGGGCCGTCAAATCAGAGCCATTTCATTATCTTTTACACACGAGGGCCAGAGGGGCGACGTGATTTTAATTTCTTTAACGATTTTGTTTCCGAGGAAGAGGACGCAGCACCCAGCATTTGCAAACCCCTCAGAAGTGTTGTGCTCCCATGTGGCATTTCCCTCGAATCTGTTTATATTGTTTTGGCGCCCAGCTAGCTAACTGACCTTTAATTAGGCCAGAAGCCAGCAGAGCAAAGACAGTTGCTGTGGAGAGGAACGGCTGCTGCTCCTCATGCTGTCGGAGATTACACTGTGCCTCGCCTTGCGCTGCAGGTGTAATTACTGCTCCGGAAAGGGACTTTAAGAGAAGATGCAGATCTCTTTCAAAGTCTTCTCCCCCCAAAAAAATTTTTTTGAAAGGAATGAATGATGGTTTTTATGTTTTTATGCCACAAATGTTGTTTTTTTTAAGTGTGTAAATTCAATCACCTAGTTTAATTTCTCATAAATTCAATATTCTTTGGTGATTTTTAAGTTTTCTAACTTGAGTCACAAGTTTAGCCTCAGCTCCATTTGCAAAGGAGCAGATGCAGAAGAGTCCCTCAGTTTCCTTGGCGCTAGTTGGCTGCACCTCTAAGAGCGCAGATGAGGAAGATGGTGGTGCTAACACAATTTCCACTGTCTCTATTGAGACACACTGAGATATATTTGGTGTTTGAACTATTAGAATAGATCATTCTAAGCATTCTTAGAGACTAATTTTCAGATTTTAGCTATTTGCAGACCACTGCATTTCTAATTCTGCCAAAATATTATCACATTGATAAATACAGTTCAAATTCATTTTCTATTTTGATAATTAGAAGATGTTACAAGCTAAAATAGGCTGGTAATTCTTGTGGTTATCTTCTGATGTAGAGTCTGCTATTCAACAGTCACGCTAATCGTGGCATGCTAACTGCCGCTTCAAAGCAATGTCTCATTAGGAAGAGTGACTGCAGTGACAGGAAACGCGGTAAACTTTGAAGGCGTCATGTGGAGAACGGTAGCACTGGGTCACTAAGGCGATCTGTAAGATGTGGGTATGAGTTGGTTCCAGGTGACGACCTTCATCTGCTTTCAGAGCTACAACAATCCTCCTCTCACTGTCTGTATAAACATGAGGACGAGGAGAAGAAGAGTAGACGCAACTGCCCTCAATCAAAAACTCAGCTTTGCAATAATGCTCAAGTGACGCTGGTTTGAAGTTTTAATTGGGGTGTCTCAGTTCACTCTCAGTAATGCGCCGCTTCTTTTTTCATTAAGTCAAAACGGCTCAAGTTGAATACTGACGAGGCTGCGTGGGAGGACAGCATCCAGCTCATGCTGTCCTATCAGCATGTCCCCTCCCAGCGGTGGGACTACAGGACGACTCGCACAGATGCTGGATGGCAGAGAGGTTACGGTGAGGCACACTCTCAACTTGAATTTGCTCTATTATCCGCGGGGGGTTATGGACGTATTTTTGACCTATTGGTAGATCTAAGAGAGGAAACTTCTCCTGGGAGAACATGGAGGAGAAATCTAAGACTAAGTGATTTTTTTTATACAGTAGGATATAGCTCAACAAAATAAAAATACGTAAAGTTTAGACAGTCAGTATAGACTTGCTTCTTATTCTTAGCTTTACTCTTGAATCTGTCTTTATGTGCACTGGTAGTTATGCATCTGCAGTATCTTTATCGATTTGTCATGACTTTCCTCATCTTTTCATCATCAGTTCATTTTCAATCAGCCAGTTAAAGGTAATCAAGATCACCAGCGATGCATAGTCTGGGTTATTCGGCTTGGAGATGATCTTAATATATGAATGTCAATTGGTTGTTCCTAATCCACCTGAATTTAGACTGTATTAACTCTTTAATTTAAAATCTGAACTTTTACAGGGTTCTATATTTGATGCAGAACATCTTGCAAAGGTCTCCACAACTTCTGAAGTTCAAGAAAAACAATATCACTCATATTACTCAAACTCTTTCATTGTAGATCTGGTTGTATTATTCAGTGACAATGTGTTTATGGTGATGTATAATGTCAGTTTTTCACCACGCACAAATTTCACGTAAATGAAATTTGGTAATCACTTGACTTCCAAGTTGTTAGTAAAGTACGCTAAATACAATTTACCACAGTTTTTAAGATTTCCAGTTGTACAACATTTGTTAGAGTTGCACTATTCTGCTCTGGTTCATTACAACCTGTTGAGGTTTTTTGTTTTAACTTTCGAGTTTTGTGAAAACCGCTGCAAAGCAAGTGGGTAATCACAGTTCCAGAAAAAATTACGAAACAATAAGAGCTCTGTGAATGTAGTAAATACGAATAGAGATGTCCTACATACTGTATAATGTGTGTAAATATGTGAAGATGTGACAAAGAGAAAAAAAACAAAGATTTATCTGTGCAAGTGGAACATTGTATAGGACGAATTTCCAAATCTGTTCTTCTGTTGTGAGCATTTATAAATAATTCACATGCCTGAATGTGGGCATGTTTGCGTGTGTAGGTGTGTGTTTTTGCATGTCTTAGCATGAGAATGCATCGGTGGGACACAGAGTGGGAAGAAAAGGACCGTAGGGCTCAGGAATTAGGGTCTAATTTTCTGTCTGATAAAACAATGACGAGCCAGAGGGTGTCCAGTGCGTTTGCATGGAATCGGTTTAGTCAGTGCTCCAGGCTTATGATGACATAGAGCTGCATCAGTGAGGAGGAGGAATGGACAATGATTCACTGTATGAGAGCTACAGTGCATATGTTTGACACAAATCAAAAAAATTATATAATATTTAGGTTTTTTAAGTTAAAAAGGTAGGTTTTGGTAAAAATGTGGCCTAAGACGTGTAAAAGGAGAGAATACAAAGAGTACGAGTAAAGCAGCTCATGCCGCTAAATGAAACGAAAATGTTTGAAAAGATTGAATTTTAAAATATAGATGGTATTTATATTTAAATGACTTATTTTTGTAACATGCTCTTTTTCATTGCTTATGCTCCCATGATGAAATAAAGCAGCTGCTACTGATATATTTCATGTTTGGAATTCAATTCATTCATTCATTCATCATAAGATGCTTATAGAACAAAAGTTGTTGCATGTTGACCGCATTTAAGCAAAATGGATGACAATATGTCAGCAAATAATGCTATTTTTAATCAGCTGCGTTACTTTAAGATGACTTAATGCTTCCATAGAGAAAATTCTTTCTACTGTCCACTTTTGCAGGATCCCCCTTATGTCTGAATCTAATAATACAAGGATGTTACTATCAGTTAAAGCTGCTATTAACACCAAAATTACTGCTAGTTTTATAAATGAAAAGGAAAACTATCAAATAGAGGAAGCCAGGAATAATGCATTCAAACCAAAAAACAAACAAAAAGTCATAAAAAATATAAACAATCATCACCAAAAAAAGAAATATTAATATTTATACATGGCTAAAATAAATCGCAAATTGTGTAACTTTCCTATTTTCCAAGCTATTGACTTTTTTTTTTGCTTGCCCAGGGGAAAATAAACTGCTAAAGATGACACAAAGAGCTTGTGACAGTCCATGCTTGGGAATGGAAATCTATGTGTGCCTTTCGCAAAGGAAATAACTCCCTTGGCAACTGTGCCAGATCCTCCCCATTTCATGCTTTGTCAACCTCAGGATGGAGTCATTCCAGACGGGGAGGACCGGGGACTGAAGCGAGGTGATCATCTGGACGCCAGAGGGAAGAGGCAAGGACCAGGGTCGCCGCATTAACCTCCAGGACCTCAATTAGACGAGGAAACAGACACCGGGCAGCAGGACGCAAACATTTACATCCCAGCACTATGGAACATCTTTACATCTGTTGCTTTCAGGTGAGCTCCTAATGATGGCTGCGGGCCTCAATCAACCTCACTCGACATGAGTTAAACTGACGCAGCGTGCGCAATATGGAAATACTCTAACAACTGAAGTGACTTGTACTTAACCTTTAAATGATACTCAGTCAAGCAAAACACAATCTCTTGTGTTTATAGCTTCAGGATAAGCTGCTGGATGTAGATTACTCAGACAGGAGCAATTCTTAACAAGAAGACTTCACAGATCGTCGAGCAAGTCCACATCAGGAGTCCAAGCACCGCATTGGATCAAAGTTTAAAATCATAGCAATATGAGAAATAATTTCTGTTCTGGGGAGGATCAAAGTTTGTCTGTTTTCCTGATATACAGCTGTGGAAAAAAATTAGGAGAAGTAAGTTCATATTTGTTTGCAAGCAAAAAGACAAATGTTTTTGACTCAGGAAGAGTTCAGGAATCAACATTTGGTGGAATAACCAGGAAGCTTTCAGTGCAGTGGTTTTGAATAAATTTGAAAAATAATGAAAAATTCCACAAATAAAATCTTTAAAATCTAATGAAGGGCAGAATACACACTTATCTCTTCAGGGTTTATACTAGGTGCATCTTAAATGGGGTTTCTGATGTTTAAACCTTCAATATTTAATAATCTATTGATCTGACTGGGAGACGAACACCAACAGATCTGTCTCAGACACGGAAAAAAGTTTCAAGACTTGAATATTGGGTTGAAATGATCATAAGTTTGAAACTGTAAGACCATCAGTCATTTTTCTCCTCTGCTCTTTAGGTAAGTTTTGTAGAAGGTGAAACGCACGGTGAAAAGCCAGACAGTCTTCATCACTCATAATCAATGTGGCTCTGCAAAAAGTCAATGAAGCTTCCATTAACTGTGATTACTGGAGTTTTATTGAATATGAACACATGCAGCTGCTTTTCAGGTTCACAACATGAATCCATCAAGACTGACTTGAGTAACATATGAGGGATTCTTTTTACAAGGCATAACATTGTGACCACCTTGTTAACAATCATGGTGTGATCCCTAAAGCCTGCGAATGCTGGAGGCCCCTGGAAACCATTTAGGTTTATACCTTCATTATTAATTTCTCTATTAGTTTAGAAACTGTAGAGTAATTATTCTTATTTCTATTAAACACGAGGAACCAATATTTAGTTTTATACTTTCAGATAGTAACCAAGAATAAGACTCAGACATGCACACAAACTCCTGCTGGTTTATAAATTATGGAGTTCTTATTCTTATTGCTAATTCAGGACAAACTGAATTAGCAATTCAGCTTAATTTGTGTAATATTTTGTTACCTTCTTGTCTTCCGTTTGTTTTGTTGTTTAGTTTGTATTTCCTTCTAAATCAACGGCGTCAAACGTATTTTTGTTTTGGGCAATCAAGATCTTGAATGCTCTTAAAGGGCCGGTTCTGCCGAATGTACTGATAGAATCTATTCACAAACTGTTAAAATATCAGTAAATCCTTAAAATTAAATAATATTATTGAATATCTTTTCAGTCGGTCCAGAATTTTAAGATTCTTTTGTGAATGTGTTTTTTTTTTTTGTGCCAAGTTTTGAAGTTTGAATTATTTACAATATTGTACAGATCATGGACTATAATCTGACATCCATTAAGGCTGTTTAGTACAAGTAAGAAAGTTTTTGACAAATTTTGAGAAAAGTCTGCAATAAACTCCCAATTGTTAGCACAAAAAAGTGCAGGGATTTGTTGATTTTGTGTGAATTTCTACAGTAATTCTCAAGAAGCCAGAGGGACCGATTGATACAATTTGACAGTAAACACATAAAAACTGCATTGATTTGATTACTAATATAATATTTAAGCACACTTAGAGATTAGTCTACACCCTAGAGGGCCACATAAAACACTGCGGCGGCCCGGATTTGGCCCACGGGCCTCGAGTTTGACACGTGTTCGAAATCATTCAAAGTACTTTGAACTGCCTTGTTGCTGAAAATGTCCAACGATTCATTAACGTCATTCAGCAGTTTCTTTTATTTATTTATTTTTTACCCCCATGTTACTCTCCAGTTTCAGGAGTTTCTTAGCTTTGCCGTAAAATTATTATTGCACTTTCTCGCTGGCTTTTATTATTTACAATCAAAATTTGTGGTGGCAATATTGCTGTTTTATATCTTTCACACTCTTGTTTCTTTTACGGCTCCACATGTTCTCCACTGGTTTCCTCCTACGGGAAACAGATTGGCTTTACATCGATAAAACATGACTGCTGTTACTGTGTTAAGATGATTATTGTCCCCATCATCCATTTTTCGCAGTTCAGTCATGGAGCCATCATAAATCACACATGCATCAATATTTCAGGCTAATTAATACGTCTTTGAGAGCGGGGTTATTGCTAGCATGACCCATGTGCTAAGCGTGTCCTGCTGCATTAAGCGGCGGACCTGCTGATGAATCAATTATCCTCCTGTCCATTGGTGAGACGAAATGTTCCTCGTAAAAGGTCAAGTGCAGCCATATGGTGGAAGGGAATGATTAATTTAATAAGACCTGCCCTCTGCTCCTACAGTAAAGGTCACACACAGACCTTAGCTTGGTAGCATCCCTGACCATTTAAGAAAACAAAGAACTCAGTGAAGCTGCTGCTTTGGGTACCAAGGTTAATTTCAATCAATGTGCAGAACAGAGTTTAGATGTTAATCACTGATATAACCTTTTCCTATAGGATGGCAAGTCCATCACCTGCTCGGTTCCCATGTTTATACACTGACTTCTGAAAGAGTTTGCACAAACTCTCAACTAATGACCAGTCAGGTGGGCAAATTAACCAGTACTCATGATTCTGGGAAACAAAACCTGCAACTAAATGACACGGTCGCTTCAAATCGTTTACAATTATAAATAAATAAGCAATATAGTCAATAATTACACCTGCATACAAGTGAGAGTCAACACATCTAGAGGCTGAAGTGATTCCTATTCTTATTCTACTCAAGTTTCAAGACATTGGGGATCTGGACTTTGACTGGGCTGTTTTAACCCCTGGAAATATTTTAATCTAAACGAGGGTTGCAACCAATGATTATTTTTGTAATTGATTATTATATAGATTACTCTGATAATTAATTATCGGATAAAAAAAACTGCACACTAAAGATTTTTTTTAACCATTTAAACCTTTTTTTAATGCAATATTAGAAATGCAAACAAATAATAAAATTTCATCATAAAAAAAGAACATTTTATTGTATTTTAGTGTACACGACTATTTATAGAAAAGGTGATTAGAAGAAGAATTTGGTTTCTGTAGTATTTTAACCAGATGAAGCTAAAACTTCCACTTGAGAATTTCTGAGTAAAATATATTTACAGAAAATGAAGTATTTATTAAGTGCAAATATATATATATATATATATATATATATATATATATATATATATATATATATATATATATATATATATATAAATATATATATGCATATGCATATTCATTCAGGCACATTTTTATTATTATTGCCCTTCATAAATGCATTGTACATCAATAAATAAAACCAGTATCATTTAAATATAAAACAGATAATCAGGCAATCATCACGTAAAATATGAGACTAATTTGAGTCTTATTTCATGCAGTCACCCTGCATACAGTATTTGCACCCTAATCCAGCATTACCCTGCTTGGCAGCATCTCATATCCTCCTCAGCCTGCATCATCCTACACAGTTCATCCCAATCATGCATTCAGGAGGGATATATCTATATCTATAGTTTGCATGATCTGCTTCCTCCCCATCGTTCCATGATGAACGACACCCATCTCAGAGCGGTTAGCTAATTAATCTCCATTAATCTGAGTCAAGCAGCTGCTGTCAGCAGCCTCAGAGCCTACAAATCCCTCTCATGCACAGGAAAACCAAACCACTGTGCAGCGAATCCAAGCATCCGGCCACAGACGCTTTCAGAAAGGCAGCCAAGCCTAAAAAAATAGAAAAATACTCAGCAGAGCAGAGCTGGTGTCGCCATCGCAACAGAAGACGTGGAAGGGCGCTCTTTGCTTATGTGCTTAGGCAATTAGCACGTATGGCGAAAAGTGACAATCACAAGTTGACTTCAAGCATCGCTGGTTATGTGAAATGTATGCACAGAAATCCCTACATCTGAAAAATGGTTTCTGCATCAAAGCAATGAAAGATGACGGTATTTTGGAGACAACAAGACCATGAATAAGATGCTCTCCAAGAGACGGAAGAGAACGTAGTCAGCGAGAAGTAAAGCTGAAACAATATGCAAACAATTAGAATAATCTAAGGAGTTTTCATTTTCAAATGCAGATGAGGTTTGTCTGAATCCGTTCATGCATATTGGTCACTACAGTGGACAGCTACCTAAAAGACATTTTCTCATGCTTCTTGTGGATTTTTATGTTAGAAATGAACTGGATAATAATGCATCAACATGTTTCAGAAGATCTTATCAACTTTTTTAAAAATAGCACACATTAGAGTTATTTTTTCATGGGAATTAATTAATGGTGCCAATAATATGGAAGCCATAAATGTATCTAAAATAAAGGCAGAATTTTTGTTGTTATTGTTTAAAAGCATCTAAATTTTACTGTAATTTAAGATTTAATTATTTCAAGGTTTGCCTTTACAGTAGGTGTGAACCAATGTTAATATTTAATTAAAGCTGAATTATTTACTGAACGCCAAACAAATATTAAAAAAAAGAATCTTAATCATCTCTGTATGCTAACATACTAAGATTAAGATATAAAATGTTTGATTTCAGTCCCAGAAAAAGCTAAAGAAAGTGTTTTTGATCAAACTTGACTCAGCTGCAGCGGTTCTGTCTGGAAGAATCGTCTGAAATTTCAGAAAATGTCAAATGACACCCAAAGAGATCCAACCGTTTTGGCCCTAAACAGCAACAGTTTTTTCTGAGTACAAGTCAGAAACCGAGGGAAAAAGTTTTTGTATGTACACGGTGATATCTTTTTATACATTCCTGAAATAGAAAATTATGTGAGAGGAAAAAATACTGCTGTATTTTCCTGGAAAGAAAACAACGTACATCCATTTCCCCTTGGGGTTTAGATTTTCTTGATTAAAGTCACAAAAATGTTTGAAAAACATTAAGATTACTGGAAGCTTCCAGGGAATTACTGGAACGTCCAGCTGGGTGACTAAGAAAGTCAGTTTGGGTGTTTTTGGTAAAATGCACACTTACTCTGCCAACTCCTCCAGGCTCCGGTACACATCATCCTCATTCAGAGCCGTGTCCTCGGACGGGAAGGGCCTGATGCACAAACAGAGCACACACAGCCAGAGATGGTTACAAAACACTTTATCGACACACGGCCACATAAACGCGCCGCTCTGTCTCAGGTAGAAAAAATAACCAGTCGGAAACTCGGTGCTCCATCTGTCAGCTTGTCGCTCCTCGCTCCATCACTTCAGCAGCTGAACAGCAGGAACTATTCAACCGAGGGACCCCATCAGTCACAAACAACGTTGTCAAAACACATCAAAACGCTGCTGCTGACAGATAAGGAGCCCGCCGTCCTCCGAGAACCAACTTTACTGCTAGGAATTCAAGGGAGGGAAGCTGGCTCTTTTTTTTTTCTTTTCTCCTCCTTCCAGATTGATAGGCAGGAGTCGGGAGAAATCCTATCAGGATTTCAACCATCATTCAACAATCTTCAGGGACAACACAAGCAAAATAAAAAACAGAAAGTTTGGAGATGTATATTTTTTTGTTTTTCTGCAGGGTGTGACCTTCAGCGCTTGCAGAAAACAAACTGTCCTGGTGTGAGACAAGCTGCACATAAAACCCAACAAATAAATACAAAGTTGTGTTGAGATTCATGGTTGGTGAGGATCGTCTGTTTCGAATCCTAACTCTCCAAGATAGCTGCTTACCTTGTTTATCTGGATGCATTTATCCAAACTGTTTTTAATGATGTCAGATTTCTGGAAGCTTTTAGTTGGAAGTGTAGGATTAGATTTCAAAGGGTTAATGACGCCATTTGTCCCTCAGAGCTGCATACGAATGCTGCACATTAAGGCCTGATAACCTGCACTGCTGCAGGGACTCAATCAAATCTTTGGTATTATGCCACAAGGTAGGAACGGGTGATTCCAGCAAAGTTTAAGTTTTTGAGGATCATTAATAAGAATTTATCAATATTATAGTTTATGTTGGTCTATCACAAACAATCCCAGTAAAATACATCAAGTTTTGTGGTTTTAATGCGAGAAATGTGGAAACATTCAACTTTTATGCTGACAAAAAGAGACCAAAGAGAAATAAAAAAAAATAATTTGTGCATGTCATGTTGCTGTCTAGACAGACAAGTCAGCCTGGAGCCAATGGCGACAGTTTAGTGTCACAGAGAAGACCTTCAAAGCTCTCATGAAAGCACTCTGCTCTCTGTTAGCTCTCTGCTTTCAAATCCTTTTTGCTGTATTTAATCCCAAGATATGATCAAATGACTCACACACTTCCCAGTGCTGTGCGTCTCTCTAAAGAGGCAGCGGTTAGCGGCTAATTGCTGCACTTTATGCTTCAATGTAAGTGAGTAAACTGGACTCTCGCTGCGCATTTTATGCTTTGTGTGTGATTGTGACATCAGTAATCAGCCTCTGCTTAATTAAAGCAACAATCACACGGAAAGCCCGTGTCAGTCGTCGAGCTAATGAACGCCGGGCGAGATAATCAAAGGTCAGCGACCTCACGCAAACAAACACGTCCTGAAATCTCCTCTGTTTTTCAGAAATCCTTCTCTTGGAACAATTTCCTCGTGTTTTACAGCTGGTAACTTGATTAAAACGTGTAATTTCGAAAGCTAATTACAAGTTTTACTTCCACAAAATTTGCCTCTTCTGATTTATGTCGAGCTCTCGCTCGCTGTTATGAAGCGCACAGGGTGCCTCCTCCAGAGTGCAGTAACACACCCACATTTGATGGCACCCTCCAATGAAGTGTGCATTATATTTTAAGTTATTAATGGAGTCCCGCAGGGCAAAATCTAATTACACAGTAGTTTGTGGAGCTCCGCGCACGCATTCATCATCCCTGTGCTCCTCCGTGGAGCCGAGCAACGTCCATTGCTGCAGTTTTAATTTCCCCTAAATAGTGCAACCAGGTGTAATTGAACTCTGTTCCTAATTTCATCAAGCTACCTCTGATGAGCCGACACTCGGCAATTTATTGCTGCTCTGTGGGCTTTTTCGGATGCATGTTGTTCATGTCTTTATCGCCACGGGAGAAAGTGATGCGGCAAACGTAAAAACAAAACAAACAAAAAAAAAAACGTTTATGTAATTTTATATTTTCCGTAATAACTGCCTCTTGTGTAACTTGAGCACACGCTTTATAACGATGGATTTCTTATGCGTTTTAGTTAAATTTGTGGGCGAAAGGCGTGCTGTGGTGGCGCAGGTTCGATTCCCGGCCTGACGACCTTCGGCGCATGTCGTCCGCTTCTCTCATTACCTGTCAAATAAAGGCCACTAGAGCCAATGAAACCTTTTTATAAGAATTGTGGATGAAAATATATGGTTTTCAAAACAACACTTCGAACAATATGGCTAAAACAACTTTCTGGTCAATTTTGCAATTTACCGATCGCTTAGAGGCAAACAGTTTTATTTTAGTTTTGAAGGATTTTAGCTCTTTGTCCAACTGAAGAAGGAAACCTGGCAGGTGCCTTTGCATGTTTTCTTTAATAAATCCATCTATACAGACTAACTTTTTTTATACTTTTGAGCTTTATAATTTTTTCTCCCCTTTAGCTGTTGCTTACATTTGTTTTCAAGGTTGATAACGATTGAATTGTTTTCAAAAAGCCTGGAGGTGAATGGGTTCTGATAGAAAAATGTCTCTCAGACGTCCATTTCTGCACCTTTATGTGGTAAAAAGTGGTTGTTTTGCTTCAGCATTGCTTTCAACACTAAAGATGAATGAACTAATCAGTTCTGTCTACAGATTATTAAACCTTCAAGCTGTGGATCAGTACATTAATGTTATGTTATTAATTAATAACCAGGAAAATCCTCAACAGCTGATCTTAATCTTGGACTTCATCTTCATCTTCTGGACTTCATCTTCATCTTCATATATATTTCTACTTTTCATCTTGTTTTAATTGCCACAGAGCACCAACAACGTTGTTCATCGCTTCATTAATTCTGAATTGCTCGACTGTTTGCAAATTTTCATCAGAATGTTTCTTTTCCTTGGATTCACCACAAGTCACATCGTTGCAAAAGTGTCTTGCTTTTCTCCAGACGAGCAAGGTTGTGCCATCAGCAATCCAAGTCACATTTGTCGACATTTGAACTTTGTGCTTGTGACACCTTGAACACTGCAAAACCCTCGGGTGTCCCGTAGCATGATGCTAAAGCTGAGGTCAGAGCCCCGAACACACGAGGAAGCAGCAGGGATCAGCGAACACAGAGGGCAGGGTTACAGTGGGGTTTGCTGAGGACAGAAAAGATAATCAGCAGGAAAGAGGATGAATAATAAGTGATGTAGGCTTATACTGTGGGTGAGATGGGTAAACAGGAGGTCAACTCAAAGCACAACCAGAGAGCCTGAGGTGGGAAAACCAAGGTTATTGGGATGTTAAGCGAACAAGTAGCTACAGGAAAAACCTTTGAAATAATCGAAATAATCAATTTGCCAAACATGGTGAAATGTTACTGTTTAAAAGGGTGATGACTGTATCTTTTTACGAGATTGTTACATCAACCCAAAGCCCCACAAGTTATGATTCAGACTTTTAAACAGATGTGAAGCTTTTCTGTCGTCTGCGAGGATTAAAACAAAAAATCCTAACAATCCCATGTGGCTCTTCGGATTCATCTGCACTGAATTAGCAGAGCGGTTTTCAGGATGTTGTGAAGCCAAACCCATTTAAAATTTAGCAAATACTAAAGCAATTTGAGGCCAACGTCACAGAGATGAGCTGCAGCGTGTTAACAAGGCTCGGCAGCAATCGTCACGCCTGAAGTGATTTCATCCACCAATTTTTACTTGCTGTCTGCTCTGAACGTAAAGATTCAAGAGGTTTGGGTCGATGTTTGACCTGAGCCCTGGAGAGACGGAGAAGATCTTTTAAATGACTTTGGAGAAAAGAATGACTTGTTAAAATGTTCTGCTTACTTTACATTATTTAGCATCTTGAGAATGACAAACCAAACTGAATCGAATATAAAGAACCAAGAAAAGAAACACAAAGCCTAAGAGTAATTGTTGAAGGCAAGGTAAACATGATTATTATTTTCTTGAGTGTCACACATTTGTGTTCATATTCCAGTAATATGACACCCCTAAAGAAAATCCAACCTCCCTATTTGAGGTGAGTTTAGAACAGCTCTGTTGATTTGCACAGATATTCCTTTCAAAAGAGATCAATATGTCATTGACTTCAACCAGGTTTCTGTGCATTTTGGTGGAGAAACTGGCCCACAGCATCACAGACTCTCCACTGTACATAAGAGTAGTCATTATGTGTTTTTATGTATATTTTTCCTTTATTTTAAACTGCAATGTTTATCTGCTGAAAAGCTCAAGCTCAGTTGCATTTCGGTGTAGGTTCAGTTGCTCCCAAATTTGTATATATTACTGTGACTTCAGCTCTGTGGTCAGCATGAATAGAAAAAAACTTTGGTTGCGGTGTTTTTGAAGAATGTTTATACGTGCAAATAAGTGTGAGATTTTTTTTTTTTCCCAAGCTAAATAAAAGCACTGAGGAAAAGGTTATAGATGTTTCTGTGTGAGATTACACTGCTGCAATAAAAAGTAATTTATTCTGAAGTGCTTTTTTTCCCACAGCGCTCCCGGGGGCGCCTATAAGTGTGGGAGGGGGCGACGTGATTTGTATACTCCAAGTACAAAGCAGACCACACGGCTAGCAGCGTTTGGCACATTCATTTTGGCCAAGAAAACTGTGTTATGCAAACAGATCTTCCCCCAGGATTTGTCTCAACGAACCAAATAATAGACTTTTGCTTTGCGTTGTTGTTCAGGGCTTGTTACAGACATGAATCTCAGTAAATAAAACCTTTTTTGATCCATTGTTGCCTTTGCATATTAATATTATAAATCAACTTTATTAACTCTCTGTTCATTTGGACTCCCACAGTTGACATTAATCTTAAATTGACTACAAAAATATCAACATTCACATGCCTTCGAATTCATGTAAAGCACTTTGAGCTGCCTTATTGATGACAATGTGATATGTGATTAAGATGATCTTTTCATCAACCCTGCTGAAAGCTCATAGCTCCGTGTCAGATGGGAAGTTTAAATTATTTAAAGAGATTTTTCTCTGATTTAGGGACATTTTACATTGTGTTGCATTAGAAACAGGAAGTGTAGGATTTTTTTGTCAAGTTTAGCCTGGTGATCTATGTTGCATGCCATGGTTATCATTTCTATCACCTTCACTGTTTTGTTGTTACTCATTGAATATAACACAAAATCAATTATGCTTATTGTTTGTGCTGTTCTGGTTAAAAGCTTAGACTTAACTTCTCACTGTTCACAAGCCGATATTGATTTCGACTCCGCTGCATTGCTAAAAACACAGCCAGCCTGCTTTGTTTGTCTTTTATTAATAGCAGGGGACATACCTCCTCTTTTGCCCACCGCCCACTTCTTTCTCCCCTCTCTTCATTTCCTGGCGCAGCTCCTAATGGGTGTACACCATCAACTTATCACTGAGCCAGATGAAATGGCTTTTTACATGGCGCCTGTGAGCCACCGAGCTCCACGCAGGCTGAGCGAATGAAGAGATCAGAAGGCCAGAGAAGCGGCAGGAAAAAAAGATGGAGAGACTCCCTGAGCCTTGGAGAAAAATGACTACCCTTCATTTAATGAAGGATCTGACTCAGAATGACGCAGATATGAGTGACAGAAAGATAACGCTGGCAAAAAGCTGCTGCTAATTGCCTAAAATGTAAATGGACTTTTAAATGAGCAGCAGACGCTAATAGCATCATCCATGTCAATACACTGCCTTTAAATGAAATGGGGAAAAGCCGTTTTCTTTTCTTGACATTGATATTCTTGGAGTGGCTGAAGCAATAAGAGTCATTTGTGTGTCGCACGCATACCTGATGCCTTTGATTTGTGCAATGCTGTGGTGGGAGATCCTCGACAAGGCAGAGATTACCTGAAACACACAAAAAGCAGAGAAATTTTGAACAAAATATTCATTTATCTATTTTTATGACTACGGTAAGAAGCACAAAGCATGAAATATGTTCAGGAAATGAAAGCTGCTGTTTAAGTATTGGCTTATTTACTGCTATGAATATGTTGTTTCTTCAGCAAATTGTCTTTTTTGAGTCAGTCGACTAAATTATACAATAATTACAATAACTGAATCATCACAATTAATCTGATTAATATTAGCTTCTGTAGCAGGACTAAGATGGTTTCCACTGTGGCTGTTAATGTATAGTAAGTCATATTCGGTGTGTGAACTATTAAAATAGGAAGATATAAACATTTTTAGAGACCCATAAATTAACTACACCATTTTTGTTTTTTGCCATACCTGGCCATCGTTGATTTTGACGCTCATTTGTTTTCTGAACTTGCATCACTTATTAACTAGACGCTGCAAATGAGGCATTTAATAAAGAGTGAATTAAATTGAGATGAAGATCTGAATACCTCTCTCCAAAGCAGGGTGTCAACTCATTTTTGTTTTGGGCCAAATCATAATAATGAAACCTCTTAAAGGGCCAGTTGTGCTAGAATGTCTATCAATAAATTCTTAAAATTAAATATTTTGTGATATTTTTTTTTTTTGCAATAAAAATCAAAATATTTGTGGTACTAATTTGCAATATTTGAGCTTAATTATGACATCCTGATTAATATAATTTGGCAGTAAACAGATAAGTTTATTTGACTGATAACATTTAGCCTTTATTTTAAAATCTAGAGGGCCACATAAAAAGCTATGGTCAGTTTTAGCATAAAAAGGTCAATTGTATTCCTGCAAAGGTTTAACATCGCTTATGCGTCACACAGAGCCGGGTTTGTGGTTGAGTACCGCAGATGGCACGCTTGCAGACTAATGCAAGAAATCGCACACACAAATGCAACAACCACAACACAAACCTCGTCTCCTATGCCTCATTACCCACTCCGGGGTGTATTTCAGGTTGCAACACCATGGCAAAGCCAGATGTCTCCCTGACAGGAAGGATGAAGTTGTTATCTCAACCCCTCTTTGGAGGCAGGTGTGTCATCCACAACCTCTTCTCTGAGCACACGAAGTGACAACATGGCACCCGCAGTAGTCATTATTCCAGTTGAGCCTGTGCTAATGACTCTCCTGAATAGAAGGCTGGTACTTTAGGACCGTGAGCCACTTCTATAGAAGTGCTGTTGACCAAAACCTTAAACTCTCATGTAATCAGCCAGACCGGGGATTACATTGAGCGTATGCTCATCATCGTCATTTTCATTTAAGTGGTGCATCACAGAGGATATTTGCTCAAAAGACTAATAAGGGATTTTTTTTTCTTGTGTAATAGAAATTGCTGATATAGTGGGTCCAATGCAAAGCAAATACACAATGAGATCATTTAGATTGAAAGCACACAATGTACATAGCTGTGTAAAATTCCCCTTTTTATATCAGGGAATGATAGGTAATCTCAATATTTCCTCTTTTAATATAAGATATCTTGTAGGATACATATAAAAAAATGTCTAATGCAACTTTTAGTTCAACTTCGTTCAACGCAAAGTTGCAACTAAAAGTTGCATTAAAATGGTCAGTGAAGAATGACACTTTTACTGAAAAAAAATATGCAATGAGATCATTTAAATTGAAAGTGCATAATCCACCCTGCAACCACAATGTTTCACATTTTGGTAAGACGTTATTTGCATTAAAAAAATCATTATTTACCAAATGACACTTTATGACAATGGTTATAAACATTTATGAATGTTCATGTTCATGTTCATGTCAGTCTCCTTCAAATAAAATGTCACAGAACATTTATTTACTTGGGCAGAGTTGTACAGAACCTGTATGTCACACACAGGGAGAAAAGATGATCAGGTTGTCTAAGATATCACAGCGGATGGATCCGTCGTGCGGCTCTCTGCCCACCCTGCCCTGCTGCATAAAGAGATCACATATGGTGTCACTGACTTTATTATCTCAAAAAGTCTGAAATAGTTTCCATTTTCTGAATGAAACAAAACGTAGAAAACATCAACCAAAAGGCAGCAAGACCAACAACATATACAATTTCAAAGAAGCCATCAGATGGCAGCTAACGCTAGTATTTAAGAGCTATTAATAATTAAATGTGGCCTGGTGTGAATCAGCTGGGGTGGATCTTTCTAAACACAGCTGCCTTCAGCTCAGGTTGGTCCCATTTCAAAGGATAGCCAAGCCACTGGCTTCCTCCCAGATAGGTCACAGGAGGAGCGCAGCCTGCCAAGACCAGCCTGCAGCGTGCCAGCGCTGCACGTTAGCGTAACGTTCACACATTACAGGGGGAAGCCAAGCTCAGGTTAACTTTCCTCAACATCAGGGGTTTGCGCTTGAAAACCGTTTTACAATCAGTGTCTGTAGCGACGGAGGCTGCTCAGATGGTTGCCACGTGACCTGGAGACGGATAAAAAGGGGAATTTGGACACATTGCTAGACTTGAGGTGTTGGCAGTGCATGAGAGCTTGAAGCCTCAAATACGCCATGCACTCAGTTTTCTTAATTTGATTATGTGACCTGGCAGAAGGTCTGGAAAAACCAAGAGTGAAGCGTACTTTAAAATGTGCAACAGGCCAGCGTTTCAAACCTCGAAAAAGAGATGGAAGAAAAAATGTACAAGTGAACGAGTGGACTGATAAATAAGCGGACGGAGTATTGGATAAACTAGTGAACGAGTAGATGGATAAACAAACAGATTAATGGACAGTTGAATGGATGAATGCATAGATTAACGAATGAATGTAGGAATCATGTTTTGAGTTTGATCAGAGAGAAGAGAGGATTTGAAGGACATACAAATGGATGAGTAGATTGGTAAGCAGAATAGCAGATAATTTAATAGACAGTTGGATGAATGGATGAATTAATGGACGAATAGATGGATGGACAAATGAATGAAAAGAAAATATAAACTAATGATTTGTTGGTTGAGAAAGTAAACTAATTATTGGACAAATGCATGACGAGTTGGATGGACAGACTAATAAATACATAAACAAATGAATGGAAGGACGAATGAACAAACTGATGGATGGATTTATTTACTTCCTATATTTTCTTTTCCCGTTCTCATCCAGAACAGGAAGTCGGTATAACCTCTGCTGTCTCAGTTGTGTTTTATCGTACCTCCTTCCAGTCTTTCCTCTCAGGTGGTCTATCTGTTTGATTGCTCTTTCTTCTTAAGGTCTGTGTTCTCCGTTTCCCTTTCAGCCTCCAGCTCCCTCCCCTCTCCCTAATCTGATCCTTTGATGCGGTCCGAGCCTTCGGATCTCTGCACTTTATTAGTTTCCTTCTTATCTCTTTCTCCCCTGGGACTCTTAACTCCGGGCTCGCCAGAGAAAACAGAAGCATCTCTAACCTCATTAGGAATATGGAAAAGACAAGTCACACAATAGCGGGATAACTTAAGTTGCTATCGCCCCAAACCGTCATACTACTTTATTCCAAAGCCCACACACATCTGGTATCCAGGCCTGCGTCTTCACCAATGAGTTTTGAACCCAAAACCAATTTTCATGCGACACTTTATGCCTAGGAAGAGATTTTACAGCAAAGTGAAGCCAAATGGAAAAACACACAGGCTTTTTTTTTAACATTTTTTATGTCTGGTCATGCGGACTGCCGTCTCCGCTGGGCACCAGGCCCACGCCACATGTGACCACCCTGCAGCCAATAAAGCGACCTGCAGCAACATTTCACCGTGGCAACCAGGGACTGACTGAATATGCATCGTCACAAATTACGGCTCAGATGACAACGAAGCTGCAGCTGGGTGCCAAGGTGTGGCTGGGATCTGATTAGGAACGGAAACATGAAAAAAATAATACAGAATAAATAAAACCTGATACAGTGATTACATGATTTCTGTCTCAAACAGAAATCAATGGATTCAGAGGAAGCAATTGAACAAAATGATAACAAAAGATGAAACTGTTTGTCTCGCAACTTTTCAATTTCTGCATCCTCACTACTCCCTCGTTCTCTTTCATATTTATGAAATATCAACATGCTGATAAGGCAGCATTGCTCTGGTTCTGCCAGCCTGATAAAATGGGATCCATGAAGCAATGGGGCATTGAGTGGGAGCGCTGGGAGCAGATGGCAGAGAGGAAACCCTCCATGTACATCAATAATAGACAGACAGAGGAGGAACGGCTGAATCCCTCTGCCCTCAGCATTTACAAACCCACTCTGCCATTTCATGTCTCTGATTCTGTCCTTTTTGACTCTTCTGTGGGTGTGAGTAGATAGTTCACACCAAGCATTCATGGAATGCAGAGAGAATATTCCTGTGAAAAATAATTTACACATAAAATGCCAAGTATTTTAAGTGGGCAATGTAAAAGTTCTGTTCTTATTGTAGGGGTTTATTTTCCTTCTATTTTTCATGTTTCAGGCTTCAGGAACAATCAACAATTTGCACCGATTTCCAGTAAAACGTCTGATTTTGGTCCAATTCTTAATTGTCTGTCTAAGGAATATTCAGCTCTGGAAAACAAAGAGTCCACTGCACTGAACCCCACTGGAAACGTCATGGTTATTCCACCAAATATTGATTTCTGAACCTTTTTTGAGTTAAAACATTAGTGTTATTGTTTCTAAATGAATATGAACTTGTTTTCTTTGCATTGTTTGAAAGCACTATTTTGACCATTCCTCATTTTCTGCAAATAAATCATTTTTTGCTTGGAATTTTGGAGACATGTCAGTAGTTTATAGAATAAAAAAACAATTTTGCTCAAACTTACACCTATAAAGAGTAAAATCAGAGAAACTTCATTTTAAGTCGCCTCTTATTTTTTTTTCAAATCTGTACGTTTCAGTATAACTCAACGTATAAACACTGATCACAAAAAAGTGCAGTCTTTCATTGCAGGATAAATTCAATAAAGATTGTTAATTAGAAATGATTAAGAAAGACAATAAAT